GATCGAAGATAGTTAGGGGTATTTTGGATTCGAGCTTCTTCATCTGCTTCCTCCAGAATGGTTGAAGTTGAATTAGGTTAGAGTCGGGTATCGCTCCGATGTCGACGTTGATGCCTTTCCCTTTCCTCTTTTTCAATCTCTTCACTTCTTTCGCTGGATGTCTTTTCGATTTCTTTGACGTTATCTTGGACTTTCCTTTAGTTAATAGCTCTAACTTCCGTATCTTGTCTTTTGCTTCGTCTAAACGTTTCTTCAGCTTGTCTTTACGTTTCCTTTTTTTCTCTATGCGCATTTAAACCAGTGACAAGTGAATCAAAGTCAGTCTGGAATTCAATCGTCTTTTTGGAGAGTTTGTGTTTTTCATTAATTTCTCAAAGCTTCTGTTTGTTCATTGTTTAGAGGACTAACGTTCCCTCCCTTAGTGATATGGGGCGCTCTACTTTTAGGAGCTGATAATCGGTGTGTTCATCCCGATCTTTGGTATAACGTTCTCTTCCCTGATAATCCGGGGCGCTCTACTTTATTAAGGAGCTAACAATCGTATTGTTCTTCCCAAATATTCTTGGGGCGCTCTACCGCTTGGGAGCTCTCGCAGATAGACCTATTGAGTCTTATCTTCTGTGCGGGGAGATAGGTTCGTTTGGATAGAAGTTTGTGGATAATGGATAGGATGATTCATTCCAGGAAGGTAATTCTTAATGGATGAGATAATAGGATGGGGGAGTTGGGTGGTATACCGCGCTTCTGGTGAAGGGGAAAGTAATATGGAAAAGTTCAGAATCTCCTCTTACCTTTCTTTAATTGTTCTTCCGAGTCATCAGATCCCCCACTTTCGCTTGAGTCGCTCTCACTTTCTTCACTATCGGAGGAATCGTCTTCTGAGTCTGAGCTTTCCGCACTATCTGATGTTTCTGAGGATCCTGAAGAAGGTGACGAGTTCTGGTTAATTTCTTCGTCTTTCTCTGATGATTCGTCCTGTTTTCTCGGCTCTCTGTCGTTCTCGTCGTCGCTGTCTATGAATTCGTTCGGCAGGTCATCTACGTCCGACTCGTCTGATGAGGACTCTTGTGCCGGTTCCTTCCCTTTGGGAATTCTGATTCGGGCGGTGGTTAACGGGTTGGACGCCGGGAAAGGAATCGGTACGTGACCAATGAAGTTTCCTGGGTTTTTCGTTGACTGAGAGGTATGTGTCTGAGAGTGTATAGGACGGGAGTCATTCAAGTTTGGTTGTGATGTGTTGTGTTGCTCTTGACCTCGATCTTCGCTCGGGATGTGTTTCTCGTCGGGCTCAGCCGGTCTGTACGTGTTGTCTGTATTCGTGTCTGAGGGTCCGGCTACAATCATTCAACTTATCACTCTACTTGGCTCTATTCCTTCTATCGGGCTAGCTTGCAGTCCTTGTACTCTTCTACTAGCTCTTATTGCTTTCGTCGAAGCCTCTTTAGATGCTGTTGAGTTTGTTATCATTATAATTCTTGTGGGTTTCTAATTATTGGTTTCTTGAGATAAGTTCAATGTTTCAACGTTGAGGTCGAATGGAAGATTTGAAATGAAATCCTATAGATTACTACGTGGATAAGAAGGTTAGGAGTATTGATAGAAATTGGGGCTGGACGAGTTGACTCGTATGTGAATGAAGATTTGTGGATTTAACTGAGAGAGATTAGATTGACTGAAGAATATGTATGTTTATATGAAACTTTCAAATAGATCTTATTAGTTGTTTAGTGATTCGATAAAATTTTGTTAGTAAAGTAATGTTCCTAAATAACTAGGAGCAAGTTTTAAAATTGTGAATGGTGAATAGTGAAGTAAGATAGAATGGAGAGATGCTTGCAGGAAGGAGACGCGGAGTAGGTCTGCTCAGGAGAAGTTGGAAAGCTTCTCTACTGAATCCTTTCTTCTCTGCTTCAGATGCGTCGCACGACCTTTTCCCGTTCTGGAACAGATTGTTTCCAGATTGGGATTCTGTAATTCCAAATTCCTTCCGTCCCCTTGGCTTTACCTAAACTTACGAGTTACCCTATTCATGGACATGTCTTGCACCTCGTGCCTCGAGCAAGAGGCTAGGAAACACATGGAAAAACTCTCCACTTCCACACAAGACCAAATGTTGAGGCCTAGACAATCAAATGAATTCCACTAGAAAGCACAAGTAATCAATATCTCTGCATACGCGGAAAACAATTCTTACAAAGAAATCGGCATTGTCTGCCATCATGCCGTACAGCCATTCCAACGCCATTGATGTGCATAATGAAGTCTTTCTATGATAAACATCGTTGCAGGACAAGAAAGTTCAAATGAGGTATTTGATGATGGAACGAATGGACCTGATGAAAAAGAGGATTATTACAATTGCAAGAGTCTTTCCCTTTCAAAACCTTCTAAAACTACACATTACATGAAACATTTCCTTTTCCCAAATCACAAGCTGACACGCTCATGCATCTCTGATGAATCCTCTTGAAGTGCTTGACTGGTGTGCGCTTAGGCTGCCTAGCTTTCCTTGTTCAGGTATGATGTTGCTCAAATTCTCTGTCAACGACCTTGTGGAATACAGAAAAAGGGTAAAAATATCATTACAGTACAGGCGTTGCGAAGGACAAGACTCCGCCAAATCCTTGATGGACGCTGCTCCACAGCCTTATCAAGGCTCTCCTCATGAGTCAAACTCGCCATTTATGATCTCTTCTCTATTGCAATCCTCCTTCCAATCATATCTCTTTTCAAGCGCTTTTTCATTTGCATATATCACCATGTCACCCTTCCAATCTCCCCACAAGTTTGTTATTCTTTTCATCGCTATATGCATTACACAGTTTGCCTTCACACTCTCACAAACAACTAAGCCAGTCCAGTGTATAAAATCATTTGATACCAGAACATCAGCATCCGAAGCAAGTAAGTAAAATGACCTCACCTTTCCCCCCCAAAAAAGAAGCTCTAATTCCTCCCTAGATTTCCAAAAGCGTGTAATGATAAGGATTAACACAACGGTGTAAACTAAAAGGGAGTGGAACGAGTCAACAACAATGTTCGAGTTACGCTCTTGTTCCAAAAGGAGACAACTATCGTTAGTTATCCTCCTCTTCCTTATTCTTGAGCATGGAATTCATCTAACCAGCTCTGTCCTTATCCGTGTATTTCTTCAATTCTATAGAATGTTGGAATTCCGCCGGACAAACGTACATTTGCCCTTACAAACCTTCAAATGTCCCCCACATCAGTAAGTCGTGTCTCCTTTGCATTCTTTATGAATGATGTACCAACTGACCCGGTACATAATCCCCAATAGCATGTACAGATTGCGTGGTGGAAAAGGGCCCAACTAGCCCCAGATCTTCATGAGGCCTTGTGAGGGATTCATTGTACATAAATTGTTGAATTAATACCAAAAATTATCTTTCAAAAAACTGGCTAATGTTTGTAATTATAGAATGAAATCTTTGTTGATGGAATGGCTTTGTTTTGGGAAAACACGTGGAAAACCTCCCGTGTCCGCACAAGGTCAAATGATGAGGTTGAGGTAAGGAAAAACCCTCTAGGTTTTATTCATTTTTCATGTCAGCTCAATTATCAATCAGAACTAAATGTAATAAGTAAGGATGTTCATGTTATTTCAGCTTAACTAGAAAATTTGACCCCATCGAGGCAGAAAGTTACAGAATGAGATAAACCAAAGGCTAACCAAAAATACGTTGCACAAACTTCAAATAAAGATCACCAGCATCACCACAAAAAACAGAAATAAACTTCCACAATCCAATAAGCCTTTGAGCTAATGAATAAAATTTCCAATAAGATACGCATCAGAAATCAACCATGCAATCGCTTTTTTTATTGAGTTTGTTTCAAGATTACAAACAGAAATGACAACCAAAATAAAAAAATCAATTAAAACCACTATGATGTTTCCTTAAATCATCAATTATTACAAGAATATATTTACATTCATCAAAAAGATCAGTTTGAGACCCAATTAGATTAGGTCGATAGTCAAACAGACGGGCTTAGGATACTGATTCAAAACGATTGATTCATGTTCTCCAGGAAAGTAAAGGCACTGTGGGTTATGAAAAGCTGGAAATTATTGTCATCGTATATGAAGACTTGGTGGTAGTTCAAGCCGCTTTATTCATCAGATTTGTCATCCGTTTCCTTTTTCAGACGCATCGTACCACGCAGTTGATACCCGTCGGTGTTCTTGTGTACCTCTTACATAAGCATCTGGCAAGTTTGATGGCGCCATCACTGCAAAGAAGTATCCAGAATAACACGTCAGGGTCACACACCAATATAGATTCGAAATCGAAGAGTCCCTTGTACGGTTTATGAGAGGTCTATCCTAGATGAAATATAAGATGACAGATTAATCATGGACTTACTATCTAGTGTATCTGCCTCCCTTCTCCTTTTTGATCTCTTGATCCATGTTACTAATAATCCCACCAGAACCGAAAGCAAAAAGATTCCACCAATGACTGCACCAGCAATAGGTGCAACTCTTTGAGCGTATAAAGCATTGTCCATTGAATCAAGTGATGTAGGTTGACTTCCCAATGAACTAGAAGATGTAGCAATCAATCTAACGTTTTGAGTACTGATTGGAGTTATAATTGAATCCGTAGGTGTAGGTAAAGCAATAAAACTTGTCGAAGAAGTATTATTGGTTGAATTTGAAGATGTTGGTATAATACTGATTCCAGATGGGAAAACTCCAAGTTGTACTACAACGGTAACTAAATTAGATTGTGAAGATGTGATAGTTTGAGTAGGTTTAACAGATTGAGTTTTTCCGCCATGATGATTTGTGGTGATTGTGCTGATGATTGTAGTCTCTAAGCAATTACAATCATCCGTGTCTTCCATTCTATTGATGAGGGTAAATAATCGTATAAAATCATCAACTTCAAGTAGCGCAGTTGAATGTTAAGCCGATGCTGTAGAGCTCACCTTTGAAATTAAATAGAGGAAGCTTGAAGGCTATTGAGGTGAGATATATTCAAGATTAAGCAAGATAAACGTTTGGTCGAGTGGTTGTTGGCGACTTCCTTGAAGATTTCGTACTGAACGGACTTTAGAAAAGGGAAAAGAAATTGATGGTTGTACTTTGTGGTGATACGTGATCCAGATTTTATGATTTTGGTACTATTCATGTCTTTATCACACTGGTAGATAGACAAACAATTTTTGGAGGTAGTCTTCTCCCATAATTAAATCCGTGCCTTTTGCCCTGAAGCTTATCCGTATATATGCTCGATCAAAGATCTATTGCTTGGCGACGTATTAGTGGGCTGGAGTCTGACATATTGCTCAGCCACTTGTGCGGTCGTCTACATCGTAGCTAATCCAAATATCATTTTTTGATGAACGTACTGCGCGTGTCTATATACGAACAGCAAAAAATTATCCAGTGTTACAGACTCAGCTCGACAACTCCAACAATCCAGACACAACTTTGTGATATATAACATAGCCCACACCTATTCTCATGATCCATAATATTCCATTCACAATTGAGATCGATGATTGAGTTTCAACTTGGAAATCCTTCGTTCTGCTTGGCCATACATAGTTCAAACTCTGAGTGATGTATGAACCTTCATGACTTCGAGTGTGTTGGCCTCTGCTTACCTGTGACAAATTGTATACAAATAACATGTTGAACTGACTACGTAACAAGATAAGTTTTTTATTGAAATCTTAACATTACAATAAAAACCTCCCTATTTTTTTGGCAGGAAGAGATAACAACTGGAATCGGACTGGCAAAATGATTCTCAACGTCAGATTATTTAAAAATTATATATAAGCCGCATACTGATCTGCTCGGCATAAACAAAATAAAAAAAGATATGATCGTATGCTTAATAAACTACGCAGAATGGCACTAAAAACACTGATATTGAAAAACCATCACAACGCTGATCGAATATAACTCTTTGACTATTGCTATAAAGTCTTATGGTGATAATGGCGGTGAACGAGTAGACGAACTAGTCCGACTTTTCGCATCATCGCAAAGAAGAATGGTAGTAGGCGAAGGTTCAAGTCGAGATAGAACGTTCTTCGGTTGATGAGAAATGTTTGTATCTATAGGAGATATAGGCGATGGCATAGATAGACTTGGTTGGACCTGAGAAGGATGACCGGAGCAAACCACATCCATCTCACCATTCGCCAGTTTGACACTTGTAGGCGCAAGGGTTGTATCACTTTGAGTGATAGCAGATTGAAGTATTGAGCAGGGTGGTGGTGGTGGTGGTGCTTTATCAAAGGACATGGTTTGAATAGCCTTCTTATCCTGAAGTTGATCAGGTATTGTCAATGCGGTAGTAGTGCTGTGATTCTCATCTGCAAGATCCGATGTTCGGGTTTCCAAGTCTTCTACAGATTCAGAAGCATCTGGCTTAGACTCTCCATTGATTTCTCGCAGTAAATTCGAGTCAAGATTCCCATTCGACAAGTCTGATGAACTTTTCGAATCCGGTGTGAATGGTGTATCCCGTACATGTGATAAAGGTGCTGACATGGGAGTAGGTTCCGATATCCTAAAGATTGCAAGTGAAGCTGCAGACGCTGGAGCCGAGGTTTCATGGGAGTTCCTTGAACTAGAAGAGGTTGAAGTAGCCAAACCTTTCCGTGCCAACAATTTTGCAGTCCAATCCTTTACAAAACTTATAATTTTGGCTTCCTTTCCGGGTGTCAGCTTGTCGTAATCATCCACCATATAGTTGCTCGACTTTGCCTCCTTTTGACACAGAATATTTGTAAGCTAGAATGGTACGCAACGTCAGAATCGTGTCTATCATGTCTCATAAAATTGCAGACCAACCTCTTTTGCTCGTTTTTTGAATTGGTCATGCTCCAACGAGTCTTTATACCGTGACATTGTGCGCACGACAACAGTGCTGAACAACCTCAACATTTTCTTATCCTTAGTCTGCGAGCTTGATGGCTTAGCATTCGATGTAGAGGCAGAAGATGATTTGGCCCGAGATCGTTCGCCAAGGTGTTTGGTAGAGGAATCATGTCGCTCCCTTTGATGATAATCCAATTGTTGTGGTTGTTCGGATTGCTCGTACATTTGACGGGCTTCAGCTTCCAATCGAACAGCTTCAGCTTCCGCCTTGGTCTTAGCCACTATATCATTTACATCAACAGCAGCTGCTTTTTGACGAGCATAAAAGTCGGCCACCTCCTTCTCTTCCCTAGCTACATCTGCAACCGTAGGGATCGTCCACTGAGTCTGACGCGTAAAAATATGATAAAAATATACTTTGTCATCAGGTGTTTTTTCAAATGCCCAATTGAATGGTAATGGGATGTTTTCAGGTTTCAGGTTTTGAACGTTGATTGGCTTGGCGGCTTCAGGCCGAATGTACTTCGTTTCAGAAACCAATTGTAGGCGCGTTGCGTTATGACCAGAGTCCTGCCGCCGGACGCGCTTCGAGAAAAGGTGGTCTAGGATGTTATCAGACTTGCGCTTGCTTCCTTCGACATCTTCCGTGTCCTGTGAATCATCAAAAGCGCGAAGATCAGTGGGACTGATCTCATGATTCAACAGACAACCGGGTCAAACTCACTTTTGCCTTCGGAATCCGATATGAAACCGAAAGATCCACCCACATATCGACCAACTGGAATGAGAACAACGATGTTAGAATCAATACAGGAAGAAAGAAGAAAATGCTTACACACCTCTGCAGCGAGTGTCTGTATCATCTCAGACGGGCTGGAAGAAAGTTTCATCACTGTCTCCTCGATATTGGTGCTAACAATCTTGTTTTTCGTGATCAGTGGCCATTTGAGCAAGATCTCAAGCGTCTATGAAGAGAGAAGGATAATGATAATCAGATTCAATACTTAATCCAGGATTGAGATCATCTGAGAGCATTCGAACCGTTTTGACAATCTCCTGGTTATCCAAGTATTCATTTAGAACCATACTCATCATACTGAAGCCATGCAATCGCATCAACTGTTTTTGAACTGCAGGATCTTCTGTGATCTGATAGTTGTAAAATTGACTTGAAATGCATTAGTAGACAAATCGACCCATGCTGTCAAAAATCACATCACGCACCAAGACTCGGCGAAGTAATTTCGACAAGATACGTTGGTTAGATATAGATTGGCGGATCGCAGACGCGACCTTTGGAACATCCTTGAGTGGAATGCATTTCATAATAGGCTATGGGGAATACTGCGTAAGTAGGGGCTTCGAGAATAGGGAGCAAGGTCACTAACATTATAATCAACATCCATCTTTTTGCCCTTTTTGGTTTTGCTTCCTTTGAGACCAAATTCTTCGACATCGGCAGTGATTCCCAAGGCTACTCACGGATATAACAACGAGATCAGCGCGCGAGAGGGCAGGTAACCAGAAGAACAAACTGACCATCTATGTAAAGTTCGTCCATAGCGCCAACATCAGTCTGTGTTTTGCCTCCCAGAAATCCAACACACTGGGCTTCTCCACAGAAACATTCTTGGGCCTCATACCTGCGATGGAAAAATCAAGGTAATTAACGGATTGCCGATGATGAGGTGGAGATTCAAGTTACACTTGCCCATAACGATCGACATTGTAATTGAATGTAAGTTCTTCACCACCTTTCACGGCTCGCTTGGTGAAGATACCCATCCTGAGATGTCGACCAACGACCCATTTGCCAATGTAGCAATTGGGATTACACGAGTGATTCAGAAATCGACCCAGTCCGCCCTTCTTGGTAGCATCGATGTACTGCAAATAGATCAAATGTCATCTCAGCGATCGTTTTTTCGCTAAGGGATACCTTTCTCACAGGCATATAACAGAGACAAACTGACTTCTTCCCGCTGTAACTGCATGAAGTAGAAATGCTTTAGACCTTCTTGTGCGTACTCCTTGATTCGTCTTTGAAAGGCTTTTTCGCCAACCACTTCACCTATGTATTCATAGACGAACGAATCACTGACCAGATGGGGTGTTATGTTAGTCTTCTGGATGGTCTTGATTGTCAAAGGTGGAGATGACAACTCTCAAAACAGAACCAGGTGCTCACGCTGGGACATCGCTCTTCAGTCGCACCCCAAAACCCTTTCGTTCCGTAGCAACGATCTCGATGGGTGCATATTGGCGCTTTTGAAATCTAGAGGGTGAAGTCTTTGTATCAGATCACGCAACCCGATCGCTATATGATCGGAAGACGAACTCACCTTTGATTTTGACACATTTGCAAGCAGCGGCACTCCTTTTTTAAACATTCAACTTGGGTCAAGTAGTTGATACAACCGCTGTTTAGTCCACAAGCTAGATTTGGATCGTCCCCTAAACATGATGTGGTCAGCTATACGTTCTTGAATCATATGTGATGGGTCGATAAGAGCAATAGCACAAGATTTACCTAGGGACCAAGAGCATTCACAAACCATCATGTCATCTAGCATTTTCGTTTTACCGAGACCCTTGAATTGGTACCAATTTTGTTCTAAGAGATCAAATGTTTTGATGGCCTAGACAAAATCAATCAAGAACATGAGGCGAAGTTCAAGAAGTGGTTTTATTAGAGACTCTATCAAAAGCACAGATCCTGGAATGACATGTGATTTACCTCAGTCGTGGCTTCTGGCAAGTTATGAATGAGTTGAATATCAGGTGGTGGTGGCTTCGGTGTTTTGGGTTTTCGTCCTCTTCCATTGCGTCGTATGTTAGATGAGTCCGGGGAAATATCATTGACTGAGTCGATGATCATATCACGGGGAGCTATGGGAGAGAGACGACCGGAATCATGGCCACTGCTGGTAGACGGTGTAAGAGAGATATGAATATCATGAGGACTGCTATCTTGATCAGTAGGGTCCTTAAGAAGCTCAGGGAGCACTTCGGGGGTAGTAGACACCTCAAGACGGGGGTGGGTAGAATTCAAAGAGTCGTCATTGAGGGTTGTCTCGGGTAGTGGTTGAGAATGTGGTTCTTGTGATTTTTGATTGTGAAGCATTGGGGAATCAAGAACAAGGTCGATGGGTGAGCCAGGGGTGACCAAAGTCAAAGAGTCGCGGCTCTCGTCCGACTGGCTTGTTCGACCGTTTTCAGGGGTGCAAGTGATGTCCAAAGCTGGCATCCCACCTGTAATGGTTGGCGAGACATGGTGAGCAGCGCGATCCATGAAGAGAAGTATGTAAATGGTGTGCTGGGGTTGGGAAGCCGAGAATGATTGAATCGATTGAGTTTGACTTTTGAATCTGGTCAGAGTGTACAAAGTGAAAAATGGAAATAAAGCGAATATTCGGGGTCAAAAGCTGTATGTGTTATGGACCGGGTCAGAGTTTGGGAGGATAGAAGGCGAAGTCGATGGAGAGTCTGGTGCGAGGAATGCTTGACGATTGAGAAGGTGGAGAGGACGATCCAAACCAAAGTCGCTGATGCGTTCGCTCAAGGAATCCAACCGGGATGAATTGCAGGACACAAATGCTGTCAAGCCGAAGATATGGCAAGCGCAGCTAAAACCTCAAGATGTGAAGCGGCTGAGAATGGCCGCGGAGAATGAACACCGACCTCAAGGATCGCTTAGTCTCAAAAAAGGACTTTGATTGTTTGATTAGGTGAGTGTCAGCTTGGTTTTTTTGTCACTTGAATGAGCAATTGTTTTCTTGACGAAGTCCCGTTGACCCAAATGAAATCCTAAGGGGTGAAGAAAAGTTCAAGTTTTGAGGAAGTTTGGCAGTGATTGTCGCCGATGGTTACGGCGTTGAATTGTTTTTTGAGCAGAGGGGTCTTACCGAATCAAATGGGGTGGAGCAGGCAGGACACACCAGGTGGTTTTGGACACAGTTAGAACTTTTAACTAGGCAATTTGCATTTCTCTGTGTTTTTTCATAGTTTAAGTGTCAAACAATAATATATCACAATTCATCAGTAACCATTATATCAAGTAGCCCTTTACGTTGTATCCTTCCTAGCAAGCCAGAAGCACTCATACGAGGCACTAAAGGAATAGAAACACAGATGAATCAGTCACCGACCTTCCAAAAAACAACAATCGATTGTAATTGATCCAAAATTTTAAATCTGATTTAAGCACACCTTGCTTCAAACGTGTTTCTAGAGCCGCTTCGAGTATCACAGCAGCACCGTCCTGAGGCAATGAGCTGAGCAATGTCACAATCGTTGAGACCTGACTCAATTTTGACGAAGTTTAGGTGAATGGCAATATGCTGTGGGCTGTATAGCCAACAATGGGCGCGATGTTTGAAGTTAGCTTGAAGTCCCCGTGTAAGATTCACGTCTTGATGTAGAAAAAAAGGATACCGGGGGAGGTCAAAGGTGAATTCGGTCAGTTGATGGTAAAGGAGATGGATTGTCAAAAGGTGTTTCTTCACTGTGGTTGTCCAATTTCTGGGTCAGTTGCGACCGACCTGTTACAGCCGGTACTGCCAACGGTGAGTCCTGCGGCCGGATCCAAGTCGGACTTTTGAAATTTCAAAAAATGGCCTCACCCGGGCTTGAACTGGCAACAAATCATATTGGTGAATGTGCCTCAATAGTGGCTGCATGTCCAGAACAGTCCTCATGATCAAGAAGGTGGTGAGGAATGAGTAGCATGACTTGCATTATTGTGACCTAAATCAAGGGTTCAAAGGTTAAAGTGAGGGCAACCTCAGCTGCCATTTGTCACTCGTCCCTGAATCACACCGCTCGCAGGTTGTTGCTCTTGCTCACCATCTTCTTGGTATGCAGGTAATGTGTCTGCTGAACCATTTTTTGCCTGTGGCAACAGATATTGATGTCATTAAAACTGTTTTCTATACAGAGTGTGGGTATAGGGTGATTGTGGGTTTGCAAGTTCGTAATTTCTTGAAAGGAGATAAAACCAGTTAGGAAATTTTAGCTGGTTAGCTTGGGAGCAAGATGTTGGGTTTTGTTTCTTGTGGTCAGGCTTCTCTTGAGGAAAATCTTGAGGTGAGACTTACTGGTGGTGGGTCTTAGAGTAAAGACCTCTATGTAATGGTCTCTGGCAAGAAAATCGCACTGGCATTCCTGCTAGAGTTGTAAACAGATAGTGGAACAAGGAAGATCTTTCACTTGAGATGGGTTGGAGGTGACATTCAAGAGGGTTCAAGAAAGCTAAGGGCCTGTTTGGTTGAGATGATTTTACAAGTTATTTTTGCAATTGAAACATAATTCTTGATGTTTGGTAGCCCAATCTTTGAGAATATCATACCAGATAATTTGGACAATCATGTCAGGTATCTACATAAACCCTTGAAAATTATCAAAATTTCAACTTTTTGCTTCCATCTCTTCATAAATCCCTTTACTATGCTCACTTTCACTACAGAAAATGTAATCTTTGCCCGGCGGAAAAGAAAACTACTGACATAGAAAAATCCTGAGGCAACAGGAAAAGAGCTAAAAATCTGAAAAAATATGCACCTTGTTCCTAGACGTTGGGGTGTCATGATGAGTATTTTTTTGTATTTTACACACAGATATTGGTTAATGTACTAACAATAAAGGCTGAAAATCATCAAAAACCCGCCTGTAACAATACCTGAATTTTGGGTCATGATTATGAAAACAATATTTTGTGGTCTAAAAACTTCAATAACTTTTGCAATTCTGCTCCAAATAACTTGATTATTGGTTCATTCAAAAGCTAAACCATTCTCCTTTACACTTCATAAAGGTACCAAGGTGTTATCTTGTCATGTAAACACTCTACATCTGTTCAAACAATTCTACATGAATAGCTCTGTAGGATCTTTCACAGACCAGCTACAGATGTGAGGTCACAATAATAAATGTAGAGGGAAGACTCACCTTGGTTATGAACTTGAAATTGAGTTATTTGATCCAGAACTTCAAAAGTTATTGATGTTTGAAGATTTCAAAATCCTGTCTTCAAAATCATGGGCCAAATTTCAGGTATGGTTACAGGTGGGTTTTTGATGATTTTCAGCCTTTATTGTTAGTACATTAACCAATATTTGTGTGTAAAATACAAAAAAATAGGACCCCGGATAAGTCCTATAAACCCTAGGGATGAAAAAGGAATGAATCATACCCTCCAATTTTTGCTATGTTAGGGATGAAAAAGGAATTATCCGCCCCGGTCCTGGTCACATGTTAGGGATGTGGAGGAATGAATCTTTAATATCCCATTTCATATGTTATTTCTCCATTAACCTTGAAAGGAACAAACAGAAAGTCATATTCAACAAGTGTTTACACAAGTTGCTCATATGCAAGTTGAGTTGTGCACAAGGGACATAGCTTGCATTCATTCAAAAATCAATTTTTTCTGACTTCCCTTTACTCTGAGGAGTATTCACCCATGTTGAAACAAATTTTGTACATTGAAATAGCTGATCTAGGTACAAGAATCACATCAAGATTATTTGCCTTTTCCAATGTTCCAGAAACAAAATTGAAGTCCCCAAAAATTCTCCAAAACCAGCTTTCCAATGTCAGGGATGTAGGGGAGTTAATTTCCAAAAGTCTTAAAAACCTGGCTTTTAGGTTAGGGATGAAACAGGAATTAATGGCCTCAAAAAAACAAAAAAAGAGGTATGAATTAGGAGGTTTTGACCAATTTTCCATCCCTATCATTTATAAGACTTATCCGGGGTCCTAAAAAAATACTCATCATGACACCTCAACGTCTAGGAACAAGGTGCATATTTTTTCAGTATTTTAGCGCTCTTCCTGTTGCCTCAGCATCTTTCTATGTCATTAGTTTTCTTTTCCACTCAGTAAAGATTAACTTTTTTGTAGTGTTTGCTACTCCAACTCCACCACCTTTTAATTAGATTCAATATCCTCCTTTTATTGACACCATCACACTATGAATAGCATTGCTTCATCAATTGCATCATTTTATGCATAATTGAACCATCAATTTTTGAACCATCAATTTGTTGAAATCATCATTTCAAAGATATCATTGATTTATCAATATCATCACTTTTCTTCATTGGACAAATCATGACTCAAAACAACAAGATAATGGAAATGAATATTGTAATGGTGATGATGATGACGACACTGTGATGACACAATTGTCATGATGTTTTGGGTTGAGCTCAATTCAAGAATGATGAAGTTTAATTAGAATTCAATTACATAATAGTATCCACAACCTCATGATTGAAAAGTAACAAAGTTATAGGCTCAGAGGAGCTTTGAGAAATGTTGCCGTTTTGACAAAGAATAGCCTGGGGTAAACAGGTCAGGTGTAAGTATGGCAACAAGTGTTGCCGTTTTGACAAAGAATAGCCTGGGGTAAACAGGTCAGGTGTAAGTATGGCAACAAGCCTCAATGCTACGAGTGAGCTGATAGAAGACAAACCTGTGCACAAGCAACAGGTGGTATGATGAAAGACCAGGTTTGAAAAGATGAGTGACTTTAATAATAAGATTCTTTTTGATCAGAGACAAACTTATCATACCTGGGGTAAACAGGTCAGGTGTAAGTATGGCAACAAGCCTCAAAGCTACAAGTGAGCTGATAGAAGACAAACCTAAAGCATCACAACTATTAGTACAAGTGAAATCAGAGAAAGAAAAGTAAAGAGAATAGAAAACAAACCTGTGCACAAGCAACAGGTGGTACAATGAAAGATCAGGTTTGAAAAGATGAGTGACTTTAATAATACTATCAGATGCAAGGAGTTTGATGAATGTTAGTTGTAAGTAGAGATGATATACCATGAAAACACGGCCAAGCGGACTACAAATAAAAGCACTAAGAGCATCCCCAACGCGCCGCCGGAAACGTAACCTTTACATAGGGTTTACCTAGCATTTCTGACAGAAACATAATGTCAAAATTACGTTTGCAAAGATTTTCCGAAAAACAGCCTCCAGCGCGAGTAAAAAGTCGCACAGTTGGCCATGGGTGCGACTTCGTTTATTCCGCCAGCTGGAATACGTACGGTTTGTTCCAATTGTTTCTAGCTGAGCCAGAAACCTCGGAAAACATGATTTCTCACGATTTGGACATGTTGAGACCACAAAACTTGCCTCTTTTGTTCCTTCGTGTCCTATCTCAAAGCTTGAAGCACACATTACCACAACCTCGATCAGATCAAGCGGCCGATCCATGTGATTGATCTGATCGTGTCCTATCCTTAGACAGGGGTAGAAAACCAAATCTCTTATTCAGCTTGCGCGGTGCTGCCTACTGAAGCTTAAGCTGAAATACAGGTGTCCAAGTGTCATTTGTGACACCTGTACCAGGTTTCCAGTTCCTGGCACGTTGGGGATGCTCTAAGAGAAAAAGAAAACACTTCAAGCCACAGACGGCTTATTCCCAGACCAGACAAATCAAATTCCCAACATAGACACAATACCTGTCACACATTACCAATTTCATCTAAATCCGTACATATTTTCATAATACTTGTTTGTCTTGAGACTTCATTCCAGAATCTGAATTCGCGCATTTCATAACACCTGAAGGCTTTGACAACATAAGACCAATTAGGACAGTATATCACACATTATGTATGTAAGATATCACAACAATGATGGATGATTTAAAGACATGTTTTAACAAAAGTTGAGATAAAGCAATCAAGTGAGTATGAATGAAAGATGCATTGTGGTGATATTCTTGAAACCGATTGAGAGAAAATTTCAAATCAGAATTTCAAGATATTGGGATACAAACCAGAAATCCCTAGTCTTCTTTACAAGTTTTCTAGCTTCTCAAATAAAACCAAAAAGTTCAGGTTCAGATACCCAAAATCTCAACTACAGCCCCAAAAAGATGAGTTGGTAATCTTATGATCTAGGGAAAAACACCTGGGTACTCTATTTTGTATCAGATAATTTGGCTTTGGTTTTGAGTTGCCAAACAATTATTTTTCAAAAACCCAGAGTATTTTTTTCTCACAATCAATGGTGGGTTTTGACTTTTACTATACTTTTCAGTCATTTCATGCATCAAACGTTTACTGTAGTGTACAGAAATAAGCTACCAGGATGAGATGGCAGAAAGAAAAACACCAGGGGAAAAGAAGATGACAAGAAAACCCTTTCCTAGACACAGAGTTCCTGGAAAAGGAGCAAAGGCTCAGTACAAAACATAAATGATACTGGGGTGTTTTGCTACACTTTTCCCAAATCAATTATATTCTCTTTTTGAAACAACACATCAGATAAGTGCAAAGGAGTTTGGCCATGCCCATGGATCAAAACCTAGTAGTGATTTATCATCAGCCTAGCATGACATTAGCACTCAGTGAAATTTTCTAGGAACCTTTTGCTGTTTCTTCCTTGCACCTAGGGTAAGGCAAAGTGAAATCTCACAAAGTGGACCAAGGTGATTCCTTGTGCCATGTCAAAACCAAACCATAATCATTCCTTGCAAATTGCCTTTGCATGAATACTTGTCCAATCAAATACAAACACCCAGCTCTTACTCAGACTCATTTGTAATTCAACCTCTATTGATGATCTATGCACAATTGAGGTTTGAGCTTTTGAAGACCAAGTCTCTCTGTGCTGATCTCTCATCAATTTAACCCATGCCTTCAGTAAATCTCCCATTATGTTTCCTTTTCAAGTCAGCCCATCATGCCTGAAGAGTTTCATTTTTTGGTCTCATTTTGGTAGTATGACAATTTTCCACATATTAGAACCACTAAAATTATACATCTTTACATAATGAACAAGATGTGGAGCCAGTCCATGAAGACATGATTGGTACAATAGGAAATCAACAACAGGAGAGGAGTCTTTGTATCACACAAAGACATTGTGAAACCTTTTTGCCCAAAAGGGGTATCTGAATCTTCTAGTTTGTAGAAAAGTCAAATGGCAAAATCAACAAATTTTATGTCATCAGCTAGTCAGATATCCCAGGTCGATGTAAAGAATATGTGGTATAAGAAGCTTTCCCTCTTCACCTTTTAGTTTCAATCTGATCCATTCTTCATCTTACTAGCAACTAAGAATCATAATAATTCTTATGACCCAAACTTCCCAGTTTTGAATAATAAGTTTCAAGACGAGTTATTCATAAATTAGTGTATAAGATAATAAGAAACATGAATTCTTAAACCATCCCACCCACTTTACTGGTCAGGCAAGATACATTACCTCCTGTAAGGGGGCACTCTGGCTCTCCACCTACAGATTCAATCACAATACCAACCAATACTCAAAATCTGAGATTGAATGCTACGTCTTCTAGGTCTTTGGGAATCCAACCTTCATTGCTTGTTTCAATGGAGAGCTCTCTAAACAATTAAAACCTTGCACCTATCACAGGCACAATCATTGGTGTGCTACAGTGCTGAGATTACTATGTACACAGGCCCTATATGCTCAGGGTTGGCTCACAGCCATATTCCAAAGGATGTTCCTAGGAGGATCACCTGTTGGTCACCTGACAGTCACTGGAGAGAAACAGGCTGTTCAAAGCCAGCTTCAGTGGGTTTCCTAAAGATGGCAAAAAGTCCTTGTGGGAGGAGAGAGGTACCTACAGAACAAAACCTACAGAAAGTAAAATCATAAACAATTAATCAAGTTGTAGCACAAAAATCATCATAATTAATAGCTATCCACTTTTTTAAATCAGAACATAAGAAAATCAGAACTTACTAAAACTTGGATTCCTGATGTTCTAAAAAAAACTACACAAAAAAAACTCTGATTCTTTTCTGACCATTTTTTTTCTATTATTGCTTTATATGAGCAAGCCTACCTTTTTTCATCCAGTCTTCAAAAACCACCTTGACACAAAACAATTAATAAAACTCACCATTGGATACAAATCCTTGAATAAATCTTCTTCAAAGTTCCAACCAGAAGTCTTGTGATGCATCAATAAATACCATGGATGAAAACCTCAGAAAGATTCCATCCAAGGTTTGAGATCCATACCAGACTACCTTTAAAATAATTCAGTCCAAGTTAAATGTATGTTGATAGTGTAAAGAATAATCCCATATCCAAAAAGTATCCCAAAAGCCAATGATCAATCTGATTGAAAATCTTCCTAGTATACAAACTAACCCAGTATTTCACACAGATACAAAGCCCCGACCAATTGTTTCATTGTTTTACTACCACACCCTTAAACACTTCATGATGATTACCCTGATGACCCATATACTTTTTCATATAATCTTCATAGTGTATTCAAAGACCAGCTGTCTTTTAATCTACAATAAAGCTATAATATATCCCCCAAAAAATCAAAAGAAATATAAAAATGTACACTTTTTGAAAAACCAAACCAAACCTCATCTAATATATATATACCACATGTTTACTCCCAATGTAATCCTATTAAATCATCATAAACTAATTTCCCACCAAGAATAGTTCCTTTAACTTTAACCTTCAAAACCAAATCTTCTAAATCATCTTGACTAATCTCATCATCTTGATCATTCATCAAATCCAAATCAAGTATCATCAAATCCCCAAACTTCCCAGGACTTAAACTTCCAAGTTGACTTTCAGAAAAACTTGAAAAACTTGATGAGATTGTAAATCCTTTAATGATGTCTTGAAGACTTGAAATCCTTTGATTTGGAAACCAAGCTGGATTTGATTTTCGTAATGAATCATTTTTCAGCGGTTTCTTTCGACTTAATCCTGCATGAATTCCTAAAAAAGGTGAAACTGGTGAAACTGGAAAATCTGAACCTAATACCAATGTCACATTTGCTCTATATGATTATCAAATTTTATTCCATATCACACAAAACAAATTCATCGTACAGATCAACCATTCAAAATCCATTCCAACATATTTTATATTGTTAAATATAAACTCACTCTTGTAAACTTTTCCATGCATAAGCTCCTTGAATCCTATCCGATCCTAATCTTGCTTCAGCATAATCCATATCAGCCACAGCTAATATCTCAACCAATAAGAAATCAATTCATCATTATAAATCGTATACCAATCAATTTCATCAAGCCAAACAAACGTACCATGTGTTGGTTGAACACTAGCCAAGATATTCATCTGACCCATCCTTACAATATCTGCCGGTTTCAAAACCTGAGCATGTTCAATTCTAAGTCTTAATGGATTAGAACTTTTAAAATCATTAAGATCTCCATCTCGATTGGTATTTCCTTCTAATTCTGATAAGATTTCAGCATAAGCATCTAGTACTAAACTATTGGCTCGATCTCCAATCGCATGTGAATTGACTTGAAATCCTGATTTGACCCATCGTTTCATTAATGGTTTGAAGACTTTAGGTTCGATTCTTAAGATTCCATTCGTACTTGGATTGTCTATTTGGAAAAAAAATCGGGTCAGATCTTTGAATTGGTTTGATTTTTTTGGGGGGGGTCAAGGGTAAGGAAAGAGACTCGCCTGAATATGGTTCCCACATAGCTGCACCCCAAGATCCTAATGCACCATCAATAAACAACTTTACACTCCTACCACACGTCATAAATTCAAACCATCTCATCAAGTTGACCATCCAAAACAAAACAAAATCCAAAACTTATCAAAAATCCTCACCTAATCGTAAGTTTAAAGCCTTCATATACCTGAACCTTATCACCACAAAACTCATCACCACAATTGACCATAGCATAAATTCTAAATGGTAATTGATCTTTCGCATCCAAACGTTTATAAAACTCAATGGTTTCTAAATCGGCTGCAGCATCATGAACTCCAGTCAAACCGGTCGATAACATTTCTTTTGCTGTGATTTTTAAATACTTTAACCGATCTTCATCAGTTCTTTTAGGAATTAACTTATCTGTATTTTATTACATCGAGACATCAAGAGCTTATTATTCAACTTTTATATTTTCAAAAAAGTCTAAAAAAAGTCGATATCTTACCGATTAAATTCATGGCATTATCAAGAAATATTCCAGTTGGTTTTCCATCTTGATCAACCAGAACTTCACCTCCATCTATTTTGGTATCAGAATTTGATAAATTCAATCGATTTAAAATCGGTTTGGAACACCAATACGCATGAAAATCTACACGACGTAAGATAATGAGTCTATTGATCAATAAAGGATCTTGAGATAGATCAACCTATATGTTTTGGGGGGGGTCAGAAAAAGAAACATGTGTTAGAATTTGGTGATTTGGAAGACGAGAAAGTTGGGTTTATACTCAACTGCAGTTGGAAATTCTTGTGGTTCGAATAATGTTTGATCCCATCCATCACCAAAAATCATCTTCTGAGGGTCATTGATCAAATCTGGTCTAGCTTCAATATGTTGTACGATCCGATCCACAATACCTTCAAAAACCGATACATTTTTTTAATTAATCTTAAGTTTGAAAGGTTTCTTTTCATGATGATCAATGAAAAATATTTACATTTTGTAGAAGTACAACCTAATAAGTTGACTCCCATCTTAGTCTGACCATATTCGAGAGGATGAGCATGAGCATCAATCAAGCCTTTAAAAAATCCCAAGACCCAAAGAATCAGATCCTTACAAAAGAAGTCGTTTCATTATCATTTGAAAAGAGAAAAAGGCTGACCAGGTAAAATAGACCAATGATCAGGTAATCTAATCAACTGTAATCTTCTAGATCGATACCTCCAAACCAATGTTTTCCAAAAAGACTCATGATTTGCATTTCTAAGGATATATAATTTTTGTAAATCGGTTCGATCACCAGTAAAGACGATTAATCCATCTTTAATCACGATACATTCAACAAAAGGTTGTAGTGATTCTAGAGTATAGATTTTTTTGGTCGGTGAACAAATTCCAAATCGATTAGGAAGTTTTAATTTGTCTTGATGATTCAAAAGGTGATGATGATGATGAAATGATAGAAATAGAACGATCAAACCTATTAAGAAGAAGAAGCATGAAGTTCGATTGAAGTCTGAGATGGGCTGATGATTGGTTTTTGGTTTTTGGTTTTCTTTTGAAGTTGAAGTGGATTCTGATTTCATTGTTGACCATGAGCTAAGCCTACAGAGACAAACGGTTCATTTGGAATCCTCATCCTTGACAATTCTCCAATACCGATCATCAAGTCAACCACTTCATGCAACTGACCCGAACCCGAACTTCTTATCTCGATGGATTGGTGGTATCAAAAGTTGGTGTTCACTAAAATACGAACACCAACCTATCAAACCAAATGAATCCACCCTATAGTTCTTTTCTTCACTAATAATATAAATTTGACAAACTTGAATCATGCAACATATAAGGAAACAATATGGAAAAGTGTACAGACAAAGAGGTTGATCATCAGGAAATCATCTACAGAGGTTATTGACTGAACTCTTCTCGCTTTCAACAGATCAGCAAAGAAAGAACATAAATTCGGTAAAAAAAGTATCAAAGACAAAAAAGGAAACCTAAGAGATCATCAATTGTAATTGTATTTCAATTCATATAGAAGCATAATCTCTTATCATTGAACTCGACCCACTTCAACTGTATCATTTGAAGCCAAACCACATATTTGCTCCGTGATTGCTACTTGATATACAAGATCAACAAAGATATAAACTTTGAGAAAGAGAACAATGAAAAAAACTCACATCATTTTTACCCTTTAAGCCTTAGATCCATGAAAAAACGTTAATGTGATGAATCATTTTTAGGATCAGGTATAAGTTTTCCAGGATTGAGAATGTTTTTCGGATCAAGTAGTTGTTTAATCGATCTTAAAAGATCAACTGTTCCTTTCCCTAATTCTCTTTCTAATGCCCACTAAGAGAACATCACGAAACCAAAAAAAACCAATCAGTCAACTAAGAAATCAAAGATGTTCAATTTGAGGTGTGAGTGAATAGATTTGAAGAATAGATGTTTACCTTTTTTCCAATACTATATCATCAGATCATTTAAAAAGAAATCACAAGGATGAAAATAAAAGATTAGATTGATTTTAACTTCAAAAAGATAAAGAAACCTTACCCAACACCTACAAACCAAAAACCAAAACGAAAAAGAAAAAACAAAAAACAAAATTAATTCAAAGAGAAAGCCTTCAAAAGAAAGAAAGAAAACAACATAGGGGATCAAACAGACCATGTTCACCAGTACAAGTACCATCTAATTCTTGAGCCAATCTAACCATTCTTTCGACCGATTCTTTAGTTTTTAAAAACTCATCATGATTCTTAAATAAGATTATACAATGAAAATTTCCATCACCTACATGTCCCACAATCGTCGAAATCAAACCGTTTTGAATTAAATCTTGTTTGGTTTTAGAAATTAATTTTGGTAAGTTTGAGATCGGTACACCTTTTTTGGGTTTGGAAAACAAGAATCCAATAAAGAAACAAAAATCAGTTGATGATTTTTTGAGAGTTTCTTGTATTTCGAGTTATTTAAAAATCGAGAGAATTTTTTTTTTTGAAAAGTGATAAGCTTACAAACATCTGTGGTCCAAGCTTTTGATCCAGGTACATAATCAATTGAAGACCATAAGGCCATCTTTCTTGATTCCCAAATTTCTAATGCTTCTGAATCTGATGTAGCTAATTTGATCTTAGATCCACCATGAGACTTAATAATCTTAGCTTTTATCATTCAAAAGGTTTAAGTTTTACAAACAAAAAAATGAATGAATGAATGTAAGAAAACTCAGTACAAAAAAGTCTAAGGTGGAGTAAGCCTTGAGCTGGATCGGTTGAAAAAAGACTTACCTGTTAATTCTTTATCTGCTTTGATTTGTTCATGAGTACCAGAAAACTTCAAAAAGAGACTACAGGTACATTCAAAAAAATACCAAAAAATCAAAACCAAAAAAGGATAAGAAAGATCAGTTAAATTTGATTTAACAAACCTAGGCTTCTCATCCCATTTCTTCCCAACCATATTCACATTAATAGCTTTCATCATCACATCATCCAATAACTCAACACAAGCCAACGAAACGCCATTCTTAAGGATTTCCAAAACACTTTCAGTAGCCGATTCGACATTTTCAAAATGGCTGACTCCTACTGAGGTGGGTAAGATCGGTTGAAGTTTTAAGGTTACTTCCGTGATCAATCCTAGAGTTCCTTCTGAGCCTATGAATAACTTGGTTAGATCGGGTCCTGCTGCTGACTTTCTGGTTAAGAATTCATATTCAAAGGTCAAGTTGAGGTAGGACTCTTTGATCAATGCAATCATTCAATGTTCGAATCTCACTTGGCACGTTGACGGGTTTTGATCACTTGACCATTCGGTAACACAGCCGTCAAATTGATCACATTTTCTCGCATCGTCCCATATCTTTTTCACCAGAAAGAAAGATGATCGAAAGAAGATCAAGAAGGAGTTGGATGAGTAGTACTGAATAAAAGAAAGAAGACTTACTTGACCGCATTTGTACCCGAACAACCAGTCCCAACCATCCCTCCAATCTGTGCCCCAGGTCTGTAAACCAAAGGAAAGCCGGATGAAAGTTAATTATATAGGAAGAAGAGTTTTGGGTTTTCACAAGGCTTGGATTCGAAACTCTTACCCTGGATCGACTGGGAAAAAAAGTTTCGAAGAAGCACATCGGGTTTTAAGTTGTTCATTTAATTGATCATAACTTATTCCAGGCTGTACCACCACATCCATATCTGATTCTGTTCCCAAAGAATTATGAAAGAAAGAAAGAAAAACACGTAGAAAGTGAGTATATAGCAAGCTGATGACAAGATTGATAAGATGAAGTCAGGCCAAGAAGTTTGATCGATTACCATTCAAAGTTATAATCTGATTCATGTGTTTAGAAAAATCAACAGTAAAAGAATAACCCGGTTTTAACTCTTCTTCAATAGATTCGAATTGATTCTTGGATTGATTTGTGTGAAGATCAGATGATGGTGGATTGAAATGACCTTCTAATGAAGTTCCACCAGAGTAAGGTATCAGTGGTATGTGATACCTACTAGCTGTCTGCAAAACAAAATGTTCACTAAAATCAGGTTTGATCTCTATATAGAAGATTTGGAATAGATTTTCCATCATTACTGACTTCTACTATCTTGACTACATCTTGTGTTGAACGTGGGTATAGTATCGCACCTGGAAGACAATCTGGAGCATGATCTACATTTATGATGATCCATATTGAGTCAAACCAGAGTGTTCATAAGATACTTTCTGACCATGATTGAAAATGATTGAGTACTTTGACCAAAAGAAAGACAAAAAACACTCAACAACTCCAAGCAGATGAACCATGAAGTAAAAGATCATCTCGATTCCAAGAAATACATTCCAAAGGAATCAAACCTTTAAGAGTTTCTAACGCCTCACTAAAATCGGATTCTAGAGGTACTTTAACGGATGGGTTTTCTTGATGATCTTTTGGGTTGGCTCGTAGTTGAGCTTTTAGTCCAACAACATACATCTAGATAAATCATCATCATGTTCAAATCATCATGATTCAAAATCCTTTTTTCTTTCAAGTTTTTTTCTTTCTTTCGTGTTTTTGATTTGAACAGAGTGTAAACTGTGACTAACAACTGATCCGATCAAAGTGGATGTAAGAAATACCATTCCAGTTGACCATTTCTGATCTGAGATTTTCGGACGTTTTGTCGAATTGATACGGGTCATAGATCCGGTTGATCGAGTTGAATTTGAATTCCATTTTTTTCCTATCCTCGAATATGATCTTGACAAGCTAAATGTATCTTTCCTTGGATGTAATGAGCCTGGCCCTAGGGAAATGGTCTTCGGTAAAGTCCATCTGAGCTTTGAGACTAATGTCATTGGGGTATTGTTGTACTTCCCAGTAAATCTCGTACTAAAGAAATTAACTTCTGATTGGTTTTGAAATCAGGTATCAGAGTTTTCCAAGTCAGATGAGATAAGCAAGTAGGATGACTGGTTCAATATTCAATGATGTGAAGTCTGGTGGTTCAGCTGCCAAATCCAACTCAAGCCGAACCAAGAGGAATGAAGTGATTTGAAATCCGGACGACGTGATGGATACCCGGGACCGTGTTGAAATTGTCAAAAGTGAAAGTGATCGAGTACTTTTCCAATACGAAATTGGATTCGAAACCTTGAAAGAAGTTCTTATCAAAGTCAACAACAAGAACAGATTCAAGAAAACATAAAACATACTCACTAGAAAATGTCAAGCTCTGATAGCGATAGATTTGAAGAACTATCATCTTCATCATCATCATCATCTCAATCAACCATCCCAAAATCAAACAGTTCAAAATTACCAACGATTTCAATCTCAAAACCAGAAAGTCAAACAGACGAAGAAGAGGAAGAAGAAGAAGAAGGATCATTAATATTTCATGATACAGTAACAGATCCAATAGAACATTTGATCAGTTCAATTGAAAAACTTAAAACAAATGGAAACCTTCAATTTAGTAGACGAGATTGGCAAAAAGCGTTAAATAGTTATAATGAAGCTTTACTTGAACTACCTCCAATTGGAAAAAGTCATGATGAATCCGAAACACAAAATACCTCACTATCACTTGGAAATGAAGGATTCTCAGATGATCGAAATGATGGGATAAATGATGAAACTCATCATGAACCTAGGCAAGGACCATCAAATGAAAACAAACTGGATCATCAAATCAAATCGGAACAATCGAATTTAGACCCTCGTTTATGTAATTTACGAGCTACTCTTAACGCAAATAGTGCTGCCTGTCATCTCAAACTTGTAAGTCAACTTTCAGATCCTATTTTCATTTGATCAGAGTCTTTTCATTATACAATTAGTATAGAACATGATGTGTTGGTTTGGACTGAACTCTTTGAACTAGGAAGATTGGAAGTCTGCCGTGGAGGCATCTACAGCTTGTAAGCCGGTCTTCTTTCTTCAGAGCTTGGTTTGATAACTCGTCTCTTCTCTGACACGTGATTGTGCTTTGTTTTTTGACGCCTTTGACTTACTACTTGGATGGGATGGATACTGTAGCTCTACGAGATGATCCAGCCTATCAAAAGGCTTTACATAGGCGAGCGCAAGGAAATGAGAAGTTGGATACCTGGGCATCTTTACAAGCCGCATTAGATGGTAAGCTTACCCATCTTCATCAGATCTATCACGATTATAGCTCGATTCTTCCTTTTAGTTAAATAATGAACTCTTTTTTCCTACACAACCAAAAATCCGATCAGATTATAATACACTAGCCAATCTTCCAGATCTACCTGTATCACTCCTTAAAGAAATTAGATTGGCTCAAGCTCGATTACCTTTATTGATTTCCGAAAGAAGTGAAAAAGAAAAAGCCGAGATGATGGACAAACTTAAAACTCTTGGGAATACTGTTTTAGGAAAATTCGGGCTTTCAACTGATCATTTCAAATTCACACCTGTGAGTTTGTTGTTGATTACGATTGGTTTTTTTGGATTTTCTGGATTTGTTGAACTCTCGGTTTTTGGTTTACTGATCTTCTTTGATTTGGTTTTTGGACTTTAGAATGAGACCGGTGGTTATTCTATGTCATTTGAACGTTGAAAAGTTGATGTACTGGATCACTTCAAGGCTTCTTTTGGTTTGCAACTTAAAAGTTTGTATGGTAAAAGTAAGATGATTGTCATACATGAAGATTTTTTCGATGAATTTGTTGTAATAGTGATCAAACTTATATCTTCACTCTGCTCATCAATACAGCTTGATGAGTTTCTTCTGAGTAAAAACGAATATATTTTCTGATATTCAAAATGTATTAAATTTGCGGTAGTGAAGCGGGTTTGAGATGAAACATTTCTTCGTGTTAGAACGGTGTTCTGAAAGTCATAAGACCAAGAAGACTGATTTTTAGGTTGTCGGTACATATTAACTAAGACATCCCAAGAACATTGAATGGCATATCAAGAACAACTTCAAGTTCAAAGTTTATAGGGAAGCACATGCGTGAAAAAATCAGTTTAAGTGTACATTGTCAATAGAATTGTACAGTCATCTTCGCAAAGGATAGAAATGAAAGAGATTTATATGTACAAACACAAAGAGTTATGATAGAGTGCATACAATTCTTTTGAAGGAATGATACTGTCAGTTTGAAAATACATTGAGAGACTTGGCTATATAGTACACAGATAAGGATGTGTAGATACTAAAAGGTTCAAAATCATGATCCAAAAATATGTACAGATATCTTTCAAAGATTAGAAATACGAAAAAGAAAGTTGCAATATGTACAAAACAAAACGAAAATAAAAATATTTGAACCATAAAGAAAATCAGAGAGATTCTGCTATGTACATTGTAAATGAAAAAAAAGAAATGCTTTAAGAAGCAAGAAAAGAAGTAAACTTTGAATTAAGATCACTTTCTCCTACAGTTCTATAATTCCATTCTTTATGAAAGTTAAACCATGACATGGTAATAAATTGAGGCATTGAACTTTTAGCTGCTGCGATTTCTGATAACCATTTAAACTTTTCATCAACTGAACCTGCATATCCGAGACTTTTTGACAATTGAATTCAAATAAAAACAAAGGTTAAAATCAGTGCAAATGATTTCCAAAAAAGTTTTCGTCTTGAGATTGTATTTACCCAGTTTCACCAATCGCAAACATTCTACCATCTACTGCATACTTATCATGAAAAGCTTTCATGGTATCAATAAAATCAGACCCAGTAAGTTTTTTAGGATAAAAATCTATACCAACTAAATCAACTGTTGAAAGATCATAAGGTTCATATTTTACATATTCATCTGCTGATGCCACATTTGGTGTCCACCACATCTTTACATCTGGTGCAATTGACTTTATGGCGGCTGAGACGGCTGCCCAACCTTTTTTGAAATCTTCTGATGTTCCTTGGTAAGTTCCATCTGTTTGATAACTATTGCAAATATTCAAGTGAATTAGATTGAAGGATTTTCATCGTGTGTAAAAGAAGAAAAGGTGGATAAAATTCAACAAGTTTTTTAAAGATACTTACTAGTTGACTTCATGAGCAAATCTTAACCAAACAGGTATCCCTTCATCAGTAAACTTCTTCATCACTTGAGCACTACAGTGCATTTATTCAATCGCGTAGCAAACGCAAGAAAAATTAATTAGAAATCTTTTTGAGAACAAGAATTAGCAAAAAAAATCAATCACAGAAACAACTCACATAGCTACAGCTTGACTGTTATCATCACTTGTAAGCCCACTCCAACCAGAAGTAGGCATTACTGCAGGTTGAAACACACAATTACAAGCTTTCACATCATCCATGACGGCCAAGAGTTGAGAGCCATCATACGTTTTCCCAGCGGATAGTTGAGAATACCAACCATAACCAGAAGATTTGGAACTTAGGGCTGAATTGATTTGTTCCATTGTTTGACGATCACCTCCTGATGAACCATCATCAGGTAAAAACCCTAAGCTGTATTTCGAAACAAAAAAAATAGAATTGCTTGGTGTGTAAATAATTTAATTTTTGGAGAAGAATCAAAACTTACAATAAATCATTCTGTTTCATAGAACTTGAGGAAAATACTCCAGTGAGTGAACTCGAAGTGGTTCCAGTGGTGGTCTGGTTTGTAGCACTAGAAGAAGTAGCATTGGTGTTGTTGTTACCAGAATCACTGGTGGTTTGGTTCCCATCCGAGGTGGAAACATAACCTGAGGAGACTAGTGAGATCGTAGTACGATTGGTCTTCTTCGGCTTGTAACCATCACTTTCGTTGGGAGTAGAATTATCATCTGAGGTGATATTGGAATTCGAAGTCAAGTTGTCCGAGGATGTCCAGTCAGCCGAAGACGTCGAGTTCGCCGAGGATGTCAAGTTACCTGAGGACGTCAAGTTGCCCGAGGAGGTCACGTATGATGAGTCATTGGCATCCGAGTCTGAAGTATACCTGAGGACGTCAAGTTGCCCGAGGAGGTCACGTATGATGAGTCATTGGCATCCGAGTCTGAAGTATTGGCTGATTGAATCTTAGAATAATCAGCTGAAATTGAAAAATCTGATGGGATTTCGTCAGAAGAACAAGATTCGTTTAACGAACGTTGAGATCTGCTTAACACACAAAAAGGAATAAATATCAGAAACTTTTTTAAAGAGAGTACTATATTTCTTATAAGTTTTCTATATTAGTTTGTAGTAAATTAAAGTTTGACTTACTTTGATGTCGAGACATAAGAATTAGCTTTCTTTTGATTGTGGAACTTTCGAGATGAATGATGAGAAGCTCTATGACGTTTTTCTATAAAATATTTTGACATAATAAATTTTTGAAGGTAGGTAACTCATCTCTGGATCATATATACATATATATAGAAGCAAAGTGTAAGCTTACTTTCTTGAACTGCTCGCCTGATTGTGGAGTGAGAAGTTTGATGTCCTACTGCCAATACCTGATTAACAATCATACCAACCAAAATAAAAAATAAAACTTGACGTCGTAGCGTAGTGGTACTCATAGCGAATGATAACATTTTTTCTTGAAGTCTTGATGTTTTTCAAAAACAGATAGATAAGTTTTTCAAATAAATAAATAAAAAAGATGGGATCAAGACCCTGTCCTAAGAAAAATATAGAGATAAATACTGATTCAAAATATTCAGAATGATTTTGATTTGTGAGATTAGACGAGGAAGTAATCTTGGAAGTTCTTAAAAACCAACCTTGACAAAATTCTTCATCGTAGGTTTTATAGCTTGAACCCATCAGAAAAAACCTTAATCAAAACGTAGAATGAAGGGTATTATACGCTTGCTTACTGACCTTGTGGTCTGAGCTTTCAGTTTCAGAGTAACTCAGAATGATCACATCTTGAACCGGGTATCAAGCGTTATGATCTTCATTTTGTTTCATTTACTTTCTCTATCATTGAGATGACAAACATTGTCAATACGAACGAGGAAAGCCGAGTATGAGTCATTCTTCAATATCTGAGTATGAAGTCTTACAAGACGTGACGTGCAGCTTCATTAACTTTGAGCTCTGAGCGAGTCCAATCCGAAAACTGGTTTCTTTGAAATTTTCGTGTTTCGACCTGACAGTGAAAGAGCTTCATGAGCTTTTATGAGTTGTCGGATGTATTTTGATCAAGACTCGGGTTTTCGTGATCGATGAATTCATCTGGTTTGATGAATGCGGTGCTTGTAAATGTCGCGTTTCTACTCACCACTCAATTAAAATCGAGTCTGTGGAATGACCATGACCTGAATCCAACCGTGTGCAACTGTCTCGCGGAGAGCCCCTCTCTACCCCTCTTTCGCTCAAGATACCCTTTCAAGTAGCCGAGCAGTGTAACTGCAGACCTGACCGGATTGGATTGCACCGCTCGAAGGATCTGAACTTGAAGTTTCTTCTCCTCCTGGTTCTTCATGATTCACAAACGCAAGAAAGCCACAGAAAGTTGAACCCTTCCCTTGACCGTATGTGCTCTTCGTACGCCTTCAACTAGCTCCAACTATCCTCCCAAATCAATATCGCACCCTGATACAAGTATGATGATCATCTACTCGAATATCTAGGTGCTTGTGATTGAGAAGTAGAAGCAAAAATGAAATTTGAAAATGAAATCAACTCAGTGTCAGGCGCATCAGCCAAGGATGTTGAAGAGAGGAATCTGAACATTGTGATTTAGAGCTCTTAGAGAAATCTCCATAGTCTGGGTTTCCCCTGCGAGATTCTTGAACAACCCTACTGGTTGCTATACTTTTTCAGAATCTCGCATTGTTTTTTTTCGATGATATTTTTGCCAAAAGTGAAAACCCCTACGGAGCGTCCAAAATCGCCATCGACGAGTAAGTATCTCCTATGTCTCCCTCTCTGTTCTTACTTTATTTTGTTCATCTGATCATCGAAATTGAAAACACTCAAAATCTTTCTATAAATTTATCCAACTCTTGATACCTACTCGTTATTCAAAATTTCAAGCTATATACAGAACTCCTTCATGCTCATGAACAGCGAAATGGGTTTTCCTGCATGTAAAATACTAATAAGCTCGTGATGATAAAAATATAAATCTCAGTGAATACACACAAAAAGTGAAACTAGTCCAATTAATGTATTCGATACTTTGTAATTTTTATATACTTCATGAAGTTTGATGACGACGAAGTAAGATTAAAGAAAGAGAATGACCACAAACAAATTCAGTAAGTTCATCATTTATAAAAGTTAATGCTTTAATCTTTTCAACTGTTCTTTCGATAGGATCTTCAAGTGTACCGAATTTCATTGGATTTTGAATTTTCCATCTATGTGCTACTCCAAATGTATAAGCTCTATTTCTCCAAGTTGGTATAGATAATTTATCAAACATCATTAATCTTTCTCCTTTTCCATCTCGATTCCATTGAATTCTTTCTAAATCGGTGAATTCATTAGGTTTGCTTGGTAATGGTAAATCATCATACATATTATGTGATACTGTATTTCCAGGTGACCAATTTCCTAACTGTTGTTCAAATGAAAACATAGCATCTCGAAGTTCATTGGCTTTTGGGTGATGTGGATCTGAAGTTGACTCGTTTTTTTAGGTATCAGTAATAGACTCATGTAATCTAACACGATATTCAACAAGAGTCTTTTGGTTGACTCACCGGGCCACATTCCTCCATAGACAAACACAGCAATAGTTCCTCCAGGTTTGAGGACTCGAGCAGCTCCATCCCACCAATCAGAAGAGAACCAATGTGCTAAAGGAATGACAATACAACATTTTGTTAGCTTTTTAAGTCGAAGAGATGCTGCGATTGAATGCAATATATATACCTGCTGTTCCCGCAACCAACATATCTACTGAAGCTGTTTCGGCCCAATCAAGTTCCTCAGCTCGACCTACACGAAACTCAAGTCCAAGATCTTTTCTAGATTCCTTTGCATAATCAATCATCGGTTCTGAAGGGTCAATTCCAATCACTTTCTTGAATTCACCCAAACGAAGTAAATCTGTAGTGACTATTCCCTATTGAAATCAACAAACCCCGTATCATGTTAGTTAGAATTTTTGTTCTTCTAATGGTTTGAGACCGTATATCATGCAGACTCCTGTAAGACTTCTTGTCCCAAAATGAAAGAAAGAAAACATCACTGACCGTACCACATCCTAAATCTAGTGCTACTTCCTTTTCACCTTGATGATATTTCATGATAGTCTCATACATTTGTTGAGGATACCTGGGTCGATATGTATCATATGCTTCTATAGAATAAGATTGATCAGCAAAAGTAGAAGCCATGATTGATTTTGTTAAGGTTCAAAAAATCAGAAAACTAAGACTACGAAAAAAAAAAAAACTTTTTAGAGGAATACTTCTACTCATTCGCTAAAAAAAACAAAGATTAAGAACCGAGCGGGCAAACTTTTTTAACCACCCTCAAAGTGCGTACATAGGAACGGGAAGGGTACCGGAAAGGAAAAAAAAGCTCGAAAATACCACCATACACACCTCGCCCCACACAAGATCGACTGCATAGTATTAGTATGCGCCGGACCCCGGTGAAGATTTAGATCTACAAACTGTATATTTTGTGACCCTATTTACAATCCTTTAGTCCACTTGGAACACTCACTCCACTCGTTCTTGCAGGCAGAAAAATGGGGGAAAGTATCAAAGTCACGGGGAAAACTTCTGTTGGGATGTTGATGATGAATCGTATTAGACAACGCATCCCAAAACTTCAGTATCCTGTTTTATAGCTGATGGAAGGATTTCAAGCATAGTCTATCCTGATGAGACGATGATCTCGAAGGAGGGGGTACATATGATTACTGATGTTATTCCATCAATCTGCAAAGACCAAACAAATATCTTAGGGAAGATCTCAAGTGAGATCATCAAAAGTGAGGCGCGTTATCAAGCTTAACTAAACCCTTCAACAAACGCGTTCGTATTTAGCTTAGCATGCTATAAACAAAAATTCTAAACTTGATGAGATCTTGCCTTTTTTCTGCTCATTTTTTTTTGCTTGGTTTGATATCAAACAGACGTTTGATTTTTCTGTTATTCGAAAACGTTAATCTGAACATCTTGCAGGACCAAACGAGTTTGAATAGCCCACAATGTACATACAATGCTTATATGCTACTTTTTCACTGCTGTTCTTAACAAATCCGATGTGCTGGTCTCAACTGAATATGGTTCACACAAACCTTGATGTGAAATGTTGAAGCAAATACTTGAGCATTTTGTAAAATTCGATTTTTTTTCATCATCTCTCTGTGTAATTCAGGAAATGTGATTTAATTTTCTGATTTTTTTTTTATAAAATCGTGTTGATTGAAGATGAAATAGGGGTTTGAATTTTTTTTGATTTCTTGTTAGCATATGATAGAAGTGTTTAATTTTGTAGTCTCGATCCCAGATGAAAAGTTGTTGAAAGCCATATCTTGGCAGCTTGGATTTGACTGTGAATTGATGATATCTTGGCATCTTGGACTTGACTGCGTGATGCCGTGTTGATGGTCCAAGTTGAAAATGTGCAACAAGGTAAAGCTCAACAAGACTAGGCTGGACTAGGCATCTGATACACCCTAGGCTGCGGACCGTATGTAGTCAAGTTCCATCGGCTCGATTATAGACCAGACTCCAGAGTGCTGAGCCAGGCTACAGGAAACGACAAATTATAAAGACTCATTCTCCTTTGATCGTTTGTAAGTTTGTCCACCATCCATCCTTCAATTTTTATTCTATTCACTTTTATATTCACTTTTATTCACTTTGTTACAATATATATTTTTAAATTCAAGATGTCTTCATCATCCTCAAGCATTCATACCACTTCACCCGGAACCATGAACTACGAATGTGAAGAAGATCTCAGAGTAGACGGAGTTGAGTTTTTTCAACTTTACAAAACCTATATATCGACAAAAACTGACGCTAGACTTGTTACTTTGTTTCTTTAGTATGATCCATTAATCTCACCACTTTTATTGAAATCTGAAATCCCTCCTAGTCATCGTTCGAAAGCTATTGTAGGTAGATCAAGACAAGCATGTGCCGATGTGATTTCTGGTAAAGATCATCGCTTGATTGTCGTTGTTGGTCCTTGTTCGATCCATGGTACGTTTATTCTTCATCTTTCTAAACATATCATATTTGCTGTTCTAACGATTCGGTTTTTTCCCTCTTCTCGGTTTTCTTCAATCAGATACTGAACAAGCTCTTCAATATGCAAAATTACTTTTATCTGAAGTTAAAAACTTTCCAGATTTAGTGATTATCATGCGTTCTGTAAGTTTGCCCAAATCATATTCAACCAAAATCAGAAAAACTTTAACTAATCAAAACTTATTTCTTTGATGATCAAAATAGTACTTTGAAAAACCTAGAACAACTGTAGGATGGAAAGGATTGATTAATGATCCAGATCTAGACGGATCTTTCAAGATCAACAAAGGAATGAGAAAAGCCAGAGAATTATTAAATACTTTAACTGATATGGGAATGCCTGTAGGAGTTGAATTGTTAGATACGATCAGGTAAATTTTTCACCACCAACTCAACTTTCCAAATCATTATAAATCTGACCTTTCAAACATTTCATTTCCTAGTCCACAATTCTTATCTGATTTAATTTCTTGGGGAGCTATTGGAGCAAGAACTACTGAATCTCAATTACACCGAGAATTAGCTTCTGGAACCTCACACCCGATCGGGTTCAAGAATGGAACTCAAGGAGACTTACAAGTGGCTATCGATGCTATCAGAGCTGCTGCTTGTCCCCATTCCTTCTTGGGTGTTAATGACCAAGGTTTAGCTTCGATTGTCAAAACTAGTGGGAACCCTGATGTACATGTGATCTTGAGAGGTGGTAAAGTACCTAACTACGAAGCTCAGTTTGTCAAAGAAGCCAGAGACCAACTTGTGAAAGCCAGACCTGCTTTCCATCCTGCAATCATGATCGATTGTTCTCATGGAAACTGTAAGTTTCTTTTTCTCTTTCTTCGTTCTTCTACATTATACTTATTGAATTTGTTTTTTTCTTTGGGATCTTAATAGCACAAAAAGATCATCGTAATCAAATTAAAGTAGTTAACAAGATTTGTGAACAATTGATCGATGGTGATCAATCGATTTCAGGAGTCATGATCGAATCTCACATCAACGAAGGACGTCAAGATGTTCCAATCGAAGGTCCTTCAGCTCTCAAACCTGGTGTCTCGATCACGTTAGTTTTCCTTTTTCTTTTTCATATCTCTTTGGTTTATTAGCTTATCTGACATTTTTCTTGGGTATTATTAGCGATGCTTGTGTGAATTTCGAAACAACTGTTCAAATGTTAACACAATTACAATTAGCAGTAGTCAAACGAAAAGAAATCAGATCTCTTAACACCAATGGTTCTCATGAAACCTAAACCTCCTCTTGAAAAGGCATTCTTTTCTTGATTAACAATGCTCAACCTCTTTTCCCCAAAACCAAACCCATCAAAAAATTTATATAGATAAAACTTAATCTAATTTTTGTCAGAAGAAAACTTAAAATTGATTTTTTTGTTTTGATTTTCTTGATAAATGATTTTTTTTCTTTCTTTCATGACATACAAAAATATTTAAAATGAATTTAGATTGTATTGTGTACATGAGAATTCATTTTACATATTTGTTTGTGTGTGTTTGTGTGTTTTTTTAATTTTTTTTTGGTGAATACTTGTATTTAAATCGATATATATCTGGATATGTAAACATTTCAAACCAACCTTTTGATAAGAAAGAATGTCTATCGTTGCGCATTACTAATAAATCAGGTAGGTTTAATTTTTATTTCATTTTTTCCTGAATCCCGCTCGTGAACTTCAACACTCGTTATCACTTGCCATCAGCTTTCCATAATCTTTGAGGTGGCCTCTAAAAGGTGATGTGTTGTTGCGACATCCACAGTGATTGTGGATCGTCCGATCTTCAATTATTGATCTCGATTTGTGCAGATGATAGTCTTTAAAGAAAGGACGACAGACTCCAGCCAGTGAGGAATTTTGTAAACTTATTCAACTTCCTCCCGCGCCTCTCGTGATTTTTAACCGCTTTGAATCATGCAACCAGATAGAACCATTCAAATTTATTGCCCGGGCGATGAATTTGGATGAGGTTTGAATTTGGCAGGACTATGAAGCTGAAGCGCAGAAAAATGTAGGATCAACAGAAGAACTGAGATTCAGGAGCGTGCATGACACGGTCCACCACCAATCCAAGTCACGTGATAAGTCTATTTTGTTGTAGGCTGGATTTAGAATTTGATGAAGTTTCGAAAGTTGAAGGCAGCTCCTATCGACTTATCAAGACCAGCCTCAAACTATCTATGTACACGAACCTCTTGGAATTGCCACTTTAAGCTCACCCTCGTCGGAAATTCGGAATCACCGGAATAGGATAACCTCGAATAGATATTCAGTTCCTCGTCAATACCCAGGGCTCACTCTCTTCTAGAATAAAACGCAAACACATCGAAAATCTATCAAACCACTCATACACTTTCTAGCCGTTACCAATCAAAGCCTTACCTTGTCCCTACGATGTCTTCAGAGCTTGAAGATGAGGTTGAAGATACCAAGTTTGAAGAGGTTCCATTTGCAATACTTGTGGAATTTTTTGAATTAGTTGCTTCAGCCGAACCACGCGAAATCTCCAACCGACGTAAATCTAATGAACCTCGTAACGGAACGGTACCCAAGTTTCTGGGTTGGATCGAAGGGCTCTTCCAGCCCCTTCCGCCTAGGACTGGAGCTATCTTGTTTCGCCTACTGTTCCCGGATAAAGACATCAGAAGAAAGTGCGTGATTTATGTTGAGATACAAATCGGGGTTTAAATCATTTCAAAAAATCCTAATATTCGGGTCAGATACAATTTACAGGAAACCAAGCTAGGGCAACACTTAGCGCATGTTCTTAAAGTGGCCAATCAAAAGCAGGCGGAAGGACTCTTGCGATGGAATCAAACCACAGTTAATCAAAATGGTGTCAATGTAGGCAAAGATGGATGTCTGGGATTAGAAGTGGGCAAGATCTTACGAAAAACAGTTAGTCTTTCTTTCTAAATCTGGAACAACATGTCAATCTGGATCAGTTTTTAATCTACCTTTTGTCTTTTCTGAGTGAAGTTTAATACCCGTGAAGAACCTTATTCCTTGTGTCTCAGTGACGTTGACCGTCTATTAGACGAACTTGCGGCCAAGTCTGTGTGGTCCAATTTGAAAGGTAATTTTTGAACTCAAGTTTGAAGATTTCACAATTCTCATGGACCATATCTTCATTCCCTTCAGATTGTGAATCGCGAAAACCACCCCGAAACGCTCGTCTGATTCTACAAGATTTATATGACACATTATCCCCTCGTCAAGCGGCCTACATGACTCAGGTACGTTACCTTTCCCTTAATCAGCTTATAAATTATTCAAGTAACTGAAGCCATCTGTGATGTAAACTCTCAGATTATACTCAAGGATCTCAGACCTCTGCTCTACCCTGTTCCTGGATCATCTACCGATCAGTCATTGAACCATTACAATTCGAGGGCGTATGATGAGCTTAACCAGTGGTCTATGATGAAAGCATGGCATTGGGCAATGCCCCGGATCTATCGTGCAAAGGCCGACTTTGATCGGGCAGCAGACTTGGTCGAACAAATTCCAAGAGGTGCGAGTGGTTTTCTTGTCAGTTTGTATATACAGATGCTGGTTACTTAATGACTTTTCTTTTGAAAGATTTGGATATGGTTCCTGATAAGAACGCTGCATATAGCATGGCCGAAAAGCTCTCAGAGCTCGAACTTGGAGTCCCCGTTGATGTAAGATCTTGTTTCGCTACTCGATAGCTACAGATACGATGTTCTGTTCTCACTCAAAGTTCCCTCATTACAGATCCCTAAAGCTGTCAAGGCATCTGGAACTTGCCTTGCAAGCACAATTTCAAAGTTGAAAGGTGATGTGTGGGCCGAAGTAAAGTTAGATGGTGAAAGGTATACTTTTTCTGTAGTTTCAAATTGCCAGATCACATCCCACTTATGCTCCGATATATATCTTCCAGAATGCAGATTCACGTCGACATGTCTAAACCAGAGAAGGAACAAATACAAATCTTTAGCAAATCTCACCGAGATAGCACAGGAGAAAGAGTCAATACGCTCATGTCAGTTTTCAGTTTACTTCAATGCTTCGAATTGCCCGAACATCATGAACTAACAAGTCGTCATGTGTCATTGTTATCTATCAGCCCTATCCGGGCGGCATTAGGGCTTTCTCTGATTACATCATGCAAGCTGATCGACCAAAACCCGAGACCGAGCAATAAGCCTAAGATAGTGTCAGGTATCTTTGAAGCAGAAATGGTAGCGTGGAATTTGACCAAACAACACGTGGACGAATTTTGGCGCATATCGGAACTCAAGCGGAAGCCATCGCGGTCTAAAGGTCACAAATCGACTCAGTAAATTCTTTGGGGAAATGTAATATTGATTGGATACTGAATTTTCTTCTGGTTCGTCTACCTCTTTAGAAAAGTGATTAAATTTTGTAGTGATGAGGAAAGTGGATACGAATCTGAAGGGATGGATACCCAACAGAGCTCAGACAGTCACCGGAGACATTTGGCGGTAGTTTTCTTTGACGTATTATACATCAATGGCCAGAGTGTCATTAATTGTGAGTTTTTTCATAAACAAATCTGATGTCATGAAGTCGATCATCAATTGATTGGTTTCATGGACGCCCAGCGCCGTACTCTGAACGTCAAAGATTACTGGAAAGTGCTGTTCAAGTCATCCCAAATTACGCTATGTTGGTGGAGCGGAGAAAGTTCACCAACGTCAATCATCCCGCTTCTCATAGCGCATTGCGAGAATATTATGCAAAACTCATTGCTGAAAGACACGAGGGTCTCATGTTGAAAGCGGACCAGTCTTGTTACAATGACTATAAGCCAGGTCTTCAGTGGTATAAAGTAAAGAAAGGTATGCACATGTCTATCTTTTATGCACCCTACATATCTCGATGGCCATCAATTTACTCACAGCACAAGTTTCTCTTTATTGGTCTGTAGATTATATCAAAGGCTACGGTGATACAGCTGATTATGCAATCCTCGGAGCTGGCTGGGATCGAGATCGAGCTAGAGAACTCAGAGGTGAATCGATCTTGAATGTTCACTACGTACAACTGAAACTGATTGCGCTCTCTGGGTATACTGTAGTCTCCACTGCCACATATACTGCTTGGTATGTGGGTCTGTGTAAAAACCTATCGGAAGTGGAAAGCAGAGTACGTCCGCCCGACACTGGTGAATTGAGATCTTACGCATAATGCTGACCATCACCTTATACTTGTACAGGGCGCAACGCCAGAGTTTGAGATAGTTTTCAAAGTCCTGTCGTATGGACTGACTCGCGCGAATTTGGATAAACTCAATCAAGACGCACAACAAGTAGGTGGCTATCCACATACAGCCATAGTGAGTTTGTCCTACACCTTTTGCCAAAGTCGATAATTTGTTGATTACGTGCATGCCTACCTTTATGAAAGCCATCTACTCTGCCTTTTGAGTATGAGTTGGCTCAGGGTCTTAGTGCTCCTGACATCATATTCAAGAAGCCCATGGTATTTGAATTGATGGGTTCTGGCTTTACGAAACGGTCGAGATGGCATGTATGTGATTTGCTACATCTTCATATTCATTTAGTGAAATCAAACTGATCCCCACTCAGGCTTATGAATTACGCTGGCCTCGAGTCATCAAAGCTCACGATCCAAACGAACGGGACTGGAAGACTGCCATTGATCTTAGTGAGCACAATCAGATCGCGCGTCGAGCTACTGATCCAGAAGTCTTGAAAGCGGAAAACGAGGAATCTGCAACGGGGCCTGATACCGCTTACGAAGCTGAAATCAAAGCTTGGAAAGAAAGATTGACTCGGGATGACGATACTTGTAACAAAAAACGGTCCAACAAGAAGGTCTCAACGACCACATCCACCAACGCATACATACCAGATTGGCTTTCCGACACATCGGATGAGTTTTCCGATACTTCAGAGTGTCTTGCTGACGTGATCACCGTGACCAGCCCAGTATCTCCAAAAGCTCACTCGCTTAATCGACGACCAGCACCCCTTTCACCGGACAATCTACTCGCTCAGACGGGTTCGACACCACCTACGCGCAAAGCCAGTACCTTCTCAAGTCGCTCCATGACTTCATCGCCTGAGTGTATTTCACCAACACGCATGCCTAAACGGAAAGAAGTCGAGCGAGAGGTCCCAGCTGCCATCCCTTCAAGGAAGAGGATGAACACAGATAGTACCTCGTCCTCTCGAACCGTCAAGTTTAGGCTCCAATCAGACTCTGGGCAGGTTGATGATACCTTTGCTACACCCGACAGACCCGAACGGCAACTCAAAAATGTTTCCACAACCCGCCCGAGTCGTTTTGGACCCTTAGTGACTAAGAGTCTGGCTTTGGATGGGACCCAGCGCATGCGACGTTCTTTGGACGCGACCTCGATACAGTCGACTAGTGCTGAACAGCGACACCAAGTGACTTCGGAAAACGATACACCTTTAGCTGGGCGTACTCGCTCTAAGAGGTCTCTTCCGGACAGTTCCCCTGAAGAAGATCCTCATAGGAGCAAACGTCGTTTGACAGAATGCTCTACAGAGCGAACAAGAACTATGTATCAGCCTATTCAGAATGATGTCGAGGATGTTGTATCACCTAAGCTATACACGTCAACGCGATCTGGACAGAAAAACTCGAATTCTACGCGCACGTCACCAACGAAGCACTCGATTCCCACTCATACATCACCTATGAAGAACTCCAATGCCACGCGCCTCTCACCTACGAAGGACTCGAATCCTCCGCGGATATCACCTATGAAGAACTCCGATGCTTCGCGAATATCACCTATGAAAGGCTCAAGGTTCACCAGCGTATCACCTAACAAGGATTTACGGAAACCGCGGCTGGTCACATTCTCTCCGACACTGCCAAAGAGTGCGTCAAAATCAGTCAACAACGCAGATCAGCTCTCATCTGTAACTGCTCCGTCACCACCAAAGTTTGGAAATTTATCAGAACACGAGACCGCTTCGGTTTCGGGCACTTCAACTCCGACTCCATCACAAGAAAATAAGAAGCTATATGTACCTCCAGCTGTCAATTTATCAAAGTATCACACACTACATCGCCCGCGCCCTTCCTCTACACCACAAGAAGCCAAGACTAACTCTCCAGCACCGGCTGCTATCCATCGATCAGCATTCAAGCCTTCTGGCTCCACTTCATTGCCACAAGTCCCCACTGCATCCTCCACGCCCACTGCTTTCGGTGTCCCAAAATACCCAAAATCACATCTTTCGCGGCCTCTAGCTTCACCACATCAAGCCGCGACTACTTCTCATGCGCAAGCTGCAATCCATCGAACAGAATGCACGACATCGACTGTTTCATGCCCCTCTTCATTGCCACAAGTGACGACTACGTTACCCGTGATGGCTGCTAACGCCAAGTTGGACAATTCTCCCTCCGAAGATCTAGCACCGCGGAGAGATAGTCTTAAAGAAGATGTCATTGTTCCTGAGATAGGCTCATCAAACTCGAAAACCGTGCCAGCTGAAAAACCACCTTGGCTAGAAGCTTCAGAAGTTCAATGGTGCTTAGTAGACGATCATGATGATTATGGTATCTCAGGTACTCGTCATAAATCAATATCTGACTTGATCAAGTCAACCGAGATCTCTTCTGAACTTCACTCATCTCAACCTAAGTTAAATAAAATTAATTATATCTTTGTACAAAAACCTAATCAAGAAATCATGGAACGTGTTAGAAAACAAATCACTTGGAGAAAAATCTTAAATCCTAATTTGAATTTTGTTGTTTATGATGCTAAAGCTTTGGAAAAATTTAAAGATGGAAATCAAAATCAATGGAAAACATATAAATTGTTTGATTGGAATTCTAAGGAATCAATCAATCAGCTTTGATTCTTGTAGATATGTACCTCACTTATTGGTCAGTTGTGATTTGTGTATTAATCCTTTTAAAATCATATATTACAACTTGAAGGAATCATCAGGATACTTTTCTTTTTTTCCGCTAAAAACTTGTATTAAGATATATACATAGAATTTTAAACTTTTTTCTAGGAACTCATTGGAATTTCTGCTTGGTTTTTCTTTCTTTTTCCAAGGATGTTCTAATTTCTTAATTGTGTTGTACTTTCTATCTTGTTTTCTTGCAATCTTGTTTTCTTCAAAGTAATACACACCATCTAATATGTATATTGAGATTTATGTTCTTGGACTGAGAGCTCCTTTGTAGTTCATGAATATCATTGATTGTTGATAGATATGAGGATTAAGAGAGTGAAGATCAGTCCCATTTTGAATTTTTCTCATCAAATGGGGGATTGTGAGAGCTTTTGCACAGCCCCCAGCTACTAGTCACTGGCAGGCCAGAGACTACAGTGACTTCAACAGGACTTTACCAAGATTTCAAAATGACTTCAACATATGTGGGGGTCATTTGCCTGTCATACCACCAAAATTCCAATCTCACCATATGACATTGTAAATCTGTACACACCTGCTCCTGTATTCACAGATTAAGAATATATAGTCTATTGACCTTTATCAGGTAAACTGACTAAGTTATTGAGGTTTGAAAAAAATCACAGATAGAAAATCCTATTTTTGTACTATAGTTGAGACTTGGATCTTAGATATCTTCAATCATCATTAATATACACATAATATAAATCTTATATTCCTCATTGCAATATGCTTCTCTACATTTTTGTGCTCTACAGCCTTCCTGTACAAGGCATATATCTAAACCATACACATGTAGGTGCTTGAAAATTACACCTACACTCCTTTGTTTGAGATGTAGGCGCTCAAAAATGACGCCTACATCTCAAAATAACCATGTAGGTGTGATTTCCAAGCATCTACAGTCAAAACTCTCCAAATCCATAACTCGCTAAATCCATAAACCCCTCAAAGCCATAGGGTATGGTTTCCACATTTGTGGTGCAGGCCGAAATTTGGATTGACCCCTCTAGCCCCTTAACCCATACCAAAATAGTGGGAAAATGTAGTTTTTATCCCCGCTAGACCCATACTTTACCACAGAGTGTTACAAAAATTTTCTATCTTGAGAGACCCTGTCTCAAGCTCTACCACATTTCCTGGGCTCAGCATGCCTCCCTATCTACTTTGACATGGGAACACCATGTAGATCACCTCAACCACCACCAACGTGAAAACATCTGGAGATTTCTTTTGTCTGCTTTACAAAGAGTTTGCATTAGATCTAGCTGAGCGTGGCCTGGACTTCATCAACACTGAATTAAAGTCCAAAATCAAGTGTCTTGAAGATAAAAGATGTGTTGAACAGTTGACTGAAGAAGAAGAAACATGGCTTGACAATGAAGGCAACAGTATTGACAAGACAATGACTCTCAATCATCTTATTACTCTGAATCCTGATCTTCCAAGTGAGATCACAAAGAATATGTTCTTGACAATCTGGAAAGTCGTTGGTGTGGGCAACAAGGCAGCAAATCTCATTACTCCATTAGGAATTGATCCATTTCAAGTCTCTCAAATTACTTCCGTATCAAAAGAAACAGAATCAACCTCCTTGGAAATGAATCCCACCACCACCTCAGTCTCTCAGCAAGCAGTTCTTAAAGTTAAGAAAGGTCAACCTAAAAAAAAGATGCTCTTGCTGCAGTGAAATCCCGTGGGCTTACTGGAAAGGTGCAAGCAACAATTGCTGAGAAGATCACTGTTCTTACCTGGTACCACTTGCACGGCAAAAATCAATCTCTCCCTGCAAAACATTTCAGCAAAGTCTTTCCCCATCTCCAAATGACACAACCACTTGTCTTGGCTTGGGGGAAGTCAGAAGGAAGTATTCACAAGCAAGGCGACAATCATCACCCCTCAATGAAGCGTGCTCGTGAGATTGCATATCCAGCAATTGAGAAGGACTTAGGTGATTGGGTTAGTCAGGCAATCTTGGCTGGTGTTGTTATTGACAGTGATTTTATTCCAGAGAAGTGGAAAGAATTTGCCCGACTTCATCAAGTTTCTAGTTCTGATTGGCTCAAGTTATCTAATGGATGGCTAGGCCAATTCAAGCCACGGCACGGTCTTCAAGCATCTGTCTGACATGGCAAAGGAGCTGCTGCTGAGGTGGCTTGGGTTTCCAAAATCAATCAAGACTTTTCTTTAAAGGACATATTCAATATGGACAAAACCGGTCTTTTTTATGTGTGTGTGTCTTGTTCTAACACTATTTTCTCTCTCATTTTGGCTCCTATTTTTCTCTTGTAGAATGCCACCAGATCAAGGCTCATCAACTGGCTCAGCACATGGTTTAAAGTCCAAAAAAACCCGACTTACACTCGTGTTGACAGTCAATGCTGACGGTTCAGAGGCTCTTGAACCTCTTTTCATCGGTCATGCAGCAAAGCCACAATGTTTTGAGGCGCAACGTGGAGCCAATCACGGGTTTATATACTACTACAACAAGAAGGCTTGGATGGATCACTTCATCTTTCATCAGTACCTCTTAGACCTCAAAAACACCTTTGCTTCACAAAACCAAAAAGCTTTACTTTGGGTAGACAACTTTGCTGGTCATACTATCCCTGAAGAAGGTATAACACATGTTTGAGTGGAATTCTTCTTGCCTAACCTTACCCCACATGTTCATCCTCTTGACGCTGGCATCATCAAGAGTTCAAAAACTAACTACAAACATCGGTATCTCAATCAAGCTATCAGGCTATTCAATACTGGCACCACAGTCACCAGCAAGGTCTACAAAATTGATCAACTCACCGCTATGTGCCTCATTGTCAAATCATGGAAAGCTGTGACCAGCCAAACAATCCGTCACTGTTGCCTTCATACTGGGATCATCAGCTCTCATAAAAAAGGGTAAACCACGTATTTTCTTTTTTACTATCCTTATCGCTCTCTTCTCAGCAACTGAACTTTTTGTTTTGTTTCTATTTCATGCAGACCTTCATTGGGCACTGGTGTCATTGGGTACTACTCTCAATTGGATGGGTGGAGAAGCTGAAGTTGCTCTAGCAGCCAATTTACAACATCTTGAAGATATTGGTGCTGTATCTTGCATGAACCAGATGTCGATTGAGGAAATCATCAACCCCCAAGACAAGCTCCACAATCAATGGAAACTTTGGACAGCAGAAGAGATCTTTCATCAAAGTCAAGAGGATGCTGCATTCATTGCTGCTGCCGAGATCGAAGAGGCTAACTTGGAACCGACCTCCAATTTATTGGATATTGTAAGACCAACAACAAAGGAAGCACTAGATCATATGAGCCAGTTGATGCTATACCTTGAGATTGATGATAGTCCAATGGCTGATACATTAGATAATTTACTAGGGAAGTATTTGGCACAAGCCTGTTCTAAATTGCTGTTAACTGCTCAGCAGTCTACCATCACTGACTTCTTCCGCTGCTCTCCTCTACCCTCAACCTGAAGATCTATGTGTGTTCATAAACCTCTGTCACCCTTACTGTTCTTCACTTTTGTGAACGATCGTTCTCTTTTCTCAGCCCTCTAAATCTATGATGATCATGGTCTGATAGAGTTTTTGTTTCTAAAGAACCATACATCTATGGCATTAGAGGGTGTTTCTGATAAAGCCATACTCCTATGGTATTAGAGGGTTCTTTGAGTAAAACCATAGATAGGCTAAAACCCTATTATAAGCCCATAGCCCCTGTGTTCCACGGAATGGTATGGCTTTAGGGAGTTTTGACTGTACATGTAGGTGTATCCAAATCATGCCTACATTCCAATTATCAAATGTAGGCGCTTGGAAATCACACCTACATGGTTATTTCAGAATGTAGGCATCATTTTTGAAGGTTTCCAGCACCCACATCCTCAATGTAGGCACTTTTTTGTGGGAAACACCCATGTAGGCATGCACTGTTTTTGCAGCACCTACATGGGTTTTCTGTGGGCTGCATATAGCAATGGCCATAAAGATGTAAGGTATTCAAGATCCAGGTCTTGAGTATAGTAAAAAAACTAGTATTTTCTATCCAATCTTTTTTCAAACCTCAATAACTCAATTCACATCATAAAGGTTGATAGAATATATATTAGCTGGTCTCAAAGCAAACCCAGTACACCTGGTTGTCTTTTTGGCTGGGAGGTGTCAAAAATGTCAACTCAATACACAAAGTTACCACCAAAAAAGTGACTGGGTGTACCGGCTTTTTAGCAGCCGGGTTTGCTTTGAGACTGGCTATTCCTGATCTGTGAATACAGGAGCAGGTGTGTACAGGTTGAACTTTGGTGGTATGACGGGAAAATGACCCCCACATGATATTATGTTGAAGTCATTTTGGAATCTGAGTGAAGTCCTGTTGAAGTCATATTAGTCTCTGACCTTCCAGTGACCAGTAGCTTGAGGCTGTTTATTGAGTTCCTGAGAGGAGTTCAATAAGCTCAGATGATCTGGAGAGAGTTGTGTGATCTTGATTGTTAGTTTTCCACCTGAATTGATGATGAGAGGAAGTCCATAGGGTCAAATCAGGATTACTTAGAGGGCTGTGACTTCTAGGAAGGCAAAGTTTTTCAGGAGGAGCAATTCATAATATAAACTTCTTTATTGTTATATACAATTTTTCATTGGTCTGTATCTTCATTGTCAGGCTTTACTCTGATTGTCTCATCTCAGTATCCTTTCTGAATATCACAATGAATGTTGATTGTACAAGTATATGGCACACATTATGTATCAAGGCACACACTGCATGTTTTATGAAAAATTTAAATAAACCTAAACCTTTTGTTTGAACCACTAATTGAGGCCTGTAAGTGAGGTGCATGAACAGAGATGGATGAATGAATGTCCAGGATCATAAATACATTACATATATACTTTTTCATAAAAAAAACAATTAAAACAACAAACAAAACCAAAAACTTGAACCACTTTCTGAAAAAAAAAACCAATCGAAATCTATGAAGATAACATAAAAGTTAAACTTTACCAATCAAAAAAAAACCAATAATTTTTTTTGTTTGTCTTTTTTTGAATTTAAGAAGTTACAAGTGAAACGATTTCAGCATCAATCAAATTACCATATCTTCTACCATCAATCATAATCGAAAGAAGTGAATCAAGATGACCTAATTCTCGATAAGCCCTTAATCTAACTTCTTTTAAACCGATTCCCACCAATAAAGTTTTACATAAAACACTTTGAACGATCGGTACGTTTGTATCACGACCTAGAATTCCAAAAAATCAAAAAAAAACAATCAAAAAAAATCATCATTCAAACTTTGAACTTCATTTTTTGGTTTTCAAAAAAAAAGTTAAGAATTGGAAAAAAAAACTTACCACCATGAATCAATAAAACTTTAGAAGGTAATCTATCAACTTGTAAAAAATCTTTCGAAGCAAACAACAAATGATTAGGCGAGTTCAACAAAGTTTGAGCATGACTCGGTCCCAAAGCTCTACGCAGCGTCGAAACCATTTCCCAACCTAATTTAGCTTCGATTCGAACTTGTTTAATAGGATCATAAATTCCAGACATCAAGATCAATCCTTCGATTTGATTTGAAGTAGTATACTGATCATTTGAGTGAGTTAATCGGTTCAATCCACTTGGAATCATCGCTTGTGATGGTGCATGGTCTCGTGAATGGATCACTGCGTCTTGGACTACTGTTAAGAGGGCTAGATGTGCTCCTGAGCCGTGGCCGAGTAGGTAGACTCGATTCCCATCACCACCATATTGACTTGAGAGACGCGGTCAACAGAAAAGGTCAAGAGCGGTCAGCAGACAATGTAAGTCATCTAGTGATCTCAGGTCAAAGTACTTACTGCGCTGATCTCTGGACCCATGCTAGAGCTTGTCGGATATCAGCTATCGAATCCTCACATCTACCTTCAGGAAACTGAGTCTAGATAATTCCCCAAAAGAAACCAATCTGATCAGTTTCCCATTCCAAATTCCCAATCTACAAACCCAACCCCACAACCCAAAAAAAGATTTACAAAATTAGGTACTACCACACAAAACCCAAGTCTACGAAACCTAAGAGCCAATTGAATATAAAGACCTTTAGAAGTGATAGACCAACCACCTGGATGAAGAAAGACGATCACAGGAGCCAAAGCTGAAGCCGGGATCTGAGCCGAATCTGAATCATCTGAATGGATTTCCAAATCACTAGAATGAGATAGATCAAAACTTTGAAGATGAATTGAAGAAGATTGAGTTGGATAAGATCTTGAGATAGGTGACCAATCGATTGGTAAATAAATATCTAATCGATTTGATTTAGATTGAGTTGAAGTAGTTGTAGTACGATATGAAATGTTTTCTTTTAAGATTTTGGAATTGATCTTCTTATTACCACCTATGACGATGATCCTTCGATATGAATAATCTAAGAGTAATTCGATTAAACCTAGTTTTGAGAATTCAAAGGATTGTTGAATGATCGTTCGTAAGACTCGCCATGCTCTAAGAGGTGATAAAGGTAATACTAAGATTCTAGAACCTTCTGGTGGATCTGTTTGAGCAAATAATAAATAAGGAATTGAAGAAATACTAAAAAGTAAAAACTAAACAAAAAACATCGAAAGAATCAATTTAAATTCAGTCAAATCAGGAAAAGCAATGAGATTGAGAAAACTTACGATTGAAATAAAAATAAAACTAGGAATTGAAACTAAAGAAAAGATAGGTAAAAAAGAAAAGAATAAAGAGATAGGCCAAATAGCAATCCCAAGTAAAGAAGTAGGAATCATACAAAATAATAAAAAGTTGGATAAATTAGAATATTTTGATTTTAAGATGATTTTAGGAATCGATTGGATTGGATTTGATTGATGGGTTGAAGTGTTATTAGGGTCAGGTTTGATCATCGTTTCGTTCTCAGGTCTTTAGGGTGAGAATCGATTTGAAACGGTTGAGTGGTTGTTGAGTGTTCTGTTGATTGACGAGTTGGATGGGAACAAATTGAAATCCAATGAAATCGAATTCAAGACTTGTTACATACAACTCACATATGTAACTGTAACTGGATCAAACCCTATGAAACTATAAAGCCAATCCTTTAGTACGCATATACCTTACTCTTTCACATTTCAAAATACCATTTCAGATCAACTCATCTGATAATCAAAACCTTAATGAAGATTCACAAAAACAATCATCAAAGATCTTCATGCCAATCTCACAGCCAGTATTTCCAGCTCTAGAATGTAAAACAGATCTCCTTCAATCAAAGCAAACCAATTCAAGTCAAACTAACCATACCTCAACTCTAATACCTCTGAACTCAAATAACCTCACTAAACAACTCATACATGATCCTTCTTATACACGACCAAAACCAAAACCAAAAAATCGGATTTCATTACAAAACATCTTAATTGAATGACTTACATATCCAAAAAAACATATCATTACAATCTTTCAAATCAACACACAGACAGACAAAAAAAAGAAGTTGAAAGGAATAAAAAAATTGAGAAATCTATCTTATGAAATATTTAAGAAAAAACCTTAATCGAGGAGAATGATCATTTGGTTTTCATATGGTTCAGATCTTTATATAATTTTGTTTTTCTTGGTTTAGGTTTTTTAAAAAACATATATATAATGTGAAATGAATCATCTTTTCAAACACACAACACAGACTTGAGATCGAGATTCTAAAACTTTGAATTTGGTTTTTAATGATAACCATTAGTATGGGTAGATCTAACTTCTTTTCGTTTAACTACAGCTACTTGTAATTGGTTTAACATCTCGATAGTCGTTTTGAAATTCACACAAGCATCACTAAAATCATCCCAAGAAAAATGTCAGATAAGCTAAGAAACTAAAGAGGTGTAAGGGTAGGAACCTACGTGATAGAGACACCAGGTTTGAGAGCTGATGGACCTTCGATTGGAACGTCTTGACGTCCTTCGTTGATGTGGGATTCGATCATGACTCCTACGATGGATTGATCACCGTCAATTAATTGTTCACAAATCTTGTTAACTACTTTAGATTGATTTCGATGATCTTTTTGTGCTATTAAAATCCCCAAAAAAACAAATTCAACAAGGATGATAAAGAAGAAAACCAAAGAAAGAAGAAACTTACAGTTTCCATGAGAACAATCAATCATAATAGCAGGATGAAAAGCAGGTCTAGCCTTCAAAAGTTGGTCTCTGGCTTCTTTGACAAACTGAGCTTCATAATTAGGTACTTTCCCACCTCTTAAGATCACATGTACATCAGGGTTTCCAATCGTTTTCACAATCGAAGCTAAACCTTGATCATTAACACCTAAGAAAGCATGAGGACAAACAGCAGCTCTGATGGCATCGATCGCCACTTGTAAGTCTCCTTGAGTTCCGTTCTTGAACCCGATCGGATGTGAGGTACCGGATGCGAGTTCTCGATGTAGTTGTGACTCGGTGGTTCTTGCTCCAATTGCTCCCCATGAAATTAAATCAGATAAGAATTGTGGACTATTTGAAGAGCAAAGGGAATCAAGGAGCTTTTTATGAGAATCTGTTCTGTGGTTTTTTTGGAGTGATTAGGGGTTTTGGGGTTGGTGAGACTTACCTAATCGTATCTAATAATTCAACTCCTACTGGAATTCCCATATCAGTTAAAGTATTTAATAATTCTCTGGCTTTTCTCATTCCTTTGTTTATTTTACATGATCCATCTAAATCTGGATCATTTATTAAACCTTTCCATCCAACAGTCGTTCTAGGTTTTTCAAAGTACTTTATGATTTTCAAATCCAAAAAAAAAGATATCAATTTATTTTGAATCAATTGATGTTCTTTTTTGAGAATTTGAGTCCCATAATTTTTTTGGGGGGAAGGTGAGGGTAAAAACTTACAGAACGCATGATGATCACTAAGTCTGGAAAGTTTTTGATTTCTGGTAAAAGTAGTCTTGCATATTGAAGAGCTTGATCGGTATCTAAAAAGTTTTTCAATCATACAAAACCCCATATTCATCCGAAAAATCAATTTTTTTTTTCAATCAAATCAAATTTAGGATCAAGATTCTTTGGGGTTTTGATTTGGATTGTTTTTTTAAAGAATTTAACGTACCATGAATTGAACAAGGACCAACAACGACAATCAATCGATGATCTTTACCTGAAATCACATCCGCACAAGCTTTTCTAGCTTTACCTACAATCTTTTTAGATGTTTGACTAGTAGGAATTTCAGATCTTAAAAGAAGTGGTGAAATTAATGGATCATACTAATAAAAGAAAAAGAAAAAAACGGAACAAAAAATCATGAGTGTTTGATTTTTTTGGGGGGGGGTTAGGATGGTTTGAGAAATTGATGATTTTTTTTTTGGAATATCACTCAACTCCATCTACTCTGATATCTTCTTCACATTCATAGTTTATCGTTCCAGGTGAAGGAGGTTGAGTAGTTGGTGAAGAAGTCATGGTTTATTTGAAAAGTAAATCGATTGAGAATAAGACGAAATACAAATTATAGTGGTGGTAAAATGAGATCGGAAATCAGAAATCGGAGCAAGTTTAAAAAGAAATTATAGTGTGTAATTAATGTTTTGTGTAAAAAGATGAATACTGATTTAAAAAGAGAAGTACAGATTCCAGACAGTAGGGAAGGAAGGAAGGGTGTATTTATATTTCTTTTGAACTATTTTAAACAACTACATACATAGACTTGAAATCTAAACTTTGGGAAAAAGTATAACACAGCCAAAGTTCATCACGATTTACGATTTGATCAACCTATCACATCACAGTATCACAGTATCACAGCCAAATTGGATTCTTAGCTTTCTCGAATTTTAAATGGCTATGCTATGCTATGCTATGCTATGTGTACAACCAAGACTAAATCAAATGTCGGCCAAATCGGCTTCACTCAGAGTCAGAGTCTCAGACTCACAGCTCTTTTTGTGTAAAGTGTGGATGATCCGTTTTTCTGTGGTCTTTCTCTTCCGTGGGATTTGATGAATAGATTTTAAGACCGATCGATCGAGGTTCATAGCTTTTTACAAATCAATCTTCATTTGATTTAGAACAAGAAGAATCAAAATCAAAAACTTGAAAATCATAAAATGGATTTCATATGGAAACTTGATTGATTTCATCAGTCTTAAAACCCTTATTTCAGACTATCAAACTCTTTCTTCGTCTTCATCTTTCAAATCAAATCAAATCAAATCAGATAAAAGAGAATCATACTTTTCACAGTACTTTGGGGTTTTTCAAATCGGTTTACATACATTTACATACTTGAAGAAAGAGATTGAAAATGAAAATGAAAATGAAAATGAAATACAAATCTTTGGAATTCCTGAAACCCAAGAGAAAAAAAGAATATGATTCAGATCCCAGCAAGCTTCGCCAAGTCGATCAGCGAGTTTTTTGGTTTAAAGCTCAAGTATGTACATACACAACTGAAACCTGAAAACATTCACAAACAGATGTATATTTGACTACTGCTTAACTGCTTAGCTTACTGCTTACATGACCTTTGCCTGAAAGATTTAACCAAGTTCTTTAGCGATTTCCGTGTAGGATTGGGTTTCTTTGGGTTCGTACATTTAGGTTGATTTTTTAATTGGATTTAGATCGACTGATTGTTTTGTAATGTACAACTTGTTGCTCAACTCATTTCTATTAGCTTATTAGTTGGTGTCGATTTACTTGTTTAGAGTCTCGTGCAAGGATCAAATATCTGATGGGTATGGTGAGTCAGGAGGAGTTACAGAGCTGTTGGATCTCATTGCAGGAAGTGTTGCAACATATATTTGAAGAGCATTGGCTGGGGTATAGGGAAATGAAAGCTTCTGTCATCCTTATTCCTTGTGAAGGAGCAGTTGAACTTAGGAGTTGGTTGTGGAGCTCAGATCTCGAATAAGCTTAAGTAAGCTCCTCTTCCAAGGCGCCCACATCCGCTCTTGAAAAAGGTCTTATGACAAAAACCCCCAGGTTTGACCTGAGCACAACAGGATTGTCAAGTACTTTTCCTTGAAATCCCATTGTGAAAGCTCTATGTAGACATTATCTAACCTCATAAAAAATTAAACAGAGCTTCTTATGAGCATCATACACAAGCTTTTGCTTGCTATATTTGGTGATAGCCCTGGTTTGGGGCTTGTCACTGTGGATGATTGTAGTTGAGCTTAGATATTTACCTTCACAAAGTCCTACACATGCTTTTTTACCACCTGCTTTTGTTAAGTTTGTTCAGATCTGCTCAGATTCAAGTTATGTTTTCCAATGTACATGTCTAAAAATTTTCTCAGCCAAACAGCAGACCTTTTAAAGTTGCATGAAAGACTCATGTTAACTTCAAAGTTGTATGAAAGACTCATGTTAACTCACTGTAGCACTGTAAGTGTCATATCACTATTACCTCAGTTCCCAGCATACAAGGTAACCTCAGATTTCCTCACCAAGATTGCCCTGGCGCCCAAAACCCCTCCACATAAATAAATATCTTGTGTTTCAATCACCTCAGAGGCTTTTGTTCAAAGGGTATTGTATCTTGGAATCTGATATGAATTTGTAGGCAATATGGTATCAAATACTTTGTCACTTACAATCTGTTCTATGTAATTCTTTGACCACAATGAATTATGTTACATTGATGAAAAAAACCTCATGTCCCTATTTGTCTGTGAAGAAGTACATAAAACAGTATGATTTCATTAAGGTCAAGTAAGTATATAAAAAACAAAAATAAAAACATATAAAATTTTTACTTTCCAAAGTTGATTTCCTTTAGGTTTTTAGTAAATGTGTGGTTAGTGACATCAATTACCACTTATTTCAAAGCTATATAAACCATTCAAAGTAATACAGTGAAACAAATTTGGGGACTTCTTGTTGAGGGAGAGCTATTTAAAAGTTATCCTCAGTAGTCCACATTTGCAAAATTCTTGTTTTTATATTTTTTATAGTATCAAGCCAAAGATTAATAAAAATGTTTCATGTTGTTGTGTGAAGTTACAAAATGCCTGGTTCTTGATTTTGTGAGTCTCAATAAATCTCATCTTGATAATCCTGACATCAGCTTTTACAAGGAAGTTTCAAAAAATATCATGAACTGATTGCCTTTCCATAGACTCTGAAGCATTCATAAAGAAAAATCTTTCTGTTCTATCAGTATGAGCATATAGAAAGTGCTCATAACACTCTGGTTCCCAGACTACATAAAGTGTGATTTGACAGTCGGAAACATGTGGATCCTGAAGTATCTTTGGGTAGACTAAGTTGAACTCAATGGCTTGGAATGATGGGAGGTTTCCTCTTTTGCACAGATTTGTTTCTGGCTTGCCTTGTAGTAGTGGTTTCAATCTGAGCAGGACTCTCTTCAAAAGACTTACCTTTAGACATGTATTTACAAGTCTCCTTTTTTGCAAATAATAATGGTTGTATTTCCAGGGTACTGATACAATTGAACAAGCTTACAAAGATACATAGTCGGAAGAAAAGGGATCCTTGATAGAAAGAAATTCACTGATTTACAAGATGTATTTGAATACCAGCCATGATTTTGGGAATGATGCTCATTGTTTTTGAACATTTTGAGATGGTGGTTTTCTGATGCAATTGTTGTATGAGAACCCAATATGAGGTTGTTTTTTTAGATCAGAGAATGCCAAGTTGATCACCTCCCTTCAATCTTCCCAGTAGAAAAGATGTGAAAGGTGTGGGTTCAGTCGAAGGACTCGTGCGTGTCTTTCGTCAGATGTCAACTCGATCTTTGGTACTTCTTGATCACGGAGTTTGATGATATAAGATTGTGTATTTGAACCTTTTGATGTTTGTTCAATCTCATCCAAAACCTCGGATTCATGCATGCTACTCTCTCCGTCGAGGAGATTATCAAAAGATTTATCGGAGTCGTCTACTTTCGAATGTATGCACGGTGACGATATAAATCCATCGATGTGTCTTGCTTCGACTTCTCCCTTGTTACATTCGACAACATCTGCTGGTCTGCTAATGCTTTCGTTGTCGGATGAAAATTCAAAGTCGCATTGGAAGTCTCTTTCGAGGTCCTCCGCCAGCTCGTTGATGTAGTCGTCCCACTCTTCATCGGTAAAAAGTTGATCAATCTCTTCTTGCCATGGACAGCTTTGCGATACGATTGGCTTGGCAAGGGGCTCGTTTGTGAGTGCTACAATGGCCTTGTGATGAGGGACTGATACGTAAAGCGGTGAGGTGACGAGTTTTTGAGACATGTCATTGACAGAGTTATCGATTGAATCTTCTTGAAAGAGTGTACTAAAGGAGCTGTCGGATCCATTCGAGTTTCTCTCCTCTTCCGATCCGCAAGAGTAGCAAGATACACTTTGTACAGATGGCGAGCTAGCAGGCGAACCTTCAATTGTGACCATGCTTTCGTCACCATCAGTAAGGGTATCGATCAAAGTATCGCGATCTTCCACTGTGTCATTGTCCAGATCCATTACAGCCGAAATGTTATGACTAATCGCAGTCTAGGAAGCGAAGAAATCCTCAGAATATATCTCGACAAATGATGCATGAGAAAACTTTTACAGCGAGCAAACATACCTCAACAACTGATTGCGGAGTCCATGTGAGGAGTTTATTGCTCGGGAAGAGCTCAAAGGGGTACGACTTGATGACATCCTGATGACACGGTAGCAGGGAGGTTAAAAATGCAGGTCCCTTGTCAAGCGAAAAGAATGGACTGCTTACTTGATCTTGGATCGTTGAAGCATCCATGCTCTTGATAGTGTTTTGAGCGTTGAGGCGAACGGCCTGCTTGAGATAGAAAAAAGGCTCGACAACAGAATTCGCGGCGAGATTTAATCCAAGAGATAGGAATGGCATGTTGTATGAGTAGATATTGAGATTATCTAGAGCGGTTGTAGAATTGGAAGAGCTCTGAGATAGAATCTGGATGACGAATGAAGTTTGATATGGCCGATAAAGGTCTCTCGGTATGTGCCTGGGTAGCAGTACTTAGACAAAGTCAGTTTAGAGGAGCTCGAGTGTTGTTGATGGAATTGATAATTTAGTGAATAAAGTGATTTGAGCGATGAGCGATGTGGATGGATATGATGGTAGAGTGAGAAATGTGAGAAACAACAAGAAGTGTGTGAGGAGGATTGAAAGAGAAACGGAGGTTCAGGCATCTTTTTATAGGCTACCAGTTGCGTATCAATCTTGTTTTTCGTTCAAGCTTGTGTGCCTTTGATGTTGCTACCGGCAGTCAGTATAATTTTAAAGATCACATTCCGATCATATGGTGTGATTTAGATTACAATGCCCTGTTGGCCCTGGAAAAAGACTATAAGAATGAAACGGGTTATGAAGATGACCAAGTTCTGGCCTCCGTGCATTGAGTCTGACCACTGGAAGAAGCAATGGTCTATGCCGGCGGCGACGTGATCACATTGGTTGATCGGCCATCAAGAGTCATGCGGGGTCACCCTTACCATTGCACCACCTGCGGTTTTTTGAAAAAGGTTCAGTGTCACTTGGACTGAAAACTAGCTGGATTTTGGCCTTGATTGTCAAGGTGTTATCCGTCCCTCGAGCGACAGAGGTTCCTAAAACGGTACGCTTTGGCCTATCAAATCATGGTTTGTCAAAGTTCCGCAAGGAAGGAGTGCCAGAGCATTTCTGAGGTAGAAAGCAACAAAACCTCTATCGTCCCGTTGCCAACAACACCCACCTCGTGCAGACTTTGTGACTCAGAGGTGCGCATGGTGAACACGTCCGCTTCAACTTAAGCTTGAAGTCATCTGGGCGAGTTACCTCTTGCATACTGATCTCAATTGAGCCTATATTGGCACACGCGCTGCTAGATGAGTTGGATTTTTCTTTCGAAAGTCGCCGAATGACGCGAAAAAAAATCCTCACTATAACATTAGATGTAAGTGATTCCGGCTTTTTTGAGTCTCGAGATCTTCTGAAGCTTCTTGAAGTCCCTCAAGATTTCCTGATTCTCGTGATCTGGCCACCATTTTTACTCGTGTCTGCAGTGATTGCTATGGTCAACACCGCACAGTCCCACAAGAGTAAAGCACTTTATGCTTAATCAACTTGATATTTTATTTCAAAATAGAGTTGGAATATTTAGTTGATTTTTATTTGTTTTTGAATTTTTGGTATGTACGTAAGCAGAAAAGACAGGAAGATCATACAATTTTTGATCAGGACTATAAAGATGCAAGCAAGAAATACGTGTGTTGATGTTGGATCAGACTCGATCGCCGCTGCTTCTGATCGGTAGAGGCGAGGATCACGCCATAAAGACGTAAAGAAACCCTAGTAAACATGCACAAGACCCCACTAGAGTCGTAGGTTGACATTATTTTTGAACATACAACGAAAAGCCGATGGAATACCAAGGTAAGGCTGATGTAGACTGTACAAAGAGTAGGGTTCAGCTTTGATTGATTTACAATTGGTTATGATGAGATACGTTGAAGTTGTCAGTTGTCTTGTCTTCAGATAATTGAAAGGTGTCTATTTCAAAGGGAAGAATCAGATCAGCCCGAGATCATGAGGGAAACTAACTTTGGAACTTACTTTGTGATTGCGGTGCCTTTTGGATCAAGGTTGGTAAAGCAGTTTTGGGTGCATCTTTTGGCTTTTCCGCTTCCGTCTGCGTCGCAGTTGGTACACTAGGTTCACTGGGTTCACTACGTTCGCTGGGTTCACTGGTAGGGTCTCTGTCCATTTCGATCACAGCAGCCCCGAGTGATTCGAAAAGCCTTGCAAATGGATCTTTATATCCGCCCGACATACCAGCGAGTGTTTTTAATCTATCCAATCTTTCGCGCGTGTGGTCCGTGACTTGTTGTGCTCTGAGAGTGGTATGAAAGATTGAAGGTGGGATGATCCTCTTGACTGACTTGACGATCTCGATCCTGGTTGGAATGGAACCACTTCCCCCAATTTGGTTGCCTTCCGATTCACCAAAATCAACCATCATCATCTCAATGTTCATCGTACCGGAATTTCCTGATTCACTTCTGAACGGGTCATCGGATTCGTCTAAATTTGTAGAGATCATCATGAAGCTATGATCATCGTGGTGGCCTCCAAACATATTTTGGAGTTCCGCTAGGCCGTTGTATTCTGATTCGCGTTGGACTTCAAATCCCTCGATCTCAATTCGACCATTGACATGACTGGGTAAACCGTTGCTGAAGGTTGATGATAGATCGCGAGTATTGAGTCGTAAAGGTTTCCTCACTGTATCCGCCCGGTGTGGCTGCACAGCGGCAAAAGTAAGGTTGAAAGTCGAGGATAGAAAGATCACAAGTCTCACAAAGGCGTACATTCGAGCCATGAGGTTGGCAAGTTTAGATGAGAAAAGGTGGCGGTGAATATAATACACTCTGCGAAGAAGTAATCTGACAATGAATTCTACCCTTGGATAAAGCAGATGAGAGGGGATTTAAAAAGATACCACTAGAAAAAAGTGGAAGAAATGAATGTAATGAAAGTCTCGTTGAATTTTTTTATAAATTGGGAGTGAGCGAGGCGATATGTAAACAGTAAATCCCAACGAGGAACTATGGTGACAAAGAGATAGGGATCAAGTTGGGGAACTTTCGATAACGCTTTCAAGTTGTCGATTTTTTTGTAGGGTCAAACTCGTTACCATGACTGACTTCAACATTAATTTTAACTTTGAAACATGTTCAGGTCTGATTGTATCTGGCTCTGACAAAAGTGTCACATCTTCCAAGTGAACAAATTACACTTCCTACCACAAGTTTCAGGATGAGTGAGTAAACCGATTATGAGCTTAGTGTGGACCTCCTGGGCTGATACTTGACGTTTGAAGTATGTAGACAAATCTTTTCTTTCCTCGCACCCGTTCAGACAGTTGAGCTCATGCAGTGCCTCGTGCTTCGTGTTCCTCCTCGCAAGCATTTGCTCAATCATTCTGTACTCCATTTGGCCATCGCACATGTCACTTCCTCGAGCGCCTGCCGCAAAGCCAGGGTTTGGTGATCGCGTCAACATGGTATCGCTTTCATCGAATCCATCAGTCTTGGCTTGCTCCAAAGACTGCGAACACAACTTCGACTGAAAGACCCCTATCCCTCAATACTTGAGCGCAGCATCGCCCAGGCAAAGTCGAGCCACAAAAACTTATTTTCTTACCTGTTACATGCACAATCCGGGCTCGCTTCTGGAGACTTGATTTCCACAGAATTTTGGCCACCGTCATTTGCAACGTATGATATCAGTGGGCGCAATCAGTGGACCGGATCGCAAGCAGGACAAGCTGATAAATTTCCCCACCTACTTAAGTCTAGCAATGACGCAGTTTACGAAGCAGTATATGAAAATGTGGAACTAGTCTTTTCATGGTCATCATGCTCCTTGTACAAGTTATGAGAACACCTTGAATTCACAAGGAAATAGCTACCGATGCTCTGCAATATTTGGTGGTGCTATATATGAGTCAACAATATATGGCCAATCATAACTTATGAGGTGTTTGTGGGATATGTAGATGAACAGCTGACCCCCAAACACGCCAGACTGTGAAACCATCCATATATCCGGAATGAAGATACTTATATGTTAATGTCAAAAATCCCCCCCAAAAAAATGCAGTGAGGTCAAACAAATCAACGATACATTCGAAGTCAAAGCACTCTGAAATATGTGACGTGTGCGGTCCCTGTTTGCGCTGTGTGCACTGTGCCCTGATGGCCTTGCGCGGACCGCGCCGGACCCACTGACACGGCACTTCTCACTCCCTCGTCGATGAATTTTGGCTGAGTGGTCAGTTTGAACTTTGCCGCCAGAAAAACTTCATCGTTCCCGCCCTTTCCCTATTAAGGATGTGGTCGGAGGAAAAGTTAAAGAGGATCAAGATCAAAGGAGTTCCAATGGAATGATGTAGTGATTTTATACCTCCATTTCACAGGATCTGACCCAATCGAAGGTCCCACTCGGTCACATATACGTACACTCTCAAAATCTCACATTGCATCTGGGTGTCCTTCAAAGAAAGTCGCCAATCCCTAATCACTCGACCAAAAATTGACATTGAAAAGTGCGTATGACTAGTACATTGAATTCAGCAAATCTGGACCGATTTTGATCTGAAACCTCGAGCGACTTGGTGGAGAATTTGGAACAAACTTGTCTGAACTTATACCCGCACGTCGAGCCTTGTGAGCCGTTTGCTTCTCTACGCCATCTCAACGGTTGCCTGTGTTGATTTGCCAGCATTCTACTGTATCTTCTGAGCTTTGAACTGCTTAGAAATTCTCAAACAACATCAATTCAGGCTTCACCATTTCTTCGTTCAATTTGTCTCACTTGCATCCTGTGTAAGGTTTATAAAAGAATTGAACGCATATGCTGACCAGAAAGCCCTCTGCAAGTCCATTGTGCAGAACTTTGGTTAGATATGATCTGGAAATGGTGTTCGGAAGCGGTCTGATGAAGCACCACCTGTGACTTTCCAAATAACAGATAAAGTTTATATAGCATCAGTAAGCTGCAGAAGTCCTTGAAAATCAGCTTGTTCCTAGTTGACATGTGTGAAATATTTTTATTTTCCCTTTAAAGTGTCGTAACACTTGTTATATTTTTGAAACTGCAACATATACGCTTGGGGTGATCAAAGGAGGCTACTACACTCTTATCTGTAGAGAGGGTATCAAGCCGAGAACGAGAAAGAGGGCGAGAGCTTTGAAATTTCCTTTTCATGATTGAGTTAACCCGTTGGCAATCTTCACAGCAGCTTTCATCACAAGCATGAAAAGTGGAAACAAGTCCAATGGCCGACGTGTCTATGTCTCTTGGAAAGATGAAGAACTTCTCTCGTACATCTACTAACATCTAGAAACTGAATGGGTTTCCCAATATGATTTCCTCTGTAAAGACTGCGATACATGACGATCGTCTCAGGGTCAATCAGACCGTTTAACTACAGAAAACGTATCTCGGGAAATATCTTATCTCTCTATGTTATGCTTTTCATCATATTTAATGGCAGCTTTAGAGGTGCGCGTTTCATCTGAATTGTCAGAAGGCCTGGAATCGACATGGACAACCACCTAGAGCGCGTTTGTGGCAGAAATCTCTGATAAGAGTGTACATACGGGAAATTTCAAAACGAAAAAATCAAATAAGAGGCATTTTCAATTTCATAGAATGCATTTGATGATCAGGATTTTCTCAAGAAAACATGCCCGTTAAGTCAAATGGCCAATTTTTACACGTTCAATGTGGAAAATTATCAAGCGGAATATAATCTTTGGAAAACGATTGTTATATTTCAACTATATTAACGAGAGTGACTTTTTAACGGTGAGTCCAAAAGATACTGATATCATTGAAAAGTATTATCTAAAAGAAAAAAAAATTACTGATATTGACAACATATGAGACGTTCGAAAGATGTATGACCAGACGAAGGTAGAGCCTATTCAATTAAAATTTCACAAAGAGAGTCTCAGAAACTGATGTCTTCAGGATAAGATTCTTCGACGACGATCTGCGAAAATATTGAAAAATTGTAGAAAGATTCAGTGAAGAACTAAAAGGCGGGAGCAAGAGAAAATACTGACCTCGACTAATTCAAATGGTTCTGGGACCTCGACTAACTCAAAAAGTTGCGGACGCTCGGCTCCCTCAAATGGTTCTGAGACCTCGACAAAGACAAACGGTCGTGAGATATCTCTGAGTGGTGATCCGTGGACAGTCTGAAGGAATGACGAGTCTTGTTCCGAGACAGGTGGCGGTAAGTTTTCCAAGGAAGGTTGAGTGGCGAGAGGATCTGATGAGCAAGTCACTTGGGGAGAGATTTCCTGGAGTGGGATGAGAGATTCCTTTGTAGAGCGAGATACATCGATCCAGGGGAAGAATATCATACTGCAAGCGTAGAGGAGGCAGAGGATAGGGAAGGAGAAGAGCGAAAAGGTGAAGGAGGATACGAGGACTTTTATGACTGTGGTCTCTGGATGAAGCTGAAGACGTCCGATCTTCGACAAGGAGAGATGAAATACGAAGACCGTCGTGAAATATAACAAAAAGGCTCTGATAGTCTGGAGAAAGCTAGACATCTTGAAGTATGGATGGGAAATCATTCGGAATCAGAGAGGGGTGATACGCTAGATATGAAGTGGAGAAGATCTAGATAGCGTGAAGGACTGTTGAGAGGAAAAGAAGTCGGTGGCAGGGATGAAGACGGGAGCTTTCGAATACGAAGACTATTATATTCCTTACGATCAGCAGGAGTCCACCTCTTAAAGCATCAGCACGGAATACACCAGTCATTTTCGATTGCTGATATTGCGTAACTTAAATGCAAGATGAAATGCAGACACATTTTGTGTGATCAGTGCCAGCTGAAAAGCTCTCTTCAAATGCAAGAGAATGGGATCGATTAGGTTGGGACATCATTTTGTTCAGGACTTTTGGTTGAATACCTGTCCGACCCCACTTGAAATGCTTCAGTAAAGAGAGTCAAAATGCAATCACTGATCATGAAAATCACATCACAACAACGAAGCCAAACATTTCAATGTACGTAATTAGCGTAGAAAGAGAGAAAAGCAAAAAATACAAGATATCTGTGTTCTGATTGTGCCAATCCACTCCAGGAATTTTGCAAATTCAAACCCTCTAATTTCGGAAGGCCTCAAACGCATTTACCTTATAGGAACTTAGGTGATGGCTTCAATACCAGGTTAACTTTTACAATTCCTCCCCTGACTATCAAACATTTCACTACATAGATATCCGAAGTGACGGTAAGACAAGTTGATACGTGGTGTAATTTCTAACGGAAGTAATTTGTATCGTTTGTATCTCTCCCGCGACCCAAAGATACTTCAGGTTCGTTACCTGGAAAGCTGTTTAGCTTTTCGGAGGTCCAACAGGTTTGCATTGCTTTGAAAAAACCTCTTCGATGTAGATTAGTTTCATGAGACTCGATATGTGTATGATTCGGTCTCTTCTGATCTAATCACGGGAAAAACGTGTGCAAAAGTGGGATATCTTTTGTGCTTTCAAATGTACGGATTTTCTGGGCGTTAAGTAGAAGATTTCAAAGACGACATGAATTCATCTTATTCGATCTGCTCAACATAGCATGGTAATGCTCTGGTCATAGATTGAGGTTTATATAAATTTCTTACATTTTGCCAATATTAGCACAGGAGACAGCGGCAAAAAGGAATATCGAACATTTGTTCAAGGTACCACTGTTTCGCACACTGACTCCACCTCGAACCCATCAGAGGCACTCTCGTCGACAACAACTGGCAAAGAAGTTGATGCCCCGGTATCTCTTTTACTCGGCTCTTCCTGTTTTTGTGTCCCATAACGAGCTGTTCCGTCGCGGTTGAGTAAGCTGGATGACTATTTACAAGAAATGATAGACAAGTTACTATTTGAATGTGAGAATCCATCAAGCTTTCAGCAAAAGAAAACTTACTGGGTCTTTGCGACAACTCGACACCCTCTGATCAAACTTCTTGGCTGTAGCAATCTGAGATTGTTTTTCGAGAACAATCTGGTAGGCTTTCAAGTCCTCGATGCGAGCTTGCAATTTGGTTCGAGCAGAAACCGAGAATTCGCGTAGGTTTTCTGAGATTGTTTGACGTGTTTTCCCGCCCATGGGTGAAAATCGCGATTCACGGGCTCTACTTAGATTATGAGTGAGAGGTTCACGTGGCATTATGATTCTTTTTGTGGTGTGGAAAGCGTGCAGATTTGTATGAAGTGAATTGGGATAGTGGGAGTTATTGAGTGGATGGATCACCTTGAATGTATTGATACGATCTGAGAGGCTTGTCTAATATTTCATATATATACCATATCTCCGAGCTGAGGTTGGTAGAGGGAAAGCTGAGGTGCATTTCGCGTCAGTTTTGCTTAAATTTGAACACTTGAGCTCACGGTACAAGTTAGATACAGAAGCGCGACTCCCACAGGGAGTTCAGCGCGACCAGAAAAGCAACATCGAGTTCACGAGTCATGATTTTCAAAACCAAGGTTTTTCTCTTCTCAAGTAAGCATACAGGAGGGCAGGGAAATGAAAAGCTTAGAGTAAACTCACCTCGGTTCTTGATCGCTTTGATTGCTTTCCGAAATCTGTTAAGCGAACGAGGCTACATTCGCATAAAGCACTCAAGAAGGGGCTGATTACACACCTCCGTTCCCTTTGTTCCTTCCGGTGTTCTGGCTTTATATCGTCGAGTGCGGTAGATGCGGCTTGCATGAAGGAGAGAAAATGCACATTCCTTCTTGACGCCCAGCTCCTACTCAAACGTGGAAAGTATCTATTAGTCGGATGATTTTCTACATCCTGATCATGTGGTACTCAGCCTCAGATGTTTCTTCTGAAAAACATCAATGATGTACATATGGTCCAGATGACGAGCGTCCGAATTCAACGCAGGCTGGGATAAAACTCAACTCAAGAGGCTCAAAGGGCTTGGTTGAATGTATCTGGTTCAGAGGTCGCGTCTCTCAGAACAGGTTTAGGAGAACAGCTCCTGAATTACCTCACTAATCATGTTTAAGGGTATCTGACTAGTGATTGGAAGAAAGACTGCTTCAAGCTGAGAGTACATCTCAATCTTTGGACAGCTCAACATCATATACAACAAAAACTCCAACGAATATTCTAATCCTTGGATATTCCAATACAATAATAATCTCCCTCGACACAAATAATTATCACTTTTTCTTGCAATGAAGTTATTGACGAAGAAACATCTTTATAAATTACTTCATTAGATTCCCACACCTATCTTTTTCTTTCGGTTTTCATCTATCTTGCTTATTTTTATTGTCAATTTTTTTGTGGCTCTAGGCTCTGATCCTGGAATACAAAAAACAGGTATGGATATTCTTCAACTTTGATGGAAATGTATCACATTGAGCTCTTATATAATTGAAGTATGACTCACTCTGAGAATGAGACTTAAGCGCTGAGATCCACCCACAAACTTCCCTGAAAACTCATCAAGGTGTGGAAATGCATGACAAAGTCGATATCGCACTGAGTCTCTAGAAAAGATTATCATAAAATGAAACTTTGATCAGGATGAGGAAAACTTGAAAAAGTAAGAATCTCGACACATACCGGTGAAGATAAACGCTTCCAGGCTCAAGAAGGATCTTGTAGGCCACATCTTTACCCTTTTCATCCGCCAAAAGGTGCATCACCTTTGGACCACCAAGACCAAGAGAGAGCGAGATGGGTCCTGAATCGCAAGGATTATCAAGGTGAGGTGCGATTTGACCATTCGGTCCGAGGTGCAAGATATGACCGACGATTGATGAAGGACGAGGCCTTAGAGCGAGTAGACGATCGAGGAGGGGTCGAATGAGTGGGTCTGAAAATTGATCGAGTCCATAGATCTCTTGTAATCGATAATCAGACAAGACCATACCAGGTTCACCGGGCTCAAAATCGTATGATTCCGCAGGCTTAAATCCAGGAGCCGATTTGGTTTTTGCCGGAATTTCCCTTGGCTTTGTCTTAGAACTATCCGGAGGTTTGTTTGAATCAAGAATAGATAGCAAGAATTTCGCCCAGATGGATTGTTCCTCAACATTGAATACATTCCGATAAAGCTCGAAATCCAGTGGATTGTGAGCCGTCTGAAGAGCTGCAGGACCACGAACAATGAAAGGGCAAGACTCGTCCGCAAGAGTAAAAGGACGAAGTGGACTAGGCAAGTGAGTGGAAGCCATAGCGAAAGACCGCGACGAGCCGAATGAGATCCACGAGCTCGAAGGAGGGACAAGACGCGAGGAAAAGATGCCCTTGTAAGCTAAATAAACAGTCTTAGCCATGTATGAAGAAATTCGAACTGAAATGATGATGCACTTGGATCGGAGAATCGGAGAACAATATGGGATGAAGAAGACAAGAAGTTCATTTGCGCGCGTCTTAAATATCTTTCCCAACATCATCAACGGAGTCAATTTTCCGCATTACAATACAGTGTATTGTAGTCCAAAGTGGCCCAAAGTGACTCAGAGAGCGGGTGGGAGTGGAGAGGAGTGGAGGCCAAAGGAGGATACTTATCACGATAAGGCTGCAGAGTTGACTTTTACTGCACTTCACGCTCACTATTCCAGCCGTGGATTTTTTGAGAGTAACCCCACTGTACAGTGTAAGCAAGTGGAGGCCATGGAAACGACCGATGAACTTTCTCTTGATCCACAAGACCACAAGCAAACCGTGACGGATTCCACAAGCTACTTCATAGAGTACATACAGACCAAGCGTCTTGTCATCATGAGGGTAATGAAATCACTTCTCCCACATCTTTGTAAATTCTACATAAGACACTTTTTCTAAAGCTTTGTAACTTGATTCTCGAAGACATCCTACACAAAAAAATCAAATAAACCAAATGTTGAAAGCCGGCTTCTAGACTTAGAATCTTATAGCATCCATGAACAAGATTTGATGAACCCTTACATCACCTGTCCAGGTCATTCCACTGCAAAATTGGTGCCAAGCTTTGGGGATTGATAGATGATAACGGCAGGGTTCCGTGACATGGGAGGACACTCAACCCCACCGTGGGTGTCGTGGGCAAGCTGCAAAAGGTGGTTTGATAAGAAGCTGAAGATACATACTCTGTTACAAGATTACGGATGATAGGTGTCGAGCGAAGACTCAGCTTCTTCTTTGCTAACCCTGATTACGATCGCTACTTTGTTAGCTTCTAAGTAATACGTCTCCTATTTGTTCTCATGCTGCACACCCACACTGCAGTTCCAGGAATTACATTGAGTGATAGCAAACCATCTTGAGAATTTGTTTTACCATTCTATCACCTAAAGTCTTCAAATGCCACTTCAGGGAAATCATCTCAATCCTCATTTTTATGATCTTATAGTCTATTTCTGTGTCTATATATCCCAGATCTAGGTCTGCTACCTCTAATTACATCGTACGACTTATTACAAACATATACAAAGAGATCCTCCTCTAATGAAACATGAATAGATTGATATCATCAAAAAGAGTTCTTTTTCTAATACTATGTATGGCCAATGTGCTCGATTGTAGAATGATCGTTCATCCTCAGTTGATTGTATCATGATCCGTTTTTACATCCTAAAAGAGTCATGATGATGAGTACCATGATATTTGGGAAACCAAAGAGAAAGCCAACGTACTCTGAGGATCAAGCTAAGTCTTTGTGTTCCGCCTACATTCCTACCTTGAAATTCATCTATCTCTGGTATAGCATGCGGAAGTGAATATCTGATCGAATTCCTAAAGAAGGCCAAAAAAGGGTTTTAGTGAATGTGTAAGAGTGATGGATAAGAGTCTATGACTAACCGTTGAAGATAAACACTTCCAGGAGGAAGCAAGATCTTATAAACCGGTTCTTTATCCTCTTCATTCCCAAACAAATGCATCACTCTTTCGCCACCTAAACTTAAGCCTAAGATCGTAGGACCAGATGCGATAGGGTTATCAACATGTCGATCGATCCGACCGGTTTCACTTAAATGTAAAATATGTGCCATTAAATTAGATTGATGATTTGTAGTAGGAAACAAATTAATTAATTTTTTTAAAGAATCTATCGAAATCGAATTCAAATCACGAATCTCATGTTCTCTAAAATCTTTAATAACTGTATCAAAATGACCATCTTGAAAATCATATTGATCAACCTTTTCAAATCCTTCTTGGTTTAGAATCTTAGATTTCGTTTTAGATTTCTTGTTTCTACGTTTTGGATATTGTCGATTTAAAATTAAAAGTAAAGATTCGATCCATTGAACTTGTTCTTCTTGGTTTATCAAATTTGGATAAAATTCAAAGTCTAATGGATTATGATCTCTTGATGATTGAAAGTTAGATTTGTTATGAATGATGTAAGGACAATTCTCATCTTTTAATGTATAGAATGCTTTAGTTGAAATCGATCTTGATCCAGAGAATGTGGGTTGTTTGAGACAGTGCCAGGGATTAGATCGAAGTTGGTTTGTTAATCGATTGATGATTATCATCGGTGGGTCGGCCGTTCAAAGAAACTCTCCAGTCGATCGACTTTTGTTTTGTCCCAAGTGCAGTTTGAACTTGCTTTAGCCCGAGCCCTGACTGCTTAAAACACCCTCGAAACCTAATCATCCCCATCCTGAATCCCATTCCATCACGATTCACATCTGTATCATTTTCTCAACCCTTTCTCACCTTCCTGCGTTTTCCCCACCAAGACAAGAGCAGTTTGACAAATCAGTATATTTTGGACTCAAGCAGACAAAATGATGACAGACTGATTTGATAAACTGTAGGGATCTGGTCAACTTAAGCTCCAGAGGTCTTGATAAAATGGCTATAGTGTGCAAGTTATGTGTACATACATGGTCTCATTTGGTGCCACACTAAAGATGAGCTTCAACATGGCTTCGAATGTGGATTCGACTTTACAAAATGTTTCCATTCATGGAAATTTAGAAGCGCATATATCGAGGGGTATAGCCATTAGTTAAATTTCCCAGTCTGGTGACGTTGCTTGTAAGGGAAGGCTTTCTGGTTTGAATATGAACGAGTGGGTGTGGGAAGCTGATCAGTCGGTCTTGTACATTTCAAATTTCTCAGTTGATCACGAGACCGGTACACCTCACTACATACACACGGTACCAGTGTTGGATATAAAGTGGTCATTCCTTTTCCAAACCTCCCCTTACCCCGCGTCCGAGTCAACCTGGAACTTCAAACCCCGAGCATAAGAGAACAATAAATACCACCTTCACGTGTTTCCTGATTCATATCATCTCATCACCATCAATTAGCATTTGATAAATACCAAATAACCTTCATCAAGTTCTTCAAAACAGATTTGATCATTCTTTCTTCTTGAACCGCGTTTCAAGTCACCATGTCTTCTTCCAAATGGTCAGGAACATTGAAAAGTAAAAGAAAAGCTGATCTTCAGGGTTAGTCCCATCACTTCCGATTGGAATGATTCAATTTCCTTCTAGTTCAATTCTTCATCTCTTTGTTTACATATGATGAAGACTTGATCATCATGTAGCATTATGTAGAACTGTATAGGCGATCTCTTTCTCTTACATGACGCGCATATATCCATCTCTTTCTTCATCACATCTTTTCACTCCGAGTTTACCACCACTTACACATCTTTTGATTTTCTTTTATGACATCTTAGATATCTGTAGACAGTTGAACATCGAATTCAGAACCGATGCACTCAAAGCTGACCTCGAACAGAACATTCAAATCACTTTTCAACAAAAACCTCATTTACAATCTGATCCTAGATTTGAAGAATTAATCACTTCATCTGTCAATGCTAACACACTTAATGGTACTCGTAACACTTCGCCCGATTCAACAGCACCACGAGCTAGTAGTAGACGTTCTGTCACTAGTAAAGCTAAACCAGCCTCTCGAACTTCAGAAGATCAAGACCAAGATGATGATCTAGATGATGAACCACCAAAAAACAATTCTAAGGCGGCTGCCCGTAGTTTACCTCGACGAAAGAGTTTGGTGGATGGCTTACGTGATAGCTTGCCTTCGAGTGATCGGATCACTAAGGCAGTCGGGGAAGCTGAGAAACAAGTCGAGTTGAGTGATTTCACGCGACGCGTTCGATTCTGACGCGTTCTTCAGCTGATTCCTTTTTCTTCTTGAATAATCTCTCTTTAGACACGCGATTCATCATGCTTCTAGTACACTTGGTTCCTCACAAGTCACTAGACGGATCAAACAGGCTAGTGGACAAGCCATCAATAAGGTGGAAGTTGTGAGCACGCAAGTAGCCGAGTTAGCTCTGGATGGCGTACAAGGCACTCAATACGTAAGTCTTACTTCGCCATCAGCAAGTAAAGTATCGACCTTTTGTTTATTGATACTATTCTACGTTCTATTCTTTCAGGCCCTTTCATCTCCTTGGAATATTTGGAGCCTCCAGATCTTTGCTGAGTTATCATACGTGTACTACTCATTAGTTCCAGTGGATTACCAGGTGAATACAAACTTCTCGTCATTCATGCTAGACCCAACTACTCTTGCTCACCATTCTTTCTCTACGTACTTCCTAGACTCTCGTTCATCAATCCTCAAATGAGTACCTAGTCAAACTGCCGAACTCGGTTCACGCAGGAATCCATCTCCTTAGATCGGCTCATTTCCTCCGGGCCTTATTAGAATACTCTGTCCTCACCATCATAGCCCCGCTGGTGATTGCTACCTTGGTAAACTTTGCACCACCACCTACTTCTCGATACTCAAGAGGATGGGTCCAAAGATTAACCCATTTAAAACCGAGTCCATTAACCTTTGCAGCCACCCGACTCGCGATCGTGGTTCTTCTTCATCTTGTCTTTCGTCCGTCTATTCGATACGGTTGGCCTATGACCACTCTATCAACTGCTACAGTACAACGTGAAGAATTCTTGAGACCAGGTTCTGATCTTGATCAAGATGGGTTGTTGAATTGTAGAAATTCAGAAATCTTGGGTTTCGAAGTCTTACAATTTGTATTGAGTGGGTTTGGGGTGACTTTAGGATTACATCAATTACTTTCTGCTTCTTCTGTTAATGTTTCAGCTTGATCTTCTTTTTTTCATATCTCTCTGTTTCTTTCTTTCTTGAACATATTCAAGAAGATGGTTTCTTCCTCCCTTTAAAGGGTTTGGATCATATTGTTGTTGTTCTTATTCTTCTCTTTCTTTCTTGTATTGTGGTTCCTGAAGGCAGGATGGAAAAAATGTTTAATCTGGAATGGAAAAATTGGAAAATCAAAGAAGAGGAGGACAATGATCTTTAAGGAAGGGATTTTATTTTTTTGGGGAATTGATATACACATTTTTGATCTATTGGAATGAAATTTGATGGATTGATTTAGATATTCAAGTGAATGAAAATTGATCAAGTCTTGAAATTGAGATGAGCACTTTATTGGATTCATCATAGGATGGACAAAGCTCAGAAGATATCTGAGCAAGTCGGAGAGTATCATTTTTTATGCTTTCAAGATTGATTCACTTTCAACACATGATAATCCTATGCCGAGGACAATGGAAGGAGGATAGAGACAAACAAATAATCAATTAATAAGGACTTATCAAAATTGATGAGGGAGAGAATAACTTTGTCTACAGATGGATTTTGATAAATGACAAATCTATGAAATTGAAAAAATCAAGAAAACTTGTGTTTTCATAATTCCATAAATTGATGATTTTTTAATTTTGATTTTTCAAAATCAGGAAAACCAATACCAATCTCTAAACAATTGGTTGAATAACCTCTTTCACAAACATAGTGCTAAATTATATAATGATTTTTTTGTAATGAAAAAGAACAATAATGTTAAGGATCGGATTGAAAGTGTGGTGATGGAAGTAAGAAAGGTGTTTCAAGTTTAAATGAGAACTCAACTTGTAATCCTGGTTCTTGTGGTACTCTCTGAAATCAAATCAAATCATTTCAAAAAAAGTCAGTTTACTCATCCAATCATCTACATCCATCAAGAATCATGATTCCAATAAAAGAATCCAGAAGTAAAAAACCCAATAATTCGATCCACTTCATTCACCAAACAAATTTACTCCAAGAAAGGGAATCATTTCATACTTACCAAATAATCAAATTCATATCTCATTCTCTTCCATCTTCCATCTCCAAATAAGAAATTCCAGAATGATGAAAGTAGCATGCCTCTTTGAGCCCAAAGATGAAGCCAATCTGAACCTGTTATCATTATCCCTCATCCCCATGTTTTAGTCCATAGAACATCAGGGGAAGCGGTGAATTTAGGACAGCCAAAGTTCAGGTCTTGACGTCAGTTTTGAAACAGATCTATTATGTAACTCAATCTCCTCCTATCATGAACAGATATGTCGGCTTTGGAAGAAGATCACTTACGTCCATGATGACAATCCTTTTCTGTTTGGTCGTATCACCAAGACATAGAAAGGGATGTGAATGATTCAGTATAGTCTCACGTTGAATCATGGAGGTGTATAAATTTAAGAGACCAATCAGGCATGTAAGAAAAATCTGTAATGACTCACTATCGAAATTTGTTATATTAGTTGGACGACCATTTATGAGAGCATCTAGTACTAAACTATAAGCAGCTGAATCTTGAAGCATTTCACTTTAACCATAAACCAAAAAAGAATTAAACTTCAAAACTTGGGATTCTTAAGTTGATTGGGAATGAAAAGAAAAAATGTATAACTTACATATGTGTAGTGATATGAAACTTTCCACAGACTCTTTCATCTTGTAAAGCAATCATTGTAGAACCATTAAGAAAAGAATTAATAACCTAGAATGTGAAGCAAACAAAAAACAATCACGTCAGTTCTGTTGAATTCAAAGAGATTGTTTTTAGAAAAATGAGAAAGATCTTGAAGATTTACTCCACCGAATCCTTCCCATTGAACTGCTTCATCATACCGAGAATAAATTGAAGTAGTAGGTACATGACTATGAGCACCACTAAATTCATCTACATCAGAATTTTGTGCAGCAACATAATTTGATGTCTAAAGAAAATCATATCACGCCAAAAAGAAACGAAAAGTAATACATTAACTCATCTTTCAAAATATAATTTGATTGAAGATATCCTTCATCGAAAGATAAGAGAGAAAGATAACGAAAATACTTAACTGATTCAAGTTGTAAGAGAGCAGGCGGACAACCCCCTACTCCATCTTGTACTTTACAAAGAAGTTTAACTTCATTCGAACCTTTAAATGTAGCTGAAAGTGCTATATAATTAATTATGTATGGTCGAATTGAAGGCCAAAAAGCTTATAAAATGATTCAATTTGATCAGAATTCGGTCCAAGGTGTTTGAAAGATCAGATCAACTTCAAAAAAAGACTAACTAAGTGCCCATTGGGTCTAAGAAGAAAAAAACCACAAAGAACATGAATGTCAGAATTCTTACAAATACCAAACGAACAAAAAAAACCAAGTTTACCAAGAATCACAATCCAAGATTTTAATCTGACTCACATTTGAACCACCACCTTGACTATGACCAATGACATTAATCTTATGATTCGTAGCAGGTGAAAGTTTAGCTAAATATGGAATCGCAGTTGCAATATATTCAGCAGATAATTGTACATCTGCTAAACCTGAGAATGGTAATGTGATCCAACAAACATCAAAACCTGGTCCTTCTTTATATAACTTTGTATTGAAAGGTGTCTAAAGAAAATTGAGGAGAAAAAAAAACAAATTCAGAAGATTTCTTTGTTAGAGATTTTTTTTCATTGATTGCTTGGTTTTATTGAGGAATTCGGTTTACTTACTATTCCCCAACATGATTCTCCTGTTGTAACTATATTTAAATATTTACGTCAATATCATTGAAGGTAATGGAAAAAATCAATAATTGAAATGGAAAGAACTTACAGGTCCCATGTACCAATAAGATCACGCCTATTCATCCAAAGGTTTACACCAATTCGATTCAGAATCATTGAGGTTAAAAAGAGGAATCAAAGAGTGACCTAAAAGATTTCTCACCCCCAGTCTTATTTTGAATTCCTATCAGTACCAGAAACAAATAAGTCAGTCATAATTCACATTCATTTATTATTTTGCTTGAAAACATATCGAAGAGAAAACATTGGATACCTCTTGGACAAGTGATTGCATTCAGATAAACTGATTGATTTTGACTCTTTTGATTCACAAGGGAAGAAAGAATAATCAAAGGATCAAAGATGTGAGTGAAACAGTTGATTGGAGGAGTTCTGAATAAGATCAAAACCATCATAATTCCTTTGACTTACAAAAGGCGCATCTTGAATTGTTTTATTAAGATCTTGTGCGGAAATCAATATTGTATTCAAGATCAAAAGAAAATAAATGATCCAAGATTTCATACTTCTTTTTTTATAAGTTGATTTTAAATTATTTATCTGACTATTTGTGTAAAAAATTCATATGTTATTTCATTTGATGGTTTGAACATTTTTTTTCTTTATATGATTCTAATACAATTATGTTTGAATCATGAATTTCGTGAAGTCCAAGTTAACTCAATGAAACAGGAGTGAAGTTGACTATAGTACTATGATAGGAAAGGAGAAGGGGGTGTTTTTCAGAAAATTTCTCGGAAGATTCTTTCTTACCTCCTTTGATGAACGAGTCTCATTCAATCATCATATTCAAAACTTTTCAAAGAGTCTAAACAAAATCAGTGTTTTAAGAAAGTTTCTATTTGATAAAATTTGAAAAAGTGAAAAAAGTGTCATTAGGCATTTTCTATAGCTTGATTGTCATCATCTTGGATTCAATCATCAATGATGACTTGAATTCTTCTTCAATTTCCTTCACTTTTTTCTATTTATTCCTCAAGTTGAATTTCCTGGTGTGATGATGATCAGATTGGTCGATGGCGGTACCGGATTACCTCGGACCTTTTTGATTTGTGTTTTTGGCTGAGAAGAGATTGCGAGTGTGACGTCATATTTCGATTGATTTTGAGATCACTGTGGATTGAAAAGAGTTGAATCAAGATGATGTCATTTTGATTTGCATTCAGAATGACGTTTAGAATCAATCAAATCCTTTATATACCTAAATGGTTTTCAAGAGAAGTGCTTTGATTAGAAAAGGTGACAGCTCATAAGAACCTCATCATTTTGTGTTGATTGGCCTGTTAACAGTAAAAGTCATTGAGATTGGTGATTCAATTTCCTTTCCCGGTCAACAAGCTTCTTTGTTTCCTTAAAATTCGATTAACTCAGTTCATCGTCCTTACTTCGGATTTCTTTATCCAGACTTCATCCATCCCCTTCACATTCTCATCATCATCGTTCTTCACTTCAACTTTCCAAGCAAAACCATTTTTGTCGTGTTTGATAAATATATAAATTACAACTCTTCATCTTCTGAACACTTTCTCCATCTTATCCTCCGCTTTTTAGATTCATCCACATCATCATGTGGACTCGAATCACTCTTCTATCCTTAGCTATCCTCTTGGTATCACGACCAGCCAAGGGGTTGTTCGACAAAAGTGAGTCTTTATTAACTTTTTGAGATCTTGCATCCGATTCCTAGTCACTCATGTTTTGCTTCTCCTGATCATCAAGAACCTGCCTACAATGATTGGAGGTGAGCCCCTGATGACTACTTACAAATCCTTGAATCGCTCATAATGACGATCAACTAACTCGAAATATCATTCCCCTGGTGATTGGTGTTAAAGTGATTCCAAAGTTGAGGATTGGCTCACAGATCATAAAATTCCTAACCCAGGAAACCTTGATGGATCCGGCTTGAGAGATCTGGTCAAGGAAAACTATGATACAGCTTATGACAAGTGGTATAATCCTATGTCTTCTCTTTTGATTTAAGGAGATATGAATCTCATCGGTCTTCTTTTGGGTTCCTTCTCTAACTCTATGCATCAATCTCAGGTCCGATTCTGATCTCCAATCGTACATTAGCAAGTATTCCATCCCGGTTTCTTCTGGAAAACCTCGTGAAAAAATCCTAGATACGATCAGACGTAGCTACCATGGTGCCGTTGATGCGTGGGCTGATTCTGATCTCAAAGGTAAGATGATCCGGGTCTTGATCTCTTTATGTGTCAGCTGAATTGAACTTGAATTGATTTTTGGGTAAAAGACTGGTTGGAAGACCATGGTGTGCCCACCCCGCCACGTCCAACTCACGAACAATTGCTCGACACCGTCAAATCGAATTATTATGATGCTAGTCAATATATCAAATCTTCGGCTTCGGGAGCTCAAAAGGTCTTTCAACAGAGCTCTGATTCAGTTTTCTCATCATGGACTGATAGTCAGCTCAGAGACTACTTACTTGATCACGGTGTCGTGAGCCCAAGCAGCAAGCGCGAGGAGCTGATTTTAGCGTCCAAAAGGTATTTGACTTCAGGTATGCTTTTCTAAATTTTTTCTTCGATTATATCTACACGGTTGGCTTACATGGCGGCTACTTTAAATAGGCACTAAGTCTGTTAGCTCGATGGCTGCAGCCGCTACAGATGCTGCGTCGGATGCTGCGTCGAGTGCCGCAACTGCCACTTCTGACGCCGTCAGTAATGCGTGGTATGCAGCAATAGACTCTCCCAATCAAGCCTACGACTATTTGGCAAATAAATACGACCAGTCGAAGGACTACGTGTACAGTACCTGGTCTGACGCCGAGCTCAAGAAATACCTCGTTGATCAAGGTGTCATCAAATCTGATGCGAAGAAAAAGAGGGACGAGCTTCTTAACTATATGAAAGACTCCTACAACGATGCCGCTTCAAACGTTTACGACGGCTGTAAGCTTGTTTTAATTTTCTCCGAACATTCCATTAAAGTAACTCCCGCTGAGGCGATTGTATGCGTAGGGTCAGAAAGTCGTCTCAGGGAGTGGTTGGTCAAGCACGGGGTTGCAAAGTCCAAGACGGCCAAAACTCGCGATGAGCTTCTTGATTTGATGTCCAGATCGTATTATGGTGCAAGGGACACTACATACGAAACTTGGAATTCCAACCAAATGCGTCAATGGCTCGAAGATAAGGGTGTCATTAAGACAGGCACACAAAAAAAGAAAGAAGAGTAAGTCGTTTGAGTGATAGACCTGTTGTTTGAGTGACCCCCACTGGCTCAGCTGACCATTGCTTTTCAAATTAGGTATCTTGAGTTAATTTCTGAAAAATACAACTCTTTACGTGATCACGCGTATAACACTTGGGATGAAAACATGCTTCGATCGTGGTTAGAGAGCCACGGAATTGTTAAAACCCCAAGTCAAGCCAAGCGGGACGACCTTTTGAAGATCGTTAAAGACAACTACTACGGCGCAAACGACAAGGTTTGGGACACATGGAACGACGCAGAGATCAAAGCATACCTCGTCAAGAACAAGCTTGCCGATCAAAAAGAAGTAGCCAAGTTGAAGCGAGATCAACTCGAGGCACGAATCGAAGATGGTTACACCTCGCTCAAAGATAACTTCTCGGTAGGGTGGAGCGAAAGCGACATGCGAAAGGTTTGGTTCACTTCTTTGCACTTTTTCTCGACTACATGTGGTTTGTTTGAAACTGATATCGCGTCGTTTTCACCGATGGCACAGTGGCTCATTGACAACGGAGCTATGAAGTCTGACAGCCAGGCTAAAAAGGATGAGATACTCAAGTTGTTCAATGAAAAATATTCGGCAGTAGCGGCCAAATCGAGCGAGTATGTTAGCTGGTCGGACAACCGAATTCGAGGTTGGTTGAGAACCAATGGCGTCGAAGTACCCATGAAAACCAGTCGCGAAGAGATGATTCAACTTATGAAAGAACATTGTAAGTGTACCTTTTTTCGCGGATCCCTAGTCTAATACTATGTTGACCTCAGTCTCCATATGATTAGATGTGGGTACGAAAGGTACTGTGCGCGATATCTTCTCGACTTTACACAACGCTTTTTCATCTGGGGAACAAAAGCTAGAGGATGCGATTGAGAAAATCAAAGGAGCTGTGGGATCTGGAGCACACCAAGGTGAGGGCCATGTTAAAGGAGCATATGAGGCTGGTACAGCTAGTGCTGCTAAGGCTTCTGATAGGGTCAAGGCTGAGCTATGACACACATTGTTCAAAAATTATAGTCGAACGACTACTTTACACTCTCATCTGAGGTGTACACCTTCCACCTCTTAAAAACTCGTGTTTGGCCTTACTACTACACAGTTTTATCGTCATCAAATATTATAAGATGTTTCATCAGAAGCATTATCCTTGTATTTTTAGTTGGTTGCATGATTGTGGTGAATGTAAGAACATCCAAGTTTTGTGTTCACAAGAAATGTCCCTTAATGTTCATTCCAAATTGCCATTTGCCTGGTAAGCGTTTTCACTTCCAAGGGACAAATTTCCACATTTCTAGTGTTATTTGCTTGAGCTCGATGCTCGATTGTGGTTCGAACTTCGAAGTGTGATGTTATAGTGGTCTTCCTGTCTTTCCTACAAGGACTGTTGCCAAGTCGAGGACGCCCACCTTCAAATTTGACTCACATCATGGTTGCCAGCTCACATGGGCCGATCAAAACTAGCGTGTGTCAATTCATTTTACACCAAATCATTCTCAAAATATCCGTGTTATTTTATACAAACTTCTGAATCAGATAATACAACATTGTCTATGAATCATCAATGTACTCTTCAATCTTCAAGATTGTTCAGATCGAGCAAAGAAAACCGGGTTCACTTGCGTACAATCAAAGTCAAAAACAAATCACTTTTGATAACCAACCCACTGAAGATTTGTACCACATCCTGTACCGACTGCAGCACAATAAGGGAAAATTGAATCTGCAAATTGTTGTTCACAAACCAATTGAATCCTAGAATTTCCATCACCACTACCAGTATTGCCAGTAGATAATGGAATAGGAGAGTTTCCAATCATGGTAGCATTGTAACCTTGTGGAGTTGAATTTTGACTTTGAGTACCGTTTATAGTGACTGCTGAACCAGCAGATCTGCAACTACAACTCGTTGCTAATGGATCTTTAGCCATTGATTCTCTAAAGTTTTGTTCTCCGTCTATCAAACCTAATGGAATCCCATTTGCACAAACCAATTGAGGCTGGTATTGTTTCTGAAAATGAAGACCAAGAAATTGGTCAATTTGATTGAATTAATGAATTGTCTATTGTCATGAAATGCAATGGGTTTTGATTTAAGATATCACTTACCACAATTGGAGTAGAATCATCAACACCCTTCAAAGCATCATCAGGACAAGCATCAGAAGCAAAACATAAAGCCGGAAAATTATTTTGAAATGGAGATAATCTATCTTGACGAGGAAGAGCAGATTGACCGATGGTTTGACCATCAGGAGTAAGACCATCAAAACAATTCGCATACCAATCACCTGAACTTGCTTGAATACATCTACAACGACCTAATCTTTTATATTTAGTTGAATCACCTGAACTGATACCTCTTTTACTTTTAGCGAAATCATATGCATTCTTGGCATCTGATCTGGCTATCCAACCCATCTCTACACTTCCTGAACAAACTAACTATGTATATGTAAATTATAATTGATTTTGTTTTTTTGAGGGAAAAAAAAATTGGTTGGAAAAAGGTTTTCAATTAAAGATCAGTTTGGAATTTTGGATTAATTTAAAAAAACAAATTACTTGAATGAATTGTTTGGGGTTTTACTTACATAGGGTCCTGTCCAATCTGATGCTTTTAAGAAATGAAAGAATGAATTGAAAACCAAAATCAAAAAGAGTATAGATTTCATCCTACTTGTTTGCTTGCTTGCTTTGATTTGATTTTCTTTTTCGAAAGTTGTGAAAGGTATCAAAGAGATTTTAAGTAGAAAGTTTTCTTCCTTTTTGGTTTTATATACAAGTGTAGAAATTGGACTTAAAAAAGATTTTAAAGATGAACTTGAAGAGGTAGAGAAAAAAATCGGGAGTTATGAAGTCTTTGCTTTCTTGGATTTTATACAAAAGATTTGATTTGATTTTTTTCTTTGAGTTGTGTGGGAAGAAAAGATGGGTCAGTTTGAAGGTGTGCCTTTTATCATCATTTTTTTTCGAAAGGACTTGAGTTTCATTGTTGTTTTATCAGGATCGGTTGATGGTTTGATCAAGAATCAAGGAAAGTTCAAATGAACTTGAAAAAGGCTGTGAGGATGGAAAAGGGGTGTTTTGATGATCATGAATTGGTTTGAACAAAAACATTATAATCATAGAGGCCGTTCAGAATGTTAACAAGGTCGGGGAATCATGGACCATGGTATTTTGTCTTTTGATTTGCCTTGTTCCGAGGAAATTGAGGTTTGCAATCTTAATAAAGTTTGCAGGCTGTTCGTGATCCAGATCCTCGTCCATTAACTTCGAAGTTTTGATACGTTTCATCGCTTCGTGATTCATCTCTCAAGCGACCACAACTCTTGATCAAACTAATTCTTTGGAAACTTCATGCTGTGTAGATCAAATCAAGCAAAAATGTTTTCAAGATATCATTTGACATCGAAAGATTCTATGTAAGGGGATCAAAAAGGTTATTCCTATTTTACATGGTAGTTCGATTGATTTCATGAAAACATTAGAGTCTTTCTATCATATCAGCATATGTAAAGCTCTGTAAGGCTTCAAGTTGCAGACATAATTCATTACGCAGTTATCCACACTGAAAAAGATTGTAAAGAGAGATCCACAAAAAGATATGGTATTAGTAAGAAATAGGATCATCAGTTCAAAGGAAAACATGAAAACGGATGATGTGATTGGATATAATGTTTAAGTAGATAATTGGTTTCTTGGGTCTCATTAATTGAATTCATCTGATTTGATTGTGAAGAGATTCCAAAATAAAGAGATTGCTTTAAAGCAAGTTGAGGTGCAATTAACTGCGCTTTCTTCAAGGAATGGGTCGGGTTAATCCAGTCTGAGACCGATATCGGAGAACGGCAATGATCAGAGACCGAGTGATGATGCAGGTTTGAGGCGGGTCTTCCCTTGCCAGATATAAAAGCTCAGTTTCTTTGATTACCTTCAACTTCAGTCGATCGATTGATAATCTGAAACTCATCTCTACTATAACCTATCATCCATACCAACTTCAAAAATGTAAGTATTCTGTTTCTTTACCTTTCTTTGAATTTCCCTTTACCTTCAAAACTGGTGATCGGTCAACTCAGCTCTCACTCAATTCGATTCTCTTCACACTTCCCCTTTGACTCTATCACCTTTGTCAATTTGATCTGTTTGTTTGGGATTGGGTCCATCAAGCTAATTCTACTTTTCTCGTATATCAATCTCTGGTGATCTTCATTCTACAATGTTTAAAACCGGTATTACTAAATCTGTTCGAATCGGATCTTCTCTCAACCTTCGAACTCCCAATCTCGGTGCTTCTCGATCAACCTCATTCTTGACCTTTAACAGGGGAAACCACACTTTACCCAATTTACCCTATGCATACAATGTAAGTCTCTTCGCACTATCATCTCTCTGAGGAGTCGGGGACACTATAAGCTTACCAATTTTTAATGACTTGTTTTCTATTCGATCGTACGATCGGTATGTGCTTTGTAGGCGCTCGAGCCTGCAATTAGCGAGCAAATCATGGAGCTTCATCACTCGAAGCATCATGCGGCGTGAGTTGAATCTCACCATCATACCTTGCATCGAATCTGGAAGAGGTATTAGATTTGCATGCTGAGTGATGATCGATGGAAATCTGATGGAACTATCTAGATACGTCAACGGACTCAATGCTGCCGAAGAGGCTTACGCGTCAGCTTTGAAGTCCAATGATGCCTTGAAACAGATTGAACTTCAAGCTCAAATCAAATTCAACGGTGGTGGCCACATCAATGTAAGCAGAGTCCAGGCACTACTTGATGCCTCGCTAATTTGACCAGTTGACTAATTTTGTACTTCTATTCGCTTATATCTTTAAAGCACTCTCTCTTCTGGAAGAACCTTCAGCCTGAGAAGTCTGGAGGTGGCCAATTGAAAGATGGTACAGCTTGCGTTCACCAATCTTCTCTCAATAAGAGCCCAATGCTTACGCAATCTGTACACCTAGGTGCCTTTGCTAAAGCTGTGCAAGAGCAATACGGCGGATTAGAGAAATTGAAGGCTAACATGAACGCAGCTGCGATGGGAATCCAAGGGTCTGGTTGGGCTTGGCTGGTATTTAGACCCTCTTCTTTTCAGAGGTATTGAAACCACAAGACTGAAGGCGCAATCTTTGCTTTTGTAGGCTGTCAACATCAAGGAGAAGAAGTTGACCATCACCTCCACCGGCAATCAAGATCCACTCACTGCCCCACTTGTCCCAATCATTGGTATTGACATGTGGTAAGTTCATCGGTGCACTGTTCCAGTCCTGCGCAGGTAAATTGATGGATTTCTGATCCTAACCAATTGCTACGTCTGTCTTATTACAGGGAGCATGCGTTCTACCTTCAACACCAAAACCGAAAGGCTGACTACCTAACCAACATTTGGAAAGTCATCAACTTTGAAGAAGCTGAGGCCCGTTACAAATCTGCAACAGCCTGATTGCTGATTGTATAAATTAACTCGGGCTATTCTTTCAATGCTCATTTATCGTTCTTTGTTCTTGCAAAAAAAATAACCTCCTGCCTGTTGGGCTTTATATATATACATTTTTCACATGTTTATTCCAAAATGAGATATCAAAAAGAGTGTTATACATGTTCATATAGCAGAAGTGAGTGTTGATGCTTATGATGGTGCTATGAACTGGCTTTCTCGTCTTTACCACTTGAATTCAGAGGGAGGATAGGATGTAGCCCATCATTGCTCTGCGGATAACTGAGTGAGATGAGGGAGCCAAAGATTGGAAAATACTTCAGGATCTTGACCTATAGTGGCTAGTGTCAAAGCCTTTGAAATTTTGGACAAAACTTCAAATTTAATGGTCTTGCTCAAATTTCAACACTTTGAGCATTTGAGAACAGATTCATGATGCAATACCCAGTGGCTTTCTATGTATAGCTTTTTTTTCTAAATCCAATGACAGCTTCATGAATTTGTTGTCACATGCTCAAAATGTTGACATTGAAGCAAGAACATCAATTTTTCTAAAAAAAAAACAACACAAAAAGAAAAACCTGTAATCAGATTTGAAAAAAAAAACTATGCATAGAGAGCCACTGGGTAGAGCATCATGAATATGTTTTCAAATGCTCAAAATGTGGACATTTGAGCAAGACCATTAAATTTGAAGTTTTGTCCAAAATTTCAAAGGCTTTGACACTAGCCACCATACTCAGGGTTAAAGTCAGAATTAGCATGTTTGTGCCATGATGAAAATGAGGGCAAGATTTAAGTTGATGTTCATCACTGGATTTAACATCCGCAACACCTATGATAGGCCTTGATGGCTTCCATCTTCTTGCTATAAAATCACTCACCTTTGAATAGATCTTTGCAATGTATCTGATTGAGAATGTGATCATTGTCTAACAACCTTTCCACCAGTAGTGTATGTAGATTATAATCTGTTATATGTATCATGAATCAGTCCAACTTACAAGGTCAAGTTTTGTTTGTTTGTTTGTTTTCAAGGTCTAAATTTAATGCTCAAGATGGATAAATGTACTTGAATGGATTTATTTTCTCATAAAGAACACTTTAAAAACTCCCAGAAAAATCACCTAGGTCCAAGTTGTCATACATCACCTACATTCCCAAATACGAGTATACAGTCTCATGTAGCAAGATATTTTGAACTGCAGTATACTGAAAAACCCGCTCTATGTAGTCTAGACTTACTACTAACCTATGAATCAGTGTCTTTTTCATCAACACTTTCAATTGAGAAGCGTCATCTATGACAAAGTTGATAGTCATATGTAAAAGAACTTTCTTTTTGGTTCTATATGATGAGACTTAAAATTTAATTGATATCAAGTTTCAAAAAGTTTGATGATCTTAAGATCATTGATTTGTAGAAAAGAAAAAAGAAAACCAAAGATATACTAATAAACTGTAACAGACAGAATCACAGTGGTTGGGGGGTTGGGGTGGGGGTATAGAAAACCGATATTTTAAAGAAGATAGAAAAAAATAAAATTTGAAAAATGATAAATAAACATCACACAATATGTAGATAGATTTCCAAGATTAATTTAGTATTTTTTTCAAGAAAATATGAAGAGATATCATTCATAGAAAGTTTGGAATAGATTTAAGTTTTATATCTTTAGCAAATGGTAGACTGTCAATGTCATTGTGGTTTTCGTATTCCTTTGTTTTTGATGATGGGTTTTTAGAGATGGTTTAGAGAGATTTGAGATCGAGATTGAAGGGTTGATAAGTGCGTTGCTTTTGAAGGAAATACGAATGAGAAATGATAGGTCAGTGGTGGTGGTGCGATACAGTAAAGAAACTATGATTTGAAGTTCAAGAAATGGAGAACGTTCACAATTGTGATAGTTGAGAATTGTGTTTGAAGTCTAACTCACCACTCATCAATGCCAATGGTTAGGTCTAGATAGCTTTGTATCTGGTCTCGGCCTCATCAAAGTTGATGACATTCCAAATATCGGTAAGGTAAGTGGCCCTGACATTGTAGTGTTGTAGGTACCATGAATGTTCCCTTTGTAAGATGATCAATCAAAGGGATTCAAGAAGTCAGTCAGGCTAATGATGTCTCTAATGCGGTTTTCAAAGTATATAGATATTATATCATATGATTCATGTAAATAAAGCTTACCACATATCAATGCCAATGATCGGGATCAAAGGGCCGACCAAGGGATCTTGGTTAGCAGTTGTCACAATCGAAAGCGCTTTACCGCTCTTCTCGCGGGCCTAGAAAAGTTCCGAGATGAAATCAGTCTAGATGCTATCAATTCCAATTTTTTTCTTGAATTGTAACTTACAAGCCAAAGCCAGCCAGATCCTTGAAATGTGTTACCAACCGCGTTCATCTTTGTCTTCAAGCCATCTAAACCACCAAACTGCGCTTGCACTGCGTCTGCGAAGACACCTGTGAGGATCAAGTTATCGTTTCAGTCTCCAGGCACATAGTAATGAGATGACCCAAACAACGGCTTACCAGGTTTCATCTTACCTCCTCCCAAGTTCACAGGTTGAAGATTTTTCCAGTACAAAGAGTGCTAAAGAGTAGACAAGTGTATGATATCAAGCTCAAGATTAGCCAGCTAGTAGTGAAGTTGATGATGCATCATGACGAACGTACGTTGATGTGACCCCCACCGTTGAACTTGATCAAACCTTGGATTTCGATTTGCTTAGGCAAGTCACCAGCTTGAACAGCTGCTGAGTAGGAAGCTAATGCATTGTTGAGACCAGTGACAAGCCTAAGAAAGTACGACAAAATCAGAGAAACATCAACTGAAGAGATATGAACACGCATGAGGCTTACGCCTGGTGATGTTTGGAGTGATGAAGTTCCATGATCTTGGCGCTGATGGCTGGCTCAAGTGCCTACAGCGAGGCGAAGAACACGAAGCATGGGTTTCCAAAGTCCAAATCGATCAGCTTTGATCGAAAAACTCCCACACATGGTCAAAGATGAGATCGTTTGCTCACATTGTAGGCATATGTTAGCGGTGGCAACGTAACGTTTTTCTGGTCAACAAGTGAGCGCGGAGCGACAGGATTTGCCCCGGCTAAGTTGGGAGTCCCAAGAACAAGAGCCAAGCTGAAGAGCTTAGCGACACCAGAGTTGAACATCGTGGAACGATTAAGGTATGTTTGATTTGATGGCGAGAAGATATGAATAAGTCGTTATGGTAGGTATATCAGAGGGGTCGTTCAGAATTCAAATCTGCGAGGTTTAAAGATGGACAGCTTTTAAAGAGCAAAGTGTGAATATGACGCGAATGAAGGAGGGGGGAGACTGCTGCGGTTCGAAGGATAATTGCTTATGTCCAATCTGCCGCCGGGCCTTCACTGCCATCCCGGGAACGAGTCACGACAGGTCATGACCGCATCCCATACTGTATTTTGTGCATGCATATTATAAAAGAACATGGAAGATTCGATTTGAGTTCACAATCCAGCTCAACAAACTCACACGCCGCGCCTCGCACGTTTCGGTTCAGTTTTGTATCACAATCCAGAGATTCGCACGCTGCTGTTGATTGCGTGACGAAGCGAAAGTACACGCTTCGGCTTGACGTTGAAGAAAAAAGAGAGAGGCTGAGAGCAGCAAGGAGCAAAAAAAAAGTAGAACATACTTATGTAAGTATCCAAGTCCCTCCCTCACGCGACCACAACTCGTGAAGGGAGGTTCAAAAAGAGGGAGGTGAAGCAGGCGAATGACTCATGACAGTTCATCTCCAAGCGGACACGCCTGAGCAGGTCAGCTTACACAAAGCCGCACCGGTGACTCAGCACGCGTGCCATTGAATGAGGGTCTTTGTCGAGTTGTGGAACCCCCGGCTTCAATTTGTAGGTGGGCAATATGTACATGAAGGGGCACGGGCGCCGGCCAAATAAATTATTGCTGAGGTACAAAAGAACTCGGTAACGCAAAGTAACGATGAAGTAAAGTGACTGTGATGAAACATCAGATCCTTGAGTATTGAACAGTCGATAAAACCACACGAATCTTTTGTACCTTGTACACTGTGGCCGTGATCCTTTGGGCAACTCACTCATGCTGGCAGAATACCAATTGGGCCCAAGAGTGCGATGGGCAACGTTATGCCTCTTGAAAAGCAGATGAATATTTTCAACATGATTGATGGATCACCTCAATTAGCATGATGTGGTCTTGCATCTACTCTTGAATATCATACGTATTCGAGTCATGGAATGAGAGCACATCAAATTTGATAGCAAGCCAAAGAGAGACATCTGATTGAATAGGATTGTAAAATCAAGTGGTACCTTAAACATTATGAAGCAGGGAATTGTACAGCAGCTCTGAATTGTCCATAACAGAGAACAAACATTGGAAGGGAAGGACAAGTGTAACGATTGTAGCTCTTAGTTCAACTTCCTGACATCCCCCAAATAGCATCCACCTACATAGACCGGTATCTGGCCTCGGCTTCATCATAGTTGATGACATTCCAAATGTTGACAAGGTAGTTTGCTCTGACATTGTAGTGTTGAAGGTACCAAGAATGCTCCCTTTGTATGACGGTCAATGAAAGAGATTCATAGTGTTAGTTGAGCTGATGATAGATCCTTTCAAATGTATAGATGTTGACAAGAAATTGATAATGAATAAAGCTCACCACATATCGATGGCAATGATCGGGGTTAGGGAGCCAACCAAGGGGTCTTGATTACTGGTAGTCACAATTAACAACTTCTTGCTGGTCTTATCGCAGGCCTATCACAGCTCAAACTTTCAATCAATCTGGCTGTCCTTGCTTCCGATCTGTTCAAACATAACTTACAAGCCAGAGCCAGCCAGAACCTTGGAACGTGGAACCAGCCGCGTTCATCTGGGTCTTCAAGTTATCTAAGCCACCGTACTGTGCTTGCACTGCCGCTGCCAAATAGCCTGTGTCGATCAAGTTGAAATTTCAGTCTCCACAATGATAGTGATGAGATAACTCAAATAGCAACTCACCAGCTTTCATTGTGCCTCCACCCAAACTCACAGGTTGGAGATTTCTCCAATACAAAGAGTGCTAAATAGTGTGCCAGCCCATAGGGTCAATATTAGGGATAGTGTAAGGGAGATGATGCGTGATGCAAAACGTACGTTGATGTGGCCACCGCCGTTGAACTTAATCAGGCTCTGGATCTCAATTTGCTTAGCTAAGTCGCCCGATTGGGCAGCGATTGAGTAGGCAGCCAATGCATTGTTAAGACCAGTGACGAGCCTAGAGGAGCACGACAATATCAGAGAGGCAGAGTGAAAACAAAAAAACAAAAAAACCGGATCGAAGCTTACGCGGCGTGATGCTTGGAATAATGAAGTTCCATGATGCGAGCACTGATGGCTGGCTCAAGTGCCTACAGTGATTGATGTGGAGCGTGGGATAGAAGTCGATCAGCTTTGGTCTGAAAGACATGTGAACGAAGTATCGAGAATTTGCGCTAACATCGTATGAGTATGGTAGCATTGGCAGCGTAGCGTTCTTACCACCATAGCTTGCCAAAGGGAGCGCAATAGCTTCGTTGGAAGCCAAGAGGAGCAAGGAAGAGCCGAGGAATAATAAATTGACAAGATTTGGCATGTTTGGAAGATCGAGTTTTTGTCTGCTCAAAGATTGAAGCCGTATAATAGATGCGATAAAGATATGAAGGCGCAGAAGAAAACAGCGATATAGGTGAGACTTGCAGTCTGCAGGTAGCAAGTGAATCAGGCGGTTGCCGATCAAGCTGACTACGAAGAGTAGGGGAATATATATCGTCTCTTTCGCACTGCCGCCGCACTACCTCTTTCTTTCAGAGAAATAATGCCACCCAATGGGCTTCAAAGCTCCTCAGATGATCTCCAGGTTACACTCATTTGACACCGATAGGGATGAGTAGAGTCCTGGGGATAATGCCGTCCCCAGACAACGCTGCGCAAGCTTTCGTGTTAAATGCTTCACATACTTCTATCAGTCTGCGAAGTACCGTAAAACCTTACTCCCTCTGAACGCTTCATCTAGCTTTGGCCGAAAGGTCACACCACGACCAGTTCATCAGTCCTGCGGTCTGAAACGTGAACAAATCGTCTCCGGCGTTTTGACTTGGTCCCGCGCCGGGGCTCTACAATGCGAACGGAGTGGGACTGAAGCTTTCTCGAATCTCCACCCAACTCCCTCAAGAGCCTGTGTCCAGGACGCTTCTTGGGCGCTTCCCGAATGTCACTCCCAGTACAAACAAGCTCAACAGAGCTTAACCACGCAGGATGTTCCTATCGATATCACGGCACCGGCTCACGTCTTGAGTAATTTGAAATGCTTCAATGCGTGGAAAATGATGCCTCTCAGATGCTGCGCTCATGCTTCAGGTAATGAGTGTTCGCAAAAAAGCATCAAAAGAAGAAGGATATTTTCTTGAATTCCTATAATGAAGACTGAACATCAAAGGATAGCAGGACATAGCAGTACTTTTTCAATATATCAAAGTCAGTGTCAAAATTTTCTCCCCTTGCATTTTTTTGTGAAATGTGTCACTGAAGATCTTTGCAGCCCCTTCACTGCTCAACAGATAAGTATCATATCAGACATATTTTTCAGGAATCATTTGTGATATTCAGTTTATCAATCACATCCAAACACAAACTTGTCCAAGTCCCACTTCTTTTGTACCGGCCAGCTCAAACACGTAGTATGTATTCAATGTACCCACAAGTGACCCACAAAAGCAAGTGGTATATGTGAAAGGTGGAAGGTATGGACATGTGTATAGTCCCCTGGCCTTCACCAAAATACCACCTTTGGAAGTAAATATATCAAAATAAGATTTATTCTATCCCCATCAAAGTATTGGTTCAATGTGTTTCCATCAAAGACTTTTGGTATCATACTTCTTGCAATGTTTTCAAATCCAGTTGGGTGTTTTTGTAAACACAAAATTTTAAAGGCAAGAAACACTTATCTATCATTCAAATAAGTCATATCATAGTACCCTTCCTTACAAACATAGTGAACAATAATAGATCAAGATATCTACATAAGTCCTTATGAATCAAACTTTATTTACTGCTGATTGCTGGAATTGACAGAGCTCCCTCAACCTCTCACTAATATCATCTACTAAATTATGAAGGTAAGGTGATTCTATGAGCAGGGGTTAAACCAGGGGTCAGAACTGATTCTGTATTGTCAAATCTAGACTGTGTGTATTTCACAGTGGCTACTCTTTCCTGCATCTATTATCTCCTGTTTTTCTTATCAAGTTGAATTTGACGATTAATGATCTACCATAATAGAGAGTTATGTACTGTTTATCAATCTTAACAGGAGTGGTGTCTGAACAACATCAAGCAAGAAGTGAACATGGACGTGGGTTGAGTTGATGATGAGATCCTTTTTAGGGATGCCTAGCTCGAAATTACACCGGTTCTTCAGTAAGAAGATGAAAAAATCATGCTTTCTCACTTGTCCCAAAAGAACTCTCTTACAGCTTTTTTCAAAGTTAAATTCCTATCCAGTTGTTATCACCAAAGCCCTCTGACTGGATCCCTGGAAGAAGAATCAGGGCAGTTGACCCGGTACTGTGGTATTTATTATGCCATGATATTTCTTGAAAAGCCCATTTTTGAACTGCTCAGGTGTAGAGGCTGTGCAGCCACTTTTGAAAAAAAATGATCTAAAACCCCAACCAGTCAGACTGCAGGCTCATTTGAGCCTGATGCATGCCTAATACAGGCAGATTTCATGGCTTTACATTACTAGCTAGCTATGCACTTGACATCATAGTTAAGTCATATATATAGCAGAAAAAACCACAAAAAAATCCAAAATTTTGGTCAAAATTAATGAGACCCCCCTAACTTAACTAAGTCCCTCTCGGACAAACAAGTAGTTGAGAGAGGGACTTATATGTTATCCACCAAATTTGGCACAGGAGCCCAAAACTTTTGGCGGGAGACTTTTTACGACCATTATATCTCAATATCTTACAAATGAATATCCTGTGGCACTAAGAAAAGTTTTGCTCATTCACTTTTTCTACACATGATGGTACCTTTAGATTCTTGCATTTCAATTGGGAAAGTGTTAAGAAAGAGACTTGAAAAAAAGATTTCTCTGTAACATTCCAGGCTGGCCGACTGCAAGCCACTGACAGCTTTGACAGCTGGGTCAAAAATCAGTGAAATTTTCAAAAGTTTGAAGCATATTACATCTGCAGGAATAAAGGAATACCAAAAATGAACTAGATGGGCATGTGTAGAAGAAGCAGATGACCAAGACTTTTCTTTGTACAAAAGGATATTTGTTTGTAAGGTAATGAGATATAGTGGGTGGAAAAAGTCTCCAGCCAAAACATTTGGGCCCCTGTGCCAAATTTGGTGGATAACATATAAGTCCCTCTCTTGACTACTTGTTTGTCCAAGAGGGACTTAGTTAGGTTAGGAGAACCCTCAAATTTTTGATTTTTTTTGGTGAAAGTGGGTGTCATTGGAACCCCTTGACCAGTCAGACCAGGGCCAGCCCTGGCCAAACCACTCAGTGAGCTTTGGTGATAACAACTGTATTAGCTTGCATTGCTTTGTATGCGCTGTCAGTGTTGTTGGTTACATGTTTCAAATCTTCATGAATAGTGTTGGATATTACTGAAAGTGGCATGTCAAGCACGTGTAAAACACTTATAAGAAGCTCCTCTTAATTGTTTGTGAGGTTCCGTGATGTTTAGAGCCCTCAAAATAGGGGTTTAAGCAAAAGTGCTTCAAAATCCTGCTGTGCTCAGGCCAAACCCAGGGTTTTATTCATAATTCCCTCTTTGAGAGTGGATTTAGCCATGTTGGGAGAGGAGCTTATTTAAGCTTAGCCCAGCAAAGACCTTTGGGTGCAAAACTCTTCAGATGTTTCAAATTGTCTTTTGGGAATCAGCACAAATTTGGAATGCATCAATATTTTAGTGGCCTGAGCCTTTGGAGGTTACTGCAAGTCTTTGGTAAAATTCAGAGGGTGAAACAGATGATAGTAGTAAAACTGCCTTTGGCCATTCACATGGTCTTCTTATTGTGAGGGTTTCCAATTACATAGATCTCCATCAGCATGGCTCAGATGTAGGGGTTCCAGACAGGGATGTGTGTACAGCAGTGCATCAAAAGGTTGGAAAGAAATACTTGGCTTGTGTGCTGCTTGAGTACATCTGTTCTCTACATATTGACTCAAGAGGAGATGTGTGGTGGTTGGTCTATTCTTGGAAAGGTATGGCAGCAACAGGAGGTCACAGGATATATTGGCTCCTTTTAACTAATTGATGAGGTTGCAAGCTCAGTTACTCCAGAACAAGTTAAAGCATCCAAAAAAACTCATCTTGAAAATCAAGTCAACACAACTGTGCAGTCCTTGATGAAGTTTTCTTTGAACCTCAATAACCTCTCATCAGTGCAAATTTCATTAAAAAAACTATCCTGCTTTTAGAATTCCACCCAAGAAAATTGTTCTTGATGATAACACTCATAAACTATGATTGAATCAAAGTTTTTAATTTATTTGCTGGTGCATGTTTTAAAGATTACATCAATCAGATCTGAAGCTTTCTTGTCACATCAATCCTTCTATTGTGAAGTGTGTACATGTAGAAGACACTGTAAAAGCACTTCCACTGAGGGGGCTGGCCACTGTACTAATCAATCTGCACTATTTAGTCCTCATCAAACATTGTCCACATTTTATGTGATCCTTACAGATGATTACACAGTCCTCTAGATAGTGATATGAGAAAAGTGGACTGATAACACATCTCTCTGTAGTTGTGTAAGCTTAACTAAGCCCCTCTTGCCCCTTGCTGCAAACACACATGAGGGTCTTAGTTAAGCCTAATTGTTGTGGGAGGGTGTTGTAGCCTGGGAGCCTGATAAGGCTCTGATCTGGCCCCAAAATTTTCTGGCTGCAGATAGACCCAAATTGGACCTTTGATGATCATTAGTGGCTCTCAAAGTAGACTTGGTTTCAAAAAACCCAGTTGAACCAGTTGGCTTTTTGGCTGTGAGCTGTCAACAAATGTCAAGTTGATGCACAAAATTACTGACAAAAATCAACTGGGTCAACTGGGTTTTGTTGGAACCAGGTCTACTTTGAGAGCCACTATTGAATAAAGTACTGTGATGCTTGAGCAGAAAGCTCATGGATCCAATTTTGAATGCAGGGGTTGCTAACTCAACCCAAGTCCAAATCTCTTGCAGGGCAGCTTGCAAGGAAGAAGTGCCTGACTGTGGGATTTAGTCAAGTTGGAGTGTATATAGATCTTGTGTTGATGGCAAAATGGTCAAGTATGAAATAGATTCAATAGGAGTCAATCCCTCTGTTATGGCTACAGGCTGGTGTTGCCAATCTTCTCCATAACACCACTCCTTCAGATATTACATATCCAAATAGCCTGCAACTCATGTGGGTGTCAGATTTTGATTCCTGTCTCTATTCCCTGTGTTTTTAATTTTTCAATTGTAGAAAACAGCAGTAAATTGTATCCGAGGTGTCAAACACCACCCTCATTCTTTCTGTCAGCCTGAGACTCTAAGTCGTGGCAGATGACTGGTATTTCAGAGCTGAATAGTCCTTACAAAATGTATTCTATCAAGTTTTAGACAATAAGTATTGAAACTTGAGGGAGATTATTTTTCAATTCTTTGTAAGTAAAAGGAACTATAGTTGTTACGTATAGTTGTCTTAGGTGTGGGATGATTACCGCTGCCAGTAGCTTATCGAAGTGCAATCACAACGGTAGCCTTCTAAGGTGAATACAAAGGGATTCTTGGTTATTCCTTAGGTGACGCTTTAGCGTTGGTTTGATGAATTTATCATCAAAAGGAAAACAAGAGACTATCTACAATATCAATTCAAATAGTAAGGAAACCATCAATTGATAAAGAGATAGTGACTCAGAGAAAAAAAGGGTGTCTTTGATATGAAAGAAGATGTGATAAAGGATTCTAAAAGATAAGAATTCTAAATAAGTCTTTTTTCAAATGAAAGATAAACAAAAAAGGATTTTGATATAAAATACTAATTCAAGGATGAGCTGCGGTAAAAGTGGTATGGTTTAATGTTAAGACTAGACCCTGGGCGGCCAGCCGCCTTTTGGCAATGTACAGCCTGAGCCCTGACACGACCGGGCCTCCTGCTTCGCCCTTGGCCCCTGCAGCACCCATTCCCCTACATGACATAATCGACCCCTAACCCCCCATCACGCACTCAATCCATAGAGACTCTCTGTCATTGTATAAGTCCGTTACGCAATAGCAAATTGTGACATGAAGAGCCATGTTTTGTCAGGCAATGGCAAAGGTATCTTTCACATCTTTGGTGCGAAGGCACAACACAATGTCATTCCAGGTATATCAACAATCATTACTTTAACTTTAAAGCATCCAGGAAAGCGTAGTACCCCATCCATAATCCCAAAAAGACACAGGTAGAGAAACACCAAGAGACAACTGCCGCCATCACTACCATTGACCAAAGACCTGTCCATCAAGTCATTAACCCGTCCTCGGGGACAGCTTGCATTGGTCCGTTCAGCTCGGAATTCAATTGCTGTGCGTGTGAGATGTACAACAGTCAGCAAGTGTACAACACGTTGTCACGGACCTACGAAGACATGCACAGGGACACCTATGAGCTCACCAGGATTTCGTCGTACTCCAGCTCGGCCATGAAATGACATTGTATGTCATACTTATCAAAGGCACAAACCATCTCGTCGTTGAGGAGATTTCTACCTCGGCAGCTAGTGAATACAATGTGTTTGAAGTTGTTTGGTCTTGGAAAGTGGCCATCTGGAATCAAACGTAACACATCCATCCAGTAGTCATGTCCTGTTGAGTATTTTGTAACAATTGTTCTGAGCGTTTGAAAGCACTGCCGTTGCAACCAGCCTAGGTCAAAGTCCATCAGAGGCCAGGTGATTGTACGGATGCATCACAGATTTGGAAAAGACATGACCCAAGTGCTCGGCGGCAGGTTGATGGCAATTGCGTCAATACAAAGGCATTCTAGGCTGTTTCGTGCTTCGCGCAGTATCCCACTCGGCGCGTCCTCAACAGGGTCGGCAGAGTTGTATTCAATTGTCCTAAGTGTCCTTTTTGTCGTATGACTGATCTGAGTAATAGCTTCTCGACTGCTTGTGTGGTATTTGAACCAAAGATGCTTCAGACACGGCAGGCTCCCCGGAAGTAAGAAGTGAGATTCCAAGTATGGTAGTGAAAGGGACAAAGATTCCAACGCGGGAGTGACAGTCAGTAAGTCCCCAATCGAAGCTGAGTCGGAGTTTAGTTTCCTTGGCCAGTCATATCTTCTGATTAAAGTAAGTTTAGTGAGACAGTGTATGTTTTTTACTGCATCTATCATGTCCGTTGATACCATCATGCAATTTCCAAATATCAAACTTAAGCTAGTGATATTTATACCAAAGGTGTTGATAACTTTTGCCCCTGTATCGATCGGCATACTCACAAATGCTCGCACACTCTCCGGCACGAAGACTTCCGAATCCGCGGGTTTGTGACATACCAAGTGTTCCATTGAGAGTACTCGCAAAGGGGAATCGGCCGAGCTCAGAATGGAGCCTTGCCAGTCTTCCAGGAGTCTTCGTGCCATGCCCGGCGTCTGCAGGCGTACGACATCGAAGAGGAAGTAGGGTACCACTTTGGCCCAGATGCGAGAAATCAGGCGGAGACGTTGCAGTGAGATTGTTGCAGAAATGATGAGCACTCGTTCCTCCGAGCTGTTGATAGTGTTTGTGTATTTATAAGCTGTTCCCTTCATGTAGAATGTCATGATGCGACTGACAATTTCCGGTGGAAGTACACCGGTTGGCAACTTGGGGAAGTATTTAAGGTTTGAGAAAGCGGTCATTTTCCTTTTGCAGGCTGCAACACAAAGAGTGATATAGAAATATGGGGAATGGGATGCAGTATGAAATTTGTCATGAACGAATGAGACTGAAAAAAGTGTCCTCAGAAGCGAGGTGTTTAAGTCTCTATTGCTTGCGCTCGTCATCAGGTATGGACGTGAAAGCATTGCACCACATCGGCATTGTCAACCCTGAACTCAATGCAGCGGGGTTGGGTCTCACATCAGTGTAGGGCCTAACTTCACCAAGGCATGAAGCAAGCTTTGGGAAGTCCAAACGAAGCGAACCCTCGCAACCATTATTCCCACAATCCATGATTAATCATCTACCTAAATGCCATAGCAATGTACTGTAGGGAAAAAAGACTGGCAGCGTATCTCAACCCAACATTCAAGGGATCACTTGAAGTAGCCATTTTTCCAACCACAGCAGCACCATGTGTTGAACAAGCAATGCATGTCCCATAGTGATCTTGAAATTGGAAATACACTCGAGATATCAATATTAGCACGAAAACATATTTATTTCAGTTTTAAGGATTAATCTAGGACTTATTACATGCGTAGAGCCACCAGTCCAAGGACCCAAGTTATTCGCTGATGAATGCTTGATGGACAATGTTCACTGTTCTTGTCGCACCAAAAGTTCCTACCATGCTTATTTGAACTTCAGCCGCCAATGTGCACCGACTCAACGCTACATAGAGTTGACCATGGGCGAACACCGGGTCTGGCAAGAGAACTAACACCTTGTCGAGACTTTGACCCTGCAACTTATTTATGGTCATACAATACGCTACAGCCACTGGAAATTGATATTGGTAGAAACGCACCGGGAACAACTCATCCCCCTTGTGCAACAACTTGATGCGAGGAATCAAGACAACACGACCTTTCTTTTCGCCAGTAATCACACGGCACCTCAATACCAACTGACTACACCCCGTAACGACCAGGCGAGTCCCGTTACATAAACCTTGAGCCAGGTTCAAGTTTTGCAGTAGGATTATCGGCACCCCCCTCTTCAGCGTTAGTACGTGACGTGGGAAAGACGGAAAGTTGCATGAGTTGAGGATTTCGGTCGAAACTGGTTGGTCGTATTCCTCGTCCATTATATTGATGGACGTCAAGACGACTTCGTCTCCCTCTACAATGTTCAAACAGGCTTTGTTGACAGAGACTACACTCTTATTCAGCGGGGTGATTACACATTGCTCGGCATAAAACTTGGTCAGAGCTAACCAATCCATGGATCTAATTAAGTCCCTGGCGCCCGCATAGACATTCAAGATAGGCCCGACTGCCAATTCTTTATCGTCGGCAACGTTGACAATGTTACATTTGCCCACGTCGACTGTACCAAAGTCACCTTCTTGATGGCTGCCGTTCCCAACAGTCAACAGCCATTCTGCAAAACTTGCATTGGCTCTTCTTGTCTCCTTGGAGTCTTTGCAATTTCCCCTGAGTCTGAGATTTTCGTGCAGCGCAAATTTCATAATGTGAGGCCAAAGCTTACACCACTTCAATGAAGCCTGTGCTTGTTGTTCGATGCTTCCCAAACAGACCACCGGCAGCGTTTGTCGGAAGTCCCCAGAGAACAGGACCAGCAGGCCACCAAAAGGCTCGTCACATTGTCGCAAATCGCGCAGACTTCGATTGACGCACAAAAGGACAGAATTGTTTTGCATGGCGACCTCGTCCCAAACCAAAAATTTGAGTTTTTTCAGATTCTCACCGAGCTTCTCGCCCAGACCAAATCCACATCTTGACTCATCCGTAGTCTGCAATGGCACCTTGAAGGCCGTATGAGCTGTCTGCCCCCTAAAAAGCAAGAGCGCGGCGACCCCCAACGAAGCCACCGCTTGACCGACGTATCAATTCGTGTTACAATAGTGTAGACAGGCGTTCAACACAAAGGTTTTCCCAGTACCCCCCGGTCCGTCGAGGTATATCATACCGCCCTGTGCACTCGTTAAGCGTTGTGTTACTTCATTGTAAATGCGTTTCTGATCCGGACTCATGCGTTCCTCAGCGGACGCGACAAAAGCTGAACTGTATTCCGGCAACAAATCCGCCTCAATTTGCTCTTTGTATAAATTCCCCAACAACTGCAACAACCCGACGTCCGCGTTTGGTAAACCAGCGTGAACCAGCAAAGATCCCATTTCTTTGAGACATAGATCTAAGCGGTATAGTCCCAAGTTGTGAACCATTTCAACAGTGACCTGCAGATCCGGATGTTCACGCGCAATTTCCCGCTCGCAATCATCGGATAGCGACTCTTTGTGCTTCGCCCACAGAGCCTCAGGATCCGCCGGAGGAGAATGCCGCAAAATTAACGCAAAAAAGTGGCGGAGGCCATGACCCGTCTTCCATCCGGACGCCTCCGAGATTGAAGCATCATAATGCTCATTGTTCAACAACAACCCCATAGCATGAGCCGCACTCCGAAAAGTTGGGTATTGATGTCCGTTGACCTTACAAATATCGTCAAACCCTTGAGGACCTCTTATGTGGGCAAGCAGGAGTCGGAGGTAATACCTCTCGCCGTGCGACAGGCAAGCAAAGTAAGTACGTGATATCGCTTGACTATTGTTTGTCCTCACTTTCCAGGCCCGCCGTTGGTCATTCCAGGAGAACCACTTGACCATTTCACTGTAGAGCAAGTCTCTAACTGCCGGGCCATTTTCCGGTAACACAAAGTTCTCCCTCGCCAACCGGAAAAACTCGGTCAAAGTCGTGCGTCCTGCTCTGCCATTGTCTACCCTTTCAATTAGCTCCTCACCATTGATGTAGTACACTTGTTGGGCCCCTTCTAAATGCAATGACAATCTTGTCACAGAGGGATATCTACCACTCATATCGAACTGAAACAGTCTCCACGCAGCTGCAATGTAGACCGAACGCCGTGGGAAGACAAAGTTCAAAGGTTAGTCCGCGCGTCTGGTGCAAAAGATCATGCGTAGATGGACAATCCTGACATGCCTTCTGGCGCACTGATGTATCTTCCATCAACATATTTCAGTGGTTCATCATTACATTCGACCGAAACAGCAGATCGATCATGCCCCTTAGAAATGTGTTTGTATATGTACTTGATCGCTCGCACGCTGACAGGGATTTCCACATTGATGTGGCAATTGTATTTCATAAGTAGAAAGGGATTGTATGGAATCATGTCGCGATTTGTACATTGGCGACTGCCGACCTCGACTGTGCGACCATGCGCTGGTCGTGCGTCAGCGGGGTTAGCTGTTCTCCGGGACGGTTGTCACTGGACAGTTCGGGCGAGGATAGTTCAAGCGACACATGCCTTCTTTCCAGCAAGCACGATCCGGCGTACAGGGACCATGAATCATGAAATCCTTGACAGCCCGGTGTAATCTTGGACTTGAAGCCGCATCGGGCACATCCGCGGATACATGTTTGTCGATATCAGCGGCTGATCGTGGCGTGGATGCCTGGTCCATAATCAACAACAAATGTGCGTGTGGTAATGCTCTTTTCTGAAACTCGATTGTCCATACCCAGCACAGACACACACCCAAACGTTCCTTCCTCGTTATGTCGTCCAACATTGATAAGAACTTCAAATGGAACACGCGCGCTACCAAGTCCGGCCGATCTTGTGCCGTCTGACCATATTCCAAATTCTCAGTGATCTCACACCATGCTGGATTGGTCGTCATGGTAATGAAAAAAGATGGTTGACCGAAGTGTTGTACCAAAGCCATCGAGTCGTGGTACAGTTCTGACATGTACTGTGGCCCCCCCGTAAGAGATGAAGGTAAGATGACAGCTTGACTCGGCGCGACATCGTTCCTGCCCATAGCATCCAAAACCCCCGAGTACAGACACGCACGCAGCTTCACTTGTTGTCTCTTGATGAATTGCAAGCGCCACCTCTCCACACACACGTATAAATCAACGGTCAACTCCTGGAACAATCTCCCAGAAGCCAAGATAGGAGAAAAAGAATTGGGTCAGTTGAAGAGGACGTAAGCAAACCATTCAAGGTTTGTAATTTTTCCTCCACGATCTGATGAATCTGCAAGGCGTCAGTTTATCAAAGTCATAAGTCATCCACCGCAGAAAGCATCACTCACGATTCGTATTTGGCATACGGTAATGTTCATCATATCCTTGGGCGCCCCACGGAAACAGCACCGGGTAGCGCAACGCCAGATAACCCGTGTGCAAATCAGATATTCTCTCCAGGCTTCCGTTCCGACAATACAACACTACGTCTCTTGATGTTTCCCCCATGGACCCGTCTCCCTGTATCACCATGGCAACCTCTTGAGTCGTCAGACGATTGTACCTCCTAGCATCTCGGTTAGTAGGTAGCATCGTTCAAAGACGCAAGGCCACATTCCGATTGGACTTCAAGACTTCTGCGGCATGCCGGAAGGACTGCGCATACAGATTGAATCTATTAAAGAAAGATTGAAAGATTTTGAGAATTCGAGTGTTCAGATCCACGCCGGAAGCTTTAGCCCTACGCTGAGCTTCACTCTCACCACCATCTCCAACTACATAAATTTGGGAGAAACCAGGTTCGAAGTTGTCGCTCGGCAATAAGCCTCCAATGCGGTGCGTCAGTTCACCCGAGATTCTGAAGGTATGGACGCCAAACGGTCCATTGACAGTGTGATCAATCTTGGCTCCTAGTGAGGTAAACGACAAAGCGTTGTTGTAAGCGCGGATGTTCGTGCGGAATTCTCGGGAACCTGATGTATCTATGTCAGTTCCGGCCCCAATTTGAAGTTAAGCATCCTTGCTCACCAACGTCACTCAAAGTTAACAGATGCCTTAGAAACTGTGGCACAGCGGGCAATCCGAAATAGTGCACCGGTAGGTCTATAGCTCCCTTGTGACAGCACTCGAGATATTTGTAAGGCTGAGATTTTGTCGTTCCCTTGGGACGCTCAGCTATCCAGTGCAATGCACGACAACCTTCACATTGGTCTTCTCGAGGGCCGACATAATGAGGAATCTCTTTATGAAAACGCCCCATGATGCAGGCTTCGTTGTTTTCAGTGAGTTGCCGTACAGCTGGGCCATGATTAACCATGATATGAGAGTTGATTAATTTGAATATGCACAGAATCCTTTGTTAATTGCTTTTGGCAGATTAATATCTAACAACAGGTTGGCAGATATACGGTAAAGTCTTCAGGTTCTGAGGAAGGTAATCCTAAATTGGCTAACTGTTTCCGGGGGCAAAGCAAGACACCCCTGAAACAACGACCAGACTGGCTCAGCATTCTACTTTCTGAATACATTGAAAGTGCCTGAACTGGAGAAAGAGAGCCAACAACCCCACTGGGCATTGAAGCAGGCAAGGCCGAACGACCAATCCCACAACTCACCATTTCAAGTACCATTCCGCGGAGAACTGACGGGTCAGACCTGGTGTGTTACATCCTTCAACAAGCCTGTATACATCAATGTATTTGTTTCAAGGTCAAATTCTGCCCCATCCCTTCTGCAAACATGAGCATCATACAGCCAGTCTAAAGACAAGGAAAAATGAAGTCACAAAAAGTAAAAAAACATTGTTCTCTATATGAAACTAAAAATGACTCAAACGAAACAATCATTGAACATGTTCAAAAGTGATCATCAGGCCAACGTCCTCTCCTTTTCACCTCTGCTACGGCTTGCCCTGCTCACCAAGCGCAATTCAGAGCACTGGAAACCCCGTCAGTTTAGCGGCAAGGAATCAACATAAGCAGAGTAACCAACCTTCACCTCCCAAATGCCATTGACTGTGTCATATCCAACGGTGTTGCCTAGAAAATCAACAACATTGCCAATGTCAGGTATCGTCAAGTCCATCCTAACTATGAGATTGACATCACACGTATACACGGTGATGTACTCCTCATAAGAGATAGTCTGATAAAGTAGAAACGACAGTGTCAAAACAATGCAAATATAAACATTGAGGACATAAACTTACAGCTGGATTCCAGTCCCTGTGTAAGACTGTGTACATCAGATCATTTGCATCGTACGAATTGTCAAGACGATGCTTATAAGAGATAACTCTCCCTCGGCTTCTAACAGATATCTTGTTGGCCAAAGTGTCAAAGCCCAAGCGGAGACCATCGAGTTCAATCGTGCTCGGCTTATCTGCAAAGAGCATGGGCCCTTTGCCATCGTCACCTCTAAGGACAGGCCCCTCCACACGGTAGTATTGTGCAGTCGCAAGACATGGTTTGGCGGCCTCCTCTGCAATAGTCATGTTAACTATAGTCTTGCAACGTGAACCCACTATGGCTTGCGATGCAAAGAAGTTGCGCTCGATGGAGTCTGGCGATTCCTGGACAGTCTGTAGCCTAATCCTTAGCGCGTGAAAACGCTGCCGAAAAGAGCAAAGTAACGTACCATATTACCTAAGCCAAATACACCTCCAAACCGCATTTCCCAGTCTCCCGCATCGTGGTATTGTGCACAGGCGCAGCCATCAATGTGATACTGAAGCAAGCAAGGAAAGTTTCTGCAGCAATTGGAGAAATATAGGGAGTGAATGTCGATGTGGAAAGCCCAGAGATCACTTGTCAGATATCGTATTAAGAACAAGAATTGATGTCAAATGATCGCACGATGGCAATTTCGAGTTGACCTCACAAGATCTATATACTCCGCAGTCCTCTGCCAAACGACCGGATGAGACCGTCGCACAGCAGCACAGTGAAAGAGAAAAGACCCCATCGGCAAGGCACATCCGACGCAAGGAAGGGTCTTGGCTCTCAATGGACCCTGTATCAGGTGGGAGGAGGCGGCACCGTGGCGAATTACTCAGAGTTCCAAACAGTGGTTGGCCACTTCGTTTGTATATTCACAATGAATTCAAAAACCCTCGCAATCCCTTTTCCAAGAAATCCCCAGGATCCTGATCGAATATTCTCGACAATCTATGCTAGAGACCGTTGCACACGGAGTTCCTACCAAGCGGTCCTGAAAGTGGTCAAGGTCAAACACAATCCAATATGACCGTTAGCATCAACACTTGAAGCGACCCGCTGCAAAAAGCGGATGCGGAGCGGGGGCGGGGCGGTCCGCTCCGCCGTCGCTACAAAGTTTTGGGTGCTCATCTACCAACCGATCCGCCACCGCTCTACCTCTGAGATTATGTACGAAGCGGATTGGGAAATTAGCGTGGCGGGTCAAATTTACGCCCCGCAGGCACCTCTCAGAGCGGTATGCAGCGGTTGGCTTCCACCATCAGAACACTATCAGACCATCGTTCAGGATCCCACAGACTCAGATACGTGTGGTTTGGATGATCATACTCATCCGGTTTTGTCAATCACGCAAACTTCATTCGATTCGATTTACAAAGCTCCATTCACTTTAAAAGCTTCATTCAATATTGAAAGATGGAAAAGACCAATAAAATCGAAATCAGTTCAAGTGTATCCGAATTCTTACACGATTTACCAGAACAGACTCTTTCTCGATTATACGAATCACCTTCAAGTTGTTTATCAATCTTTAGATTATTACCTTTGCTAGCTAGACATTTGATTTTAAATTTACTTTGGTCTTCAAACCATTCTTTTAATCTTGCTCAACTTAAGCTTTGGTCTACTTCAATCAAATTTAAATCTATCACTCAATCTCAATTGTAATTATCATTTCTCATCAAGCAATGTTTTCTTTCGGCTTCTGGTCTGGATAATCATCGAGCAATCAATGCCAAATCAACTCTCATCAACTTCAATCTCATTTTCTAACTCCAATATTGGTCTTCAAAATAACTCAATTTTCAAGCTTTTGATTAAAACTTACCTTCAAGAAATCACAAACCTTTAAATTCACAAGCAAACTGAAATCATGTACCGTGCAGGGGTACTTTTATCAGGAAATGAACCTCCACCAACTGTTTTAGAAAGTTATGTTGGTATGTAAAATCGGTCTTGAAGTCTTACAAAGATTGGGCAAGATATGTCATGAATTGAAGTTGACTTTGATTTGTTTGTTTGTTGAAATAGAACGTGCTTGTAGTCCAATCTCGAGCCAACAAAACAGACACTGATTTGTAAAGCTGTAAAGACTAAGTAAAACACGAATCAGATTTGATTTCAATTGCACATTTCAATTGCCACTGTTGCCAGGATTCCAACGGTATCCTCAGCCCCTAAATCGAGGGAGTCTTGTCACTTGGTATTGATTTTCCAGAAATCATCTACTCGGTCTGTTATTTGACGCTTCTCAGGACTATAAACAATACGACTCCTCCACCAACCTCAACTCATTTCTTGATTAAACTGATCATGGTATTCCCATTTTATTTTATCTTATCTTTAGATCCTTTTACTTGTATTTTACTTTAGCCTGTCACTTATTGATTATATATTTTCTTACTTCATTCTTTCTATTTTTTTTCTTGTGCTACTGCCTATCTCCTTACTTTATCGACTTCTCTTGCTTACTTATCTTTCTAGTCACATTTCATATAGTACATGATCTTATTTTTCTATCATATTGTACTTACATCTTTATTGCAGTGCGAATACTTAAAACAAAAAATGTGAGCAAAAAATCGCCTCATACCGCTCCCTTGCCCCCAAAACTGATGAAGCGGAGCGAGAGCGGCTCCAATTGGCGCCGCGCTGCATTACGCATGTAGCGGGTGTCTTCTTAAAGCGGATCGAGAGCGGGTCTCATCTGTAGCGGCAAACCGCACCGCCTCACAAATTTGTCCAAAAAGCGGAGCGCCGCGGAGCGCTTCAGGTGTTGTTAGCATCAATCAGGATGATGACCCTTACACCACCGGCAAGTTAACAAAACGCCACAATATCAGCTAATGTCATTAATCATGTTGAGGGCATCTTACATATGCCCAGAATAATGACAAATAAATGGGACAGGCGAAGAAACTCAAGCGTGGAATTGGCAGTCAAGGACATGTGACATCGGAACAAATCAAGAAATCGGAGGATACGTATTGGGAAGAGCATCGGGAAAAACATTGGGTGTGTCGTGTTCAAAGATCTAGATGCAAATTTGTGCCTGTTATAGAATCGAAGCAACACTGCTAAGACCTGCGTGGGCGTTTGCTAGGGCCGGCGGAATTGCCAGTTCCCAAGTCAGTGGGTGCCAGGGTGGAAACATCGTGCATATAGGCAGCCAATGCAGCTTCATCTTCAGCCGTCGATGAAGGTATACCTCCTCCAATACTACTGGACGACACCATAGGTGAACTATGATCAGAGCGGATCAGTTCTTTGCCGAGCAGAAAGGTCAGTCAATGGGAACAACCACTGACCTAGCTAAGGCCAGAGAGGCGCCTCCGGTGTTGGCACTTGTGGATGGCGTTGGAGAGCTGTTGGGTTCGCCGTTCGCACCCTCAGTAGCACTGTGGTATAGTCAGCCCAATCCCCATGTACAGCAAATCAGTCACACGCTTACCGTTGTAATCTCACTCTTCCACCCTTTGTCATCTTGGTCGCAGTGGGCGTAGCAAGAGAAGCCCCCACTCTGATAGTCTCGTGACCACTCGCTACAGACATGGAATGGACCTGTCAAACCGGGAACGTCAGCTCTCGTGTGCCATGTCGACGCATAAGAAGTAACCACTCACATCGACTTGGAAGATGTAAGACTTAATCTCCTTGTCACCAACACTTTCCGCCTTCACCAATTTGCCAGCCAAATAACCATGGACAGTCATCTCTTTGCCCAGTTGAATGATATTGACGGCCTTGGCAAGGTTGCGAACTGGACAACACCAGTATTCTAATAAGAACTCGCAAATCTTACCCGTCTACAACAGCAGTAACGTACATTCAGAGACCAATTCACAGCAGGAGGATACAAAGTTGGACATACCATCGGGTTGTAGTCGGTGTGGCGCATAAGGAAGACAGTAGTAGCCTTCCCATCATGAGCGTCTTCTTGAACGACTCGCTTGCTAACTATAATGCCAATAGAGTTCAACGCAACATTATTGGTCAAGCAACCCGAGAAGTTGTCAGAGTCGCCTGCGGGAATCTCATGGCTGAGCTCGGTGATCAAGCGAGGTATCGATTCGTGGTTGAGTAGGAAGAACTTCCCCGATGCGAAGTGCATGTTGCCAACGGCCATACCAACCCCCTGCGCAGCATAGTAGGTGATTAGTAGGTCATGTTCTAAAGGTGTGCTGCCGTCGATGCCTGCACAGTTGATCCCAGAGTTAACTGATCGATAACCGTAAGCCGCACTGAGCGTCAAGGAAACCTAACACATAGTTACAATCAGCACATTGGTAAAACAACCTATTACTGCAATAGTTCCACGTACCTCGTAGTGTACCTCAAATATGGAAGATATGTAAGCAGGTTGCGAGCGTCGATTTGTAGCAACAGACATAGTATTATCGGAGGAGATCAATGATTTATCGTGAGCTTCCGGAAGCGAGTGAGAGGAGAGGGATTCCGAATGAGTTTGGGTTTGACAGGGCTGCTCTTCAAAAACTCAGATCAAGAGACGCCAATATATATATGCGATCCTCATCCCCTTGCAACAACAATGTTGGCTGCTGGGTTTGTGGTATCTCCAGGGAACATTCCTGCTCGTCACAAGTATCTTCCCAATGAGAATTAGTTCAGCTTTGAATGTTTGAAAGTGTGAATGGTTGATACGCACGGCATAAGACGTTGTTGGCTCAATCATTAGCTGTAGCCAGCATCCTTTGGAAAAGTACGTTCTGGGCGTTGCCGCGCTGATACTCAGCGAGCTGAAAAATCCGGGACAGCCCAGGGTGTTTTCTTCAGTACGCAGACGAATTGGTCGGTGGCCTGGAACGCTTGATAGCAATCGGTGTGGGATCCCGCATTCAGATGAAGTCGATCGTTGGCACCACGGTGGTTAGTCTAGATGTTGGCATGGTGGGTCAAGCATTCCGATGGCCTGACCCAGTCAGGACGATTACAGTCTTGGTTCGGGATATGATGAGGGAGACCGGTGTCAAGACGTTGCCTACGCGGTGACCTACCACCAAAATCACCGAAAGTAACGGCCAGTGGACCATTATGTCGGATACCGCTTCCCTTTCATGTACTACTGAGGGTCTGGGGCGTTCACATGAGAGTCAAACGCGGATCGTACCACCCAACATTCCCATCGCATCGGGTAGTTCATATTTTCTTCGGGCAGCGCTACCCTTTCAGGTGTCCTTGCACGGTTTGGGGCGTTCACATGGTAGTCAAAGGCGGATCGCACCACTCGACATTCCCATAGCATCGGGTAGTGGATATCCTTTTCGGGCAGCACTACACCACCGGGCAGTCTGGACCGCCGTAGGTCCGACCAGGGAGCCCAGCGGAGGGCGGCTGTTCCGTCTGCGGTGAAGGGCCGTCTTCAGGTCGACCTCACGCAGACCGCCCACAAATGAAACGCCTGAGGCGCCCTTTGGCTGAAAACGAGGCCACAAAAAGTCGCCAGGCAGTGGATTGCCTGTGGTAATGAAATGACAACAGACAGGCACCTTTTGAAAACTCACAGGCACAAGAATCATTGGTTAAAAACCATATATCAGGATATAGTCGGGGAATCAGACAAATAGTCTTTTATTGTCAATTAGGGGTGGGGAACAAAAAGTACAGTGAAAAGTACAGTTTGCTAACAGTTTAGTTGGGGATAGTGTGATTCCCGATTTCTCTCTTTGTCCGCCTAATTCCTTTGGTTCTCTCTAGACGCGCTTTTCAGTGCTTTCTCTTTTCTATTTTCTTTTCTTTCTTTTGTTTTCTTTTCTATATTGCTTTTCCAAGAAGACGGATCTCGCATAGATCCGTCCCGATCACTATTGTTACCAATTGTAGCTCGGATCCAGCTATACCGGATCCGGCCATTCTTACCGATCGTTGTACTTCATCCCTAGGCAATCCCTTGCCTCATATTGTATCTCTCTATTTCCTTATTCGTACCTCACTTGTAGACGCTCGCATATATAAGCAGCTCGCATCTCCCAAGGAAATGGATTCATCAAGTTACTTCCTGCTCATTCTCGCCCCAAAGATTGTGAGTAGATCACAAATATATATTTGTGTGTTCTTTATTTCTTTTTCTCTCTAACTTTAAATCATCGCCATACCTGATATCAAAGAAAGCTTAGTTATTAATCTGTGTTCTGTTTTTCTCCAAACTCTGTGTTCCTTCGTTCTCCGTTCACAGATATCCTCACCGGAAACCTTACCCAGAAGCAACAAACCCTCACACCCAGATTAACAACTCGTTGTAAGCCTTAAAATTCCCTAGCTAGTTATTTTATTTCCTCTCGACACTTTCCTTGATTAGTTAGAACTCATTAAAAGAAATCTTTCCTATCCCTTACACACAGAAAACCTACTATTAACACCGTTAAACCAAAAGCTTTTTACCAACCCTTTATATCTCGATTTTTGAATCATTGAACATTCTTTTTGAAGAATTAACGTACGTACCCTTAGACTCTGATCAAGTCTTATTTAAAGAATAATTTTTAATAATCCCTTCCGATTCTTTACGAACAGAATCTCATTCAACCATGGAAGAAAACTTGGGATTTGTCTCGATCCCAGCTGAAGACCTGCGTCTTATCCGAGCTCAACTTGAGCAAGTCAACATCGACACTCAAAACAACGCTCAAAATCATGCTCGCGAAATTGCTGAACTTCGCAATCAACATCACTTGATTTACCAACAGCAATCTAATCAGATCCAC